CACGTGACATCTTACTCCACTGCACGATGCCGGACAAGACGCGCAAGCAGATCGGCGAGCGCACTCCGAAAATGGTGTTTACATCATCGACTTCAGTATTCCCGACTGCAACGGTGACTCGCATGAGCTCATCGATCTCGTCCCCTTGCGCTTCGAACACACTCACCACCGTGATTGGAAGCACCCTGACGGAAGACCGTGGGTGCCTCATCACGCTCACCCGCGCGAAACGGCGCTGCATGACCTCGACCCCGACGGCATATGCAGAGATTGCCATACGCCCACAGCCTCGACGAGCGCGATTGCCGGCCGTGGCCTTGCAGCCAACGTCGAAGCAGAGCGGGAAGCACCGCCTGAAGAGGGAATGTCAAACCTGGAACTCGCAATCACAACACACGGCATCTTCGGAACGAAAGAACATCCCCTCCCAGGACATGCATCACAACATCTTCAAGGCATGCTGCGTGGCGTCGGCGTCGACACCTTCGATGCGCACGGAGACCCACGGCCCTACACAAAGGAGAAATTTCTAGAGATCTACGCTCACCAGCGCGACTCTACGAAGAAGCTTACCGTGGCGCAAGAGGAGGAACTGGCGCGTCGCGAAGCGGAAGAACTTCGCCAACGGAGCCTTGCGGAGTCGCACGGCACATTTGCCTGGAGCGGATGGGGCGAAGAAGAGAGCGCCTCCAATGAAGGGGGGTGGGGAAGCGCTGGCGGATGGGGCACGAGCAACACCGGCGGTGATACCGGCGGTGATACCGGCGGATGGGGAGCCGCAACCGGCGGCGATACCGGCGGATGGGGAGCCGCAACTGGTGGCAACACTGGTGGATGGGGAGCACTCACCGGCGGCAACACCGGCGGATGGGGCGCTGCATCTGGCGGCGAGACAAGGGGCTGGGGAACTTCCAGCGAGGACCAAAGGGGGGAAGAAGAAGAAATTGAGGCCGAACCTCCTGTTGTTCCTCTTGGTCGTCCTCCGCGCTGCCCTGCACCCGCACTGCCCCCACCTGACATCCTGCCAGGGAGTGACCCTTGGGACACCGTCGACTGGGGGAATGAGCCATCTACTCCGCGTCGCACCATCTACGGGCCTGCCCCCGAGCCGCGCGAACCAACTTTCTTCCCGGGAACTATCCTTGGAACTAACATTCCCCTCTCCACCATCCTTGACAGGGAATTTCTTGCGCTAATGCTGACGACGGCGAACGACGAAGAAGAAGCTGAAGAAGCAGCGGCGACACTCGCTCAAGCGCCTGACGAGGACCCCGCAGAAGCACACGCGCGCTACATGCGAACCTCTGGATTCCGCGCCGACGATGCCATCTGGCACCAGCGCCTAGGTCACCCCTCGCGCGTAACACTGAAGAACTGCATCGAGGCCGACGTGTTTGCGCCTGGCGCACTCCTGCGCCCTGATGGCACCGAAGTAAGGGGCGCGACACATCCGCGCAACTGCACCGTCTGCCCCGAAGCCGCGCTGAGCCACCAGCCGTTCCCCCTGCTAGAGCCCGGAACCAACCGCTACACCAAACTGGAGAAGGTGTACAGCGACTTCCTCAACGTGGGACACTGCGGCATCAACGACGAACTCTACACGCTCACCTTCGTCGACGCCGGAACGCGCTACGTGTGGGTCGTGAACGTGGAAGCACGCAGCAGAGCATACGAAGTGTTCCGCCTGTGGCTGGCGCACGCGCAGCGGCAATCTGGGGAGAAGCTAAAGATCTGGCAGTCTGACGGCGCGGCGGAGTTCAGGAGCAAGGAGCTGCAGGATTACCTCGCGCAGAAGGGAATCGAGCATCACATTTCCCTCCCCTACGCGCACCAGCAGCAGGGCATAGCCGAGCGCACGAATCGCACTCTCATGACGAAGGTGCGGGCGCTAATGAAGCAGTCGAAGCTTCCGCCGACCTACTGGACCTACGCAATGCACCACGCCGTGCGGGTGCACAACCTGCTGTCAACCACCGCCATCACCGGCAACTCATCACCGCATGTGAAGTGGACGGGGACCAAAGGCGACACATCTATGCTCCGCGTGTGGGGATGCATGGTGCAGTACCGCCCGCCGACATCGACTATCGGGAAGTTTGCAAGCCGCGCGCGCTGGGGGATTCACCTCGGCATCAGCCACGAGCACAAAGCATGGCTCATTCTGGACCTCTTGAGCCAGAAAATCAAGAACGCGCGTGACGTCATCTTCTACGAGCGGCTCTTCCTTCGGCAATTCTGCGAAGACGAGCAGGCGAACGCGAACCGCGTCTATGCCAACGACGGTCACAGCTACGCCTCACCCGAGGACGAAGCCGCAGCAGCGATTCTGGAGCAGGACCCCAGAGGCGAGTTCACAAGAAGCGATCGCGACAACGACGACGACGACGACGACGACGATTCTCCTGGAGGAGGAGCAGGAGTCGCAGGCGGAAGCGGAAGCGGAAGCGGAAGCGGCGAAGGCGCAGCACCGCCAGCACCACCTGAACCAGAAAGCGACGATGACGATGTGCAGGAAGTCATCCTACAGCACCGCCACGACAGCACAGTTTCGGGACTCCAACTTCTCGGACACTGCCACCTCAACGGCGCTAATTGTCATCGAGCCGAAGAATCCGCGCCAAGCACTCACGGGACCACACAGCAAGGAGTGGCGCGAAGCGATGGATGCGGAAATCAAGGCACTCGAGTCCCGCGACACCTGGGTGCTCGTCGATCGAGCGGCAATTAAGGGGAGGAGGATTCTCTCCGGGAAATGGGTCTTCCGCGTGAAGACCGCAGCCGACGGCACGATCGAGCGATTCAAGGCGCGCTGGGTAGTGCGCGGTTACGATCAGAGGCACGGCATTGACTTCGACCAGGCATTTGCACCGGTCAGCCGTCATACCTCCGTCAGAATTCTCCTCGCCATCGCTGCCGCACGACACCTCCCGCTCCGACAAATCGATGTGAAGAACGCGTTCCTGTACGCGTTAGTAGATTCAGTGATCTACTTGGAGCAGCCGCACACATACGGCGAAGGGGATTCACGTGTCTGCCAGTTGCGAAAATCCCTTTATGGGATCAAACAGGCGCCGAGGCTCTGGCAGCAGTACCTGCACAACATACTGTTTGAAATTGGGTTCAAGCAGTTGCCCCATGATCCAGGGATGTATCGCCGCGATTTCCGCGGCGAATACATCCTACCCACGGTCTACGTCGACGACCTCCTCTACACAGGGTCAAGCAACGAGTTGCTTGAGCAATTCGAGAAGAACCTCGCAGGGCGTGTCGATATCACTTGCAACCATGACGTGAAGCAGTTTCTCGGGCTCAACATCTCCTACTCGCCGAAAGCCACTCATCTCTCAGCAGCCAAGTACTCAGAGGAACTTAGGAAGCGCTTCAACATTGCGCCTGCACCACTCTCCACCCCTTACCGCACTCCAGGACCCAACCACAAGCCTGACAACAAAGCCCTGTCCCCTGCTGGGCTTCACACCTATCAGCAGCAGCTGGGATGCCTACTCTTCGCCTCTGTTACCTGCAGGCCCGATCTCTCCTACATCGCGAGCCAGTTGGCTCAGTACTCTCGTAAACCAACGGCTGAGAACTTACTAGATCTCCAGCGGGCGATTCAGTTCTTCACCTCCACGCCCAATGTTCGGCTCTGCTACTCCACCATCCCAACCTCGTCATTCAACCTCATCGGCTACGTGGACACTGATCACGCCGCTGACCCCGACAATCGACGGTCCAGGACAGGCTTCCTCTTCCGCCTCGAGCCCAGCGGTCCCATCTCCTGGAATTCACAGAAGCAGGAGCTGGTTGCCCTGTCATCGGTGGAAGCTGAATTCATCGCAGCAACAGCAGCCGTTCGCGAAGGCCTCTATCTTCAGGAGCTGCTGCAGGAGGCGAAAATTCCAGCCTCGGCGAACTTTCGCCTGCACTGCGACAATCAGAGCGCGACCAGGATCGCGAACAAGCCTGGATTCGTCAACCGCACCAAACACATCGCGCTGCGGTACTTCTTTGTCAAGGACGAAGTTGACAAGGGCAATGTTGACCTAACCTACTGCCCGACGGGTGACATGGCATCTGACTTCCTCACGAAGAAGCTGCCACGTCAGCAATACCAACATTGCTCCGAACTCAGCGGGGTAGTCAAGCGGGTCAAGACTCTCTATTTATATCCTTGTACTTGCATGTTTTAATCATCTCAAGTATTTTATATTCACTCTGCTATTGAGGTCAGGGCCCACCACCACTACTCAGTCGTGTGCGAACCTTCCTGAGGTGATAATAGGAACGATCAACTTCTGATCCCAACATATAATACAGCTCACGTGAATTATGAGGTTCATTAATGAGCCACAGGGTTTAAATGGCTAACAGCTATTACTAGTTTCTGTACTGTATATTTTCTTTGGATAAGAATTAGAGCTGCTTGATTTATGCCGTTCTTCCAGGTCAACAGGAGTCATTAAACCCTCGTTGTTGCGTGTTCGCGTGAATCAGGTCGTCGTCAGCTCGTGTGCAACGACTTTTTGTCCCGAGAGCATCAGCGCAGTCATGCCAAGCTCCCAGCCAGTAGAGAGGCGAGGGAGATCCACGTTGCTATCCAGCTTGGCGAAATGCATCCCCGTCAGGTTTGGAAAATCGCAAAATTCGCCCACCAACCACCTCTGGTCTCCATGATCGACCTAACCACGCCCACCGCACCCCACCCCGCCTTTCTCTCCGCCCCTTTCCTTGCACCCACCTGTTCTCTCTCCTTCCCACGCCTTCTCTTCCCTTCCTCGTTTCCCACACCTCAACAACTACCCTTGCGCATGTTGTAAACTACACTGCTAGTCCCCTGCTACTGTCACTCGCAAGAGTTTCATAACACAAGCCACGGCAGCCCCCACTACTCAACTCCACCTCGCGATCATTGCTAACAGTCGCTTATTTGCATCGCTATAGCTGCATCAGACCTCACCACAACCCGCATTGTCAGCCCTGTTGAGATAGAAACCTGGAAAATGAGTGAGAACATTCCATTAACGAGTACGACTTCCGAGACCGAAGGCGCGTACTCCCCTCCCTCTCTCTTCGAACACACGCAGCCCGCGGAACGCGCGGCAAAACACCAGCACGCGGAGCAATGGGCGCAAGACGGCGACGTGAAAGTCACAGTATCCGAGCGCCTCGTGTCGCACAACGTCGATTTCCCTCCGTTGAAGGCCGAACCGCAGGAAGAGCAGGCTGAATCTCGCAAAGCCGCGCACATTCCTCAGAAGAGCTTCGACGATCCGACGGCTGGCGGCTGGAACGATTTCGACAAATCGTCCACCATTTTCAATTTCAACGAGCGCCCCGTGCGCGACGCGGGATGGCGGTTCGTCTTCGCCGTGCCGCTCGTCGTCCTTCTCGTTGCGGCCTTCCACGCCTTCGTCTATTCGCTTTTCGACTCCCCAAGCCCCCTCCTAATTTCTCCCTCCCTCTATTCGGTTGCGTTGATTCTCCTCTTCGCCTTCAGCCTTCCCCTCCCCATGTTGATCGTCTCTTCTCTCCGCAAAATCCCCGCGCGCATCTTGAGCGCGCTCATAATCCTCGCCGCCGTGATTTGCGCTCTGCAAAGCGCCATCTCCGCCGTGCATTACTACACGACGCCCGCGCTCGTGCCGCCAAATGCAGCGGACGTATCCCCGGTGGTATACGCGCCAGTCCGCGATGGCTCGTCGAGTGACTTTTCTGTGAACACGGACGTTGCGGAAAGCGCGGAGGGGGAGAGCGGGGAGACGAACGACGACAGTGGCGGGATGATGTCGGGAGGAATGGGAGAGGAAGAAGAAGCCGCCATGATGGACTCGATCATGGCGGAAGAGGCGAAGGAAGGCACAGAAGGGGGCATGATGGAAGGGGGTATGGAAGGGGGAACGGAGGGCGCCATGGGGGAGCACATGAAGGGGCAGGAAGACCCATTTGAAGCGGCGGGGACCAGCGCTGGTGACGCGGCAGCGGAGGCTGAGAGCAGCAGCAGCGCACCTACCAGCAGCAGCAGCGCTGCGGCCACGAGCGACATCGGCAAGGGCCTCCTGGAGCTCACACTGCCCGCCGTCGCACACCCCGTGGTATCCGTTACCGTTACCGCACAGCACGCCGCCCACTGGGTGCGCGCCGTCCACTCCACCGTCCACTACGCCGCCCGCCGTCATCTCCAAAGCCACGCGTCAGACGCGGGAAAGAGAGCGCGCGGGAGGTCCTTGCAGGGCGATTATCGGCTGTACGGGGTGGCGTTGGCTGCAATCCTCGTACTCCGTCCTCTCTACTTCATCGGGTTTGTCATGTTCGGGCTTCTCAGCGTTGTCGCCATGCTCCTCGTGTTGCGATGCAGCCACCACCTGCCGCTTGCAGCCTCTGCTGTTGCGCACGCCGCTCAAACGACTGTCTCCAAGGCCCCTGTCATCTTCCTTATGCCACTTCCCGTTATCCTTGCAGCTTCGTTCCTGGCCCTCCCTTTCATGTATAGCAGCGATGGTGCTAATGTCATCCTCTTCGTCCTCCTGCTACCCACCTCTCTCTTCGTTGCTCAAGTGCTCTCAGCTCTCCTCACCTACTCCACAGCAGCAGTTTTCGCCCGGCTGTACGTCGCAACCAGCGGCAGCGGCAGCAGCAGCGGGGGGAGCAGCGAGGACGGGGGGCAGGGGGGTGAAAGGGAAGAGGGCGTGACAATGAGAGGCCAGCTGGAACTTTTCTGCTCGGCCCTCTCCCTGGCTTGCACCTCATCCCTAGGCACCTGCTGTGCCGTTGCCTTCACCACCTGCACCGCCACCATTGTCCAAATCCTCCTCTCCGCCCTATCTCTCGCTCTCTTTGGCCAAAGCATCTTAGGTTGCCTGCTTGTGGCACTGCTTCACTGCACACAGATTGTCATCCGGTTCTTCCTCAGCTGCCTCGTCCTCCCCACCAGTGCCATGAGCGGCCATGGCTTCAACCGCTCTCTGCGCCTCTCGCTCGACATCCTGCAGCGCTTCCTCACGCCCATTGTCACGGCCAATGCTGCTGGACTGGCCCTGCTTGCCGTGCTCCTGTTTCCCGTGCTCATCATAAACTCAATTATCAGGGTTGTTGCGGTAAGTACACTCTTTTGTCGCACGCTTCCTGTGTGCTTTTGCATGAATATCTGCAGAGCATTTTGTATCATGTTGACTTTCCTTCCTCAGAAACCCATATTCGTGGTTCCCATGTAAAGCGTACTCTTACTTGCATTTCCTATCATCTCTTTTCATTTGCAGGTTGTTTTGACGATGTTTACAACTGGAGGTGGCCTAGAAAGTCTAGTGTACATGATCTTCATAGCCTTGATCGTATATACAGTTTCTCTTCTCTCCACTGTAGCGCTCTCCTCCGTCCTCACCACAGGGGTCTCCACTACAGTGCTGTGTTTCGCCTGGGACAAGAAGCTTGAGCCAGAGGAGGGCTCTGATGCTGCTGGCCTGGTTGCTGGTGGTTCCCTGTCCTCTGCTGATGTCAAGGATACTAGTGCGGTGTAAAAGGGTGTGGATTCCACAACTGATTGTTTCGCTTGGTTGTATTGTGTGTGCTTATAGTAGAGTACATTCAGAAATCCAGAATAAACACGAGATACGCTAGAAGAATAAGCTGTATCAAGTAGTAGCTTCTGAACGGCACAACTGCAATTATTTTGCAGCGGATAGCAGGTCACTGATTTGGGATGTGTAGAAGTCGGGGTGGATGGTGTTGTCGGGACTGTTGAGGGTCTCCAGAGTCGTGACTCCTGGGGCGGCAGGCACGGAGTTGCACGGCAGAGGGATGACGAGTTGACGTGGGACGCAGAGGTAGAAAACGAAGGCGTGCAGAGGGGTTGGATAGAAAACTGGTATGGTGTCAAACAACATTGGGACTGCAGGTGCATTGGGCCTGCAGGTGCGTTGGGACTGCAGGTGCATTGGGCCTGCAGGTGCATTGGGACTGCAGGTGCATTGGGAGTGCAGGTGCGTTGGGACTGCAGGTGCATTGGGCCTGCAGGTGCATTGGGACTGCTGGTGCATTGGGACTGCAGGTACGTGCGCGCACCAGCAATTTACCTAGGCTAGGGCCTAAAGCACACGTAAGAGTGCAAGAAGCACCCCTGAGAGCACTAGCAGTGTGCGGCAATCTCACATGAGAGCACCAACAGCGTGCGGCAGTCTCACCTGAGAGCACCAGCAGCGTGCGGCAGTCGCCATTCTGCCCAAAGAGAATGTCGGTGTCAAGACGGTCCCCCACCATGCAGATCTGATTCTTGGCAATGCCGAACCTGGGGGTGACAGGGGTGGGGCAGAGGAAGAATGTGAAATGTCACAAGGGGAATTGGTTAACAGCTTCCTTCCACCGTGCTGCCACCCCCTTCCCAACACCCTGCACTCCTCTCCCTTATGCATGAGAGGAAGGATCCCCCATCCCCTTGTTCCACTGCCCCCCTCTATTTCACATTGTGACTGCCCCCCCCCCCGCATTTCACTTGCTGGCGAGATAATCCATCCAAAAGTTGGAGGGCTTGCCAAAATTAGGTTACTTCAAGCCTACTCCACCCTCACCCCTGCTTCCCTTTCCCCTGTTCCTCCCCCCTTCGCGTCTCACTTGGCAGCGAGATAGTCCATCATGAAGGTGGAGGGCTTGCCCACCACCACGGGCTCCTTCTTGGTCGACCCCTTGATGGCGCCCACCATCGTGCCTCCCCCCGCCCACTCCTGTGCGTCTGTCAGGTGCGTCACGGCGTCACAGTTAGTGGCGATGAAGAGGCACCCAGGGTTCTCCCGCAGACACAGCGTGGCGTACCTGAGATGTAGTGCGGAAAGCAATGGGAGAGGAAAGAGGAGAAAGAGAAGGGAGGGAGAAGGGACGAGGTGAGGAGCGTGACGTCGTGGCAGTTGGTGGCGATGAAGAGACACCCGAGGTTCTCCCGCAGACACAGCGTGGCGTACCTGGGAGGGATGGGCGCAACGGAAGAGAACGGGAGAACCGGCGAGGTCAGGGATGTCACACTGAAAGGCGGTGGGTGGCAAGGCAAGGCGAGGGTGCATTGTGGCTGGGAGAGCGGGGCGGATTGGTTTTGGCGTTGCAGCTTGGAGTGGGTGGAGGGGATAGGAGGACACGGGTCAGGAGCGGCAGAGTGGTGGAAAATTACAAGTAGCAGATGGTGCATACCACGAAGTGGGAAGGCGACGGAGTGGTCAGGAAGGGGGAAAACGCGAGTGGAGGCAAGGGGAGGGAGGGAAGAGGTGGATGAGTGGATGCCATGGCGGAGACTCCCTGCAGCTTGTAGTGATTGACGTAGCGGTCAAGCCCACCACCCATGCAGCCTCACTAATCCCGCCACCCCATGTATCCCCCAGCTACCCCTCCTGGTGGGAGTGCGGGATACTCACTGCAGCTTGTAGTAGTTAACGTAGCGGTCAAAGCCCACCACCACCGCTCCCACCTGGTAGGGTCAGAGGGGAGTGCATGGGGTGGCGGGGGTTAGAGGGGGACGCATGGGGTGGATGGGTTAGAGAGGAATCATTGGGTGGTAGGGAATAGAGGGGGATGCATGAGGTGAATGGGGTTAGAGGGGGTGCATGGGTTGGCGGTGCACATGAGATGCATGGGGTGGTGTGGTGGTATACTTGGGTGTCTGGGACACTATCCACTTACTCTCATCACCATCATGCATCAGACACTCACGTCAGCGTCGTGCTCCATATATTTGCCCAGGCCCAAGTCAATCGACTTCTTTCCATCCTCCTGCAATCCACCACCAGCACACCGCGCCACAGATGCAAACAGACAAGCACAGTCAGGAAACAGAGAAACGAGGAGAAACGAAAGAGCAAACGAGGAAACATGCTGATCCGTTCTGGACCTTCTGAGCAGCTAACAAGATGAATGTTGGTGCGTGTGAGAGTCACAGGGTCTTTAACGTGATTGGTGCTGATGCATGTGAGAGAGACTCACCGGGCCACCGATGTGGTTGACGGCAGCGAGGTCGAGCTCGAGCTGGATGCCCTGCTCGCCCACCACGTACACCTTCTTGTCCGCCGGGAAGTTGATGGACGTTAAATACGCCGCCGCCGCGAACGACGACGCGAAGATCTCCTCCTGAGATATAAGGGGTGGGGTGATGGGGGGTTGGGATGGGGGAAAGGGGGAGTGGACGGGTTCCAGTCCGGCAGCAGCAAAGGGTTGGTGACGGCTGCTTCCTCGCTTTCATCACACACACAATATTGTAAATGCAAGTGCAGCTATGGCACAATGTGCTCGTTTTTCCTTCTCTCCAGATATGCACTCAAGTGACCCCCACCCCACTCTCGCCTCCACCCCACTCTCGCCTCCACCCCACTTCGGCCCTTGCAATCGAGCATGCCTGCAGCCCCAGGGAGCCCACCTCGGTGACGGTGAGTCCCAGCGACTCGAACTTCTTGCCGTACTGCTTGCGCGACTTGGTCGAGTTGTTCGTCACGAACACCAGCCGCTTGCCCTGCGACACGCGCGAAGAGGGTTACTCAAATTAGCGTGCGCCGCGATGCTGGTTCGCCTGATCGCATAGCAGTGTTCGTGCGCAAAAAGTGGTTCAACTATGCGGGCTAGCGCGATTGTATTAACGAAAACGGGAAACTCGCAGGGTAATTCGCAAGTTACCATTGCTCGCAGCATGTCAAGAGTCTCCGGCACACCGTCGATAAGCTTATCGCCCTTCCATATGACACCTGGCGGGACATGGTCAGAGGCATGCCCATGCGATGTGACAGACACAGTGAGCACAACGGTGACTGACATGAATCATGATACATGTACAGTTGCGAAAGGAACAGGTTCAATTAGCAACGAGACATGCCAATTGTATTCGTCCGTGCATCCATCCGTGCAAATTGAGTTGTGAAAGCCACTCGTGATCGAATCCGTACCGTCGCAGTCGAAGAGGAACGTCTCCACGGAGTCGATCAGCGCCCGCGCGTCCGTCAATAGCGGCGCCTTACCCACTGCTGCTGGAGAGAAACGGAAATGAGGGATGGAATGTACGTGACAATTCGACTTAGTAGTTCCAGGTTGGACGTATCTGTTCAGGAGATTGTTATACTTGAGACATAAAATGTTGAAGATAAAACGTGTCCGTGTGTGAAAGGCGCTAAGTATTTTGCAAATGCGACGGATAGCATCGGTAGATTCCAACAGGTTTCATGTTTTCACTCAATATGCCAGATCACCTATGTTCGTCATTCGAACTTTGTTATGAAACGGTGATGCTCGTCAATGCTGCGGCTGTCGATCCCTGATTCAGCCGCATGTAGAGTACTATTGACATTCATTAGTAGAAGCACCCATTCGTGTTGACATCACAGGGTGACCCCGGAAAACTCACCATTGGCTGAGCTTCCGCTCTCCGCCTCCATGAGGGACGACCCGCTCGATGCTCGCACAGACACAGCGCTTCGCGACGACCACCGTGCGATGGGCTGCTGCGCGTGCGGCAAAGCTAGTCGCACGCCGCTGATCGCCTGGCCCTGTTGCGACAATTGCTGCGATGACGGCGACGCAGGCTGCAAAATTGCGCGGGAGGTGTAGAGAAGCCGCTGTGCACCGCAGAGCCGCAGGGAGTGCGCCATAAGACGAGCAGAGCAAGCAGAAGTGAAACGAAGACCCCTTAATTCCACTGAAGCAAGCAACTCTCCTCCACAACTGAGCAGGCGATTGTGTTGTTATCTGAGTGCCTGCTGAATGTGCTGAATGGCATGGCATGAAGGCAAGGGATGTTGGCCAAGCCTACGGCCTGGGATGTCTGGCGGGCCAGACCAGAACCTTCATCCAAGATGAACCAAACCGAGCCTGTTTGCTGGGCAATCCCAAGGTCGGATCAGTCATGATGTAGTGGTGTGTGTGGGTCTAATAGGCTCGGAAATTTTCACGAACCGTCTTCTTCTGGTTCGGTGTCCTTTGTGGGTGTCGTTTGGTGGTTGTGGCCTTGAGAATGCATTTGGTTTTGACCCTCCAAGATGCTCACGCTCAGAATTCATCCGTCACATGAGCCACGAAATGATACCCGAGGTGGCTATGTATGACTCGTCGATTGTGGTGACTTCTCTGACGAGGTTCATTCTCTGACGTCAGTCTGCCGTGTAATGAAGCGCTTTCGTAAAAGTTTTTCCATTTAAGTAAACGTGTCGAGATGGCCGAAGGCGATGGGTGAAAGGGTGTGGGTTCAAATCCCACTCTCGACAGCTTCGCATTTTTGTTACATAGAAACATGTACGAATTCACGCGCTAGCGTTCTGTTTCTGACATCTGGGCTCAGTTCGGCAGCCAGGGGGAAGAAAAATGTTAGGAAGATGAGGAGAAGGTGAGGCGCGCGTCAACCCAGGGTCAACGAATTTTGACCCTGGTTTGACCGCACCGCGGACAACCTGTAGCAAAGCGAAAATTCTCGCCCAAAAACAAATTTCCAATGCACATTTGCCCTCGAGTAGGGTTTGTGGGGCAGTAACCCTTTATTTCGTAGGGTGCAATGTTGTCCCGTGAACAGTGATTCTTGTGGAATCAAAAAGTTGATTCTTCTGTTTTCAAAGAATCACTTTCTTCTTCCGTCTCACTAGGGCGGAAGCTTTCCGCCAGGGGGGGGAGAATAAGGACAGAAGACGGCGCGGAATCAATTTTTGATGGTGTTCGCGTCGCTGCTGTAAAACACCTGCGCCTCGATTTCCGAAAAATTTTCCCTACAACCCGGTGTAGGGCCCTCGATAATGCGATTCGAAGCTTCTTAGAAGAAGCCAGAAATTTTTCTTCCGTCCTTCTTCCGTGGCTGCCGAACTGAGCCCTGGTTCGCGCCGACTGCACAGCATTTTCTTCCCCATTCGTCTGACATTTCTGCTGACATCCAACCAACCCCAAATTCGCCCCACCCACGCTTTTTCACAAATTCACGAATTCTTTCCAACTTCTCCTTGACGTCGTTTACTTGTTATGTCTTCCGTCGGACCTTTCCGCTTCCGCTTGCATCAATTCTTGTCTATATCCCTGTTCGTCGGTTGACAAATCGCTTCTCGCAGTAATCGCTAATCCTCAGTTCGTTACCCAAGACTACCAATTCGTTCGAAGATCTCTTATCCTAGTCGAAACTAGCATATTCCGTTTCCGATTAGTCCATTTCAGTGATGTCGGCTCCCAGCGACACTCAAGCCACCGAGACTGCTGGTAGCGATGGTTCCGATGGGAACGAGAGGGCCGTCGGATTCGTTGGTCTGGGCGCGATGGGCGGCGGCATGGCGGCAGCTCTAGTGAAGCAAGGATTTGCTGTGAAGGGATACGATGTGAGTGGCTTGAAGGGATTCGATGTGAGTGGCTTGAAGGGATTCGATGTGACTGGATCTGATTGAGTGCTCCACTTTCAGTCCCATCCTTCGCCTCCGCGTCTCTCACGCCTCGATCTCTACCCCGCGTCTCCTCCTTTTCCCCGTCTCTTCGTCTCACCCGTCTCCTGTCTCCTCCTCCCCTCCCTCCTCTCCTTACCGCGTCTCCTCCACAACGTAGTTCCCTCCTTCACATCTCCTCCTGGTCTCTCAGTTTAGTGATCAAAGCCGTCTGGCGCAGAATCAACGGGGATGTAGCTCAGATGGTAGAGCGCTCGCTTAGCATGCGAGAGGTACGGGGATCGATACCCCTCATCTCCAGGTTTGCGGGGATAGCTCAGTTGGGAGAGCGTCAGACTGAAGATCTGAAGGTCGCGTGTTCGATCCACGCTCACCGCACGTTTTCTTTACCTTTGCCTCATCAGCATGTCGTGTAGAGCTTTTGCACCACTCACCTCCCCCTGAATGAGCTTTGGAATTGGAACCACCCTGCTCTTTGTCTTCCTTGCCCCCCGGCCCCCCTCTCTCTGATTTCCTTGTACTTGCTTGGCCCACGCTCTCACCACAGGTGTACCCCCCCGCATGCGAGAAGCTCAAATCCGCGGGTGGTGCTGCTGCTGCCTCCGCAGCCGATGCTGCTAAGGGTAACACACAGCCTCTTTGCTGCTCTTCACACGTAGCATGTCATCCCCTCACGCGCTGCGTTCTCAGCCTCTTCTTTCTCAATTCTCTTCACCTCATTGCTTACAGTCCGTTTTCATTTTTCATTTGGGCCTTCCCCACTCATCCCTCTCCTCCCCCATCCTTCTCCTCCATGCCTCCCCTCATGCGTCTCTCCGTGCCTCTCAGGAGCCGTGGTGCTGGTGCTGATGGTCACCACGGCAAAGCAGGCCGAGGGGGCTTTGTTTGGTGATCAAGGGGCACTGGAGTGTGAGTATTCGGGATGACTGTGGGTTGAGAGTGGTAGAGAGGGGAAGAGAGATGTAGAGAGGGGCAGAGAGGGGAAGAGAGGGACAGAGGGTGCATGAAGGAGCAGAGAAAGTGGCGGGCCACAGCATTTGCGTGTCTGTAGAGCTCTTGCTTTCGTTTCCTTCTCAATCGCCCCATTTCCGTGCCACGTCTCCTTTCCGTCACCCGCTCCTGCCGTCGTGCCCTCTTCTCCTCCCCCCTGCAGCTCTCCCTCGTGGTGCTCTCGTCATTCTCTGCTCCACTGTCCCACCTGAATTTGCACGCAGCCTCGGCACCAAGCTCTCAGGTATAGTGTATTAAAATTAGTTTCCAACTCCACACTTCACACTTCCTCCTTTGAGTGAATACTTGGGTGTTTACCAGATCATCAGAACCTGACGCCATCTGCACTCTTTTTAAGCATTGGTCTCTATACCATTATCTCCGCATCCCTTCTCGTCGATTCTTCCTTCCCGTCTGAGTCATTCCGTACCTCGTCCTGCCTTCACCTTTTTTGTCACTTTTGCTTCTCTTTGCGTTGCCTTTCCCTGCAACCTTTCTGTCACTTTCTGTTTGATTGTTTTCTAAGTACCTTTCCCTCCCCTGCTGCTCTGTTTAGCATTCTCAAACCATCCATTCTGTCCCGTGCTGTTCCTCTGTGCGTGCAGCACAGGGCAAGGGGTGGGAGATGGTGGATGCACCGGTGTCAGGAGGGGTGGCACGTGCTGCAGACGGTACCCTCACTGTGAGCTCTGTCACAGCTCACTGTGTGCAGTCGTAGTGTTCGTGTTATTACTGGCCGGCACCCCTTCCTTGCTCCAGGCACTTCCCTCCTGAATTGTGACGTCTCAAATCCTACCTGCCCTTCTCACACTTCATCTCCCGTAACCCCTCTCTCTGTCCTCTTGTTCCTCACATGGCAGATAATGGCAGCTGCTACACCCGCTGCTCTTTCCAAGGCACAGCCAGTGCTGGAAGGTACGCCTGGCAGGGCAGTGAACGGGTGGGGGGCAGTGCACGGATGGGGGGGTGGGTGAGTGTTCGCCTTCTTGCAAGCTCTGCTAGGCCTCCGATTCTGATGCTGCAATGCACCTGCCTCTGTCTCTCCATCACCCCCCCCTAGCCCCCTCGCCTTGCGTTTCCCTCCTTCCCAAGATCCTATTCTAACATCCCCTCACCATCCCCTCTCTCCCACCCCTCCCTCCTCTCCCCTTTTTCCTCCCCCCTCTCTCCCCGCTGCAGCCATGAGTGCAAAGCTGTACATAGTGGGTGATATACCGGGAGCAGGCAGGTGCGTGGGTGGGGGAACGGGGGTAGGTGGCAGTGGGGGAGGGGGGGCAGGGGGGCAAGGAGGCAAGGTGGGCAACGAGGGCAAGGGGGCAAAGGGGGCAAGGGGGCCATGAGAGCAAAGCTGTACATTGTGGGTGACACACCGGGCGCAGGCAGGTGCGTGAGTGGGGGGCAGGGGAGTAGGACGTGGGTGAGTTAGATGTGTATTTCGAGCTTTCTCAAAAACACCCGGCAGAAGGACCAAGGCGCGCGCGTGGACCAAGGCGCGCGCGTGGACCAAGGCGCGCGCGTGGACCAAGGAGCGCGCGTGGACCAAGGAGCGCGCGTGGACCATGGCGCGCGCGTGGACCATGGCGCGCGCGTGGACCAAGGCGCGCGCGTGGACCAAGGCGCGCGCGTGGACCAAGGCGCACGCGTGGACCAAGGCGCGCGCGTGGACCAAGGCGCGCGCGTGGACCAAGGCGCGCGCGTAGACCAAGGCGCGCGCATGGACCAAGGCGCGCGCGTGGACCATGGCGCGCGTTTGGACCATGGCGCGCGCGTGGACCATGGCGCGCGCGTGGACCATGGCGCGCGCGTGGACCAAGGCGGGCGCGTGGACCAAGGCGCGCGCGTGGACCAAGGCGCGCGCGTGGACCAAGGCGCGCGCGTGGACCAAGGCGCGCGCGTGGACCAAGGCGCGCGCGTGGACCAAGGCGCGCGCGTGGACCATGGCGCGCGCGTGGACCATGGCGCGCGCGTGGACCATGGCGCGCGCTTGGACCATGGCGCGCGCGTGGACCAAGGCGCGCGCGTGGACCAAGGCGCGCGCGTGGACCAACGCGCGCGTGGACCAAGGCGCGCGCGTGGACCATGGCGCGCGCGTGGACCAAGGCGCGCGTGTGGACCAAGGCGCGCGCGTGGACCAAGGCGCGCGCGTGGACCAAGGCGCGCGCGTGGACCAAGGCGCGCGCGTGGACCAAGGCGCGCGCGTGGACCAAGGCGCGCGCGTGGACCAAGGCGCGCGCGTGGACCAAGGCGCGCGCGTGGACCATGGCGCGCGCGTGGACCAAGGCGCGCGCGTGGACCAAGGCGCGCGCGTGGACCAAGGCGCGCGCGTGGACCAAGGCGCGCGCGTGGACCAAGGTCGCGCGTGGACCAAGGCGCGCGCGTGGACCAAGGCGCGCGCGTGGACCAAGGCGCGCGCGTGGACCAAGGCGCGCGCGTGGACCAAGGCGCGCGCGTGGACCATGGCGCGCGCGTGGACCATGGCGCGCGCGTGGACCATGGCGCGCGCTTGGACCATGGCGCGCGCGTGGACCAAGGCGCGCGCGTGGACCAAGGCGCGCGCGTGGACCAAGGCGCGCGCGTGGACCAAGGCGCGCGCGTGGACCAAGGCGCGCGCGTGGACCAACGCGCGCGTGGACCAAGGCGCGCGCGTGGACCATGGCGCGCGCGTGGACCATGGCGCGCGCGTGGACCAAGGCGCGCGCGTGGACCAAGGCGCGCGCGTGGACCAAGGCACGCGCGCCCGGGCCAAGGCGCGCGCGCGGACCAAGGCGCGCACCTCAATCGTTGTGCCTTCTCTCTTCTCTCGTCTTTCTCACTCTTCTCCCACGTTGCCCTCTTCTTCTCCCCTCCTCCATCCCCAGTGCTGTGGAGATGGCGAATCAGCTGCTGGCAGGGGTGCACATAGCGGCAGCAGCAGCAGGTCACCCCTGTGTGGACTTGACTGTTGCGTCGTCTTCTCCATTCCTGTGTTGACTTACATGTTCCGCCTTCTCCCTTCAACCTTCTCCCCACCTCCTCCCACCGTCAGCGCGGTGAAGATGGTGAATCAGCTGCTGGCAGGGGTGCACATAGCAGCAGCAGCGGAGGCGATGGCACTGGGGGCGAGGGCAGGGCTGAACGCGCGCATGGTGTTTGACATCATCTCACACGCTGCTGGCAACTCGTGGTGGGTGCACGTGGTATGGTGTGCCCTGTGTGTGTGTCTATGCCATGGCTGCTCATCCCCATGCCCACGCCCACCCTCATCCCACGGCCCCTGTCAGGATGTTTGAGAATCGAGTGCCGCACATGCTGGACAACGGCTACTGAGTCGACTCATAAATCATTACCATCCCTACGCCCATCCTCACGCCCTTCCCGATTGCCATACCCACACCTATGTCAGGATGTTTGAGAACAGAGTGCCGCACATGCCGGACAACAACAATTGATTCGACTCAAAAGTACTTTCTTTTCCTTGCCCATCCTCACGCCCATCCTGATTGCCACCCCCACCCACATCTCAGGATGTTTGAGAACCGAGTGCCACACATGCTGGACAATGACTACACACCTCAACTCAAAAATCATTGCCATCTCTCCCCCATCCCCATGCCCTTGCCCATCCCATCCCCCACACCTATGTCAGGATGTTTGAGAACCGAGTGCCACACATGCTGGACAACGACTACACGCCCCGCTCCGCGCTCAACATCTTTGTCAAGGACCTGGTATGCCGTGTTGTGCTGAGGCGCTGTACTAAGGCAGGGTCTGTATCTCCTGTCAGACCTGGGACCCTGTGATATGGAAGTTCACTTCTGACGCATCTCAAAAGTCGTCAAGGACCTGACCTGGTACGCCCTGCTGTGCCGGCACTCGCTGTCTCACTCGGGGACCTGGTCTCACCCCGTGACCTGGTCTCACTCCGTGACCTGGTCTCGCTCCGTGACCTGGTCTCGCTCCGTGACCTGGTCTCGCTCCGTGACCTGGTCTCGCTCCGTGACCTGGTCTCGCTCCGTGACCTGGTCTCACTCCGTGACCTGGTCTCACTCCGTGACCTGGTCTCACTCCGTGACCTGGTCTCGCTCCGTGACCTGGTCTCGCTCCGTGACCTGGTCTCGCTCCGTGACCTGGTCTCGCTCCGTGACCTGGTCTCGCTCCGTGACCTGGTCTCACTCCGTGACCTGGTCTCACTCCGTGACCTGGTCTCACTCCGTGACCTGGTCTCACTCCGTGACCTGGTCTCACCCCGTGACCTGGTCTCACCCCGTGACCTGGTCTCACTCCGTGACCTCGTCTTACTCCGTGACCTGGTCTCACTCCGTGACCTGGTCTCCAGCACAGTGCACAAGTGACTGCCTCAGTAAGGCAGTCCAGCAGCCGTTTGTTCGTTTTGTTGTATTGAGGCAGCCTCACCATCCAAAGTCGTTCCTGCGTGGTGTTGTACAGCGCGGTGGAGTGCGGTGCGGTTGGGTTCACTGCAGTGCGCAGCGTATGAGACACTGGTTGAGAAGCACACCTCACCTCACAGCATGCCTATTCACTTCACTCTTGCTCCCTCCTCCCACTTCCCTCTCCGTTTACTCCCTTCAGGGCATTGTGTTGGGCGAGGCACAGTCGCTCGCGTTCCCTCTGCCCCTGGCAGCAGCAGCACACCAGCAGTTCCTGGCTGGTGCAGCAGCGGGGCTGGGCAGGGAGGACGATGCTGCCGTGGTCAAGGTGAGTGCGGGGGGGTGGTGCGGGTGGGGGTAGGGAGTTTGGGGGTAGAGGTTTCTGTAACTCGGCAGGGCATGAGGTGCAGCAGCAGGGCTGGGCAGGGAGGACGATGCTGCCGTGGTCAAGGTGAGTGGGGGATTGCAGGTGGAAGTTAGGGGGCTGAGAGCGGGGAGTTTGAGGGTTTGGAGCGTGGGGTGAGGATTTGTGTACCTTGGCATGGAATGAGGTGCAGCAGCAGGGCTAGGCAGGGAGGGCGAAGCCGCCGGGGTCAAGGTGAGTGGATGGGGTTGAGGGGGGAAGAGGGCGGGAGGCTTGGATATAGGTTTCAGTGGGAAGGCACATGTTTCATGCTCTGCACTGCAGGTATCATGTCATGTCACACTGCATGGAATGGAAGCAGCTGCTGCATGCATCAACTCGTTGATTGGATCTTCCTTCGTTTCTCTCATTGTCAAATCCTTTCTCCCTTTCCCCTGGTCCCTACACCCCGATACTCTCGCACCAATTTCCACCCATCCCCATCCATCATCACCCATTCCCACCACCGTCCGCCCATCTCATCCCCTCTAGGTCTATGAGCGCCTGGCAGGAGTAACAGTCGCTTCCGCCCTCCCTGCCACCTTCTCTCCCTCCTCCACCTCCTCCTCTTCTCCATTCCCGGAGCCCACCATCCAATCAAAAGCTGCCATGCTGGCAGCACTGCCGCCCGAGTGGACGGGCAGCATGGAAGTGACAGGGGGGGGCGGAGAGGGCAAGGGGGGAGGGCAGGGGGAAGGGCAAGCGGGAGGGCAAGGGGCGGTGCTGCCAGTGGTGGTGGTTCTGGATGATGATCCCACGGGCACTCAGACCGTGCATGGCCTGCACGTGCTCACCACATGGTATGGTCGGGTGGTAACCACGTGGTATGAGTGTGTGTGGTAACCACGTGCTTGAGCGATGGGAATGGCAGGGCAAGGGGCGGTGCTGCCAGTGGTGGTGGTGTTGGATGATGATCCCACGGGCACTCAAACCGTGCATGGGCTACAAGTCCTCACCACGTGGTATGTGTGGTAACCACGTGGTATGTGTGGTAACCACGTGGTATGTGTGGTAACCACGTGGTAGGGCGTGGTAACCACGTGGTCTGGTGGTTAGTAACAGTGTGGTATGGTGGATGGTAACTGCGTAGTCTCTCGTCTCATTCATCATTCTTATCCTCGCATTCCTCTCGTCTCATTCATCATTCTTATCCTCGCATTCCTCTCGTCTCATTCATCATTCTTATCCTCGCATTCCTCTCGTCTCATTCATCATTCTTATCCTCGCATTCCTCTCGTCTCATTCATCATTCTTATCCTCGCATTCCTCTCGTCTCTCCCTGATTCCTTCCCCAGGGACGTGGAAACACTCAAGGCGGAGATGGCAGCACTGGCGCACACCCCCAATGCTGCCTTCTTCATTCTCACCAACTCCCGTGCGCTGCCCACACAGCAGGTGGGTGGGGGGCATATGCAGCTGTTGCCGTCACAGCAGGTGGGTGGTATGGCGTGGCATGGTGCAGCGTTTGCGGTCACAGCAGGTGGGTGGGGTATAGTGTTTGTATGATGACAGCACTAGCGCACACCCCCAATGCCACCTTCTTCATTCTCACCAACTCCCGCGCGCTGCCCATGCAGCAGGTGGGTGGGGTATGACATGGCATGACGTGGCATGGCATCACGCGACATGGCATGACGTGGCATGGCATCACATGACATGGCATGGCAAGACATGGCGTGGCATGGCATCTGTCCTCATCCTCATTACCACCACCTCCATCGCCCTGCTCTATCCTTCCCCATGCTGCTGCTTCCCTGCCCTTTTAAACTGCCTCTTTCTCGTTCCTCTCCGCCTCTCTTGACCATTTTCCCCTCACTCTCCTCTCCTCCCCGTCCTTACACTACCCTCGTGTGCGCCATTGCAGGCAGCAGATCTCACACAAACCATCTGCAGCAACGTCGTCACAGCAGCCCAGCAAGCAGGGATCCTCAGGTAAGCAGCGGTGGAGATGGGCGAAATGGGTTATGGGGAGTTGTGATGCGGAGGTGACTGGTTTTGCGAGTGGCTGTGGTTGTGAGAGCAGAGGCAGTGGCTTGGCTTGGCTTGACATGGCTGGGTCAGTATCCCCATGGAAGCACAGAGCCTGGCAGGAAGCAAGCTGTCCTCTCTGTAATCTGTGCCCGTGGTGTGGCTTATGCGTGTGCCTTTTGAGTCGACTCAGAAGAAGCCTGGCAGGAAGCAAGCTGTCCTTTCTGCCACTCTGTGCCCGTGTGTGCCTTGTGTGTGTGCAGCAGCAGTGGTGGCAAGGACCTGGGGTGCAGGGGCATCACGCTAATTCTCCGAGGGGACTCCACCCTGCGAGGCCACTTCCCCCAGGTACCCTCTGGGGCCTCTTCCTCTCTAGTCAACTCAGAATTCACCATCTGAATTGACTCGAAAGTCACCGCAAGGACCCGGGGTGCAGGGGCATCACGCTCATACTCCGAAGGGACTCCACCCTGCGAGGCCACTTCCCCCAGGTACACCGCTGTTCTGTTGAAATCAGTTTTGAAAATCCAGCAGAATCAAAAGTGGTTTTCCCATTCTCCAAGGCCACATCCCCCAGGTATCTTGCTGTTCTCTGCACTTGCTTCCTCTCCCATCACCCTTCCCCTGAAATTATCCTCACTCCTGTCAACATGTCCCTCGCTCCTCCCTGCTCTTTGTGGCTGATGGGGCTGAAAGGTGGGGAGGAGGAGGTTGTTCACAGTCATTCCTTCCCCGATCCCCCTCGTTCTGCTTCTCCAGTGCTCCACTCTCTCTCCCTATCCAGGTGGCAGAGGCAGCACTGGGCGCAGCCGTGGATGCATGGGTGGTGTCTGACGCTTCCTTTTGTTTCACTCCGCCCGCCACGTCTGTTGCTTCCCTGCACATGGCTCTCCCTACCCAGGAGGTAGAGGCAGCGGAGGCAGCGTTGGGAGCAGCAGTGGATGCGTGGGTGGTGTGTCCTTTCTTCCTGGAGGGAGGGCGCTACACCATCAATGACACACACTATGTGGCCGATGGGGCTGACAGGTGAGAGCGAAGGGTGCTGGTGGGCGGGGGTGCTGGTGGGCGGGGGTGCTGGTGGGAGGGGGTGCTGGTGGGCAGGGGTGCTGGTGGGGAGAAGAGCGCGTGTGATGGCAGCTACACCATCAACGATGTGAATTATGTGGCTGATGGGGCTGACAGGTGGGGGGTTTGAGTGTGTGGCGGATGTGGCGGATGGGGCTGACTGGTAGAGTATGTGTGAGTTCACTAAGGCATAGCATAGCACAGGGGCATTGGAACTGCCTGACATGACATGACGACACACACACACACTCACACACCCACCATTCCTCCACCACCCCTCCACCAGTTAGGCCGTTAGGCTGTTAGGCTGTTAGGGTGTTCACTGTTACGCTGTTACGCTGTTAGGCTGTTACGCTGTCTGGTAGGCTGTTACGCTGTTAGGCTGTTAGGTTGTTAGGCTAATAGGCTGATAGGCGGTTAGGCTGTTAGGCTGTTAGGCTGTTAGGCTGTTAGGTTGCTAGGCTGTTAAGTTGTTTGGCTGATAGGCTGTTAGGCTGTTAGGCTGTTACGCTCTTACGCCGTTACGCTGTTAGGCTGTTAGGCTGTTAGGCTGTTACGCTGTTAGCTATTACGCTGTTACGCTGTTACGCTGTTAGGCTGTTAGGCTGTTAGACTGTTAGGCTGTTAGGCTGTTACGCTGTTACGCTGTTACGCTGTTAGGCTGTTACGCTGTTAGGCTGTTAGGCTAATAGGCTGATAGGCGGTAGGCTGTTAGGCTGTTAGGCTGTTAGGCTGTTAGGTTGCTAGGCTGTTAAGTTGTTTGGCTGATAGGCTGTTAGGCTGTTACGCTCTTACGCTCTTACGCTCTTACGCTGTTAGGCTGTTAGGCTGCTAGGCTGCTAGGCTGTTAGGCTGTTAGGCTGTTACGCTGTTAGGCTGTTAGCCTGTTACGCTGTTAGGCTGTTAGGCTGTTAGGCTGTTAGGCTGTTAGGCTGTTAGGCTGTTAGGCTGTTAGGCTCTTAGGCTGTTACGCTGTTACGTTGTTACGCTGTTAGGCTGCTAGGCTGCTAGGCTGCTAGGCTGTTGGGCTGTTGGGCTGTGGCTGTTAGGCTGTTAGGCTGTTAGGCTGTTTGGCTGTTACGCTGTTACGCTGTTAGGCTGTTAGGCTGTTAGGCTGTTAGGCTGTTAGGCTGTTACGCTGTTACGCTGTTAGGCTGTTAGGATGTTAGGCTGTTAGGCTGTTAGGCTGTTACGCTGTTACGCTGTTAGGCTGTTAGGATGTTAGGCTGTTAGGCTGTTAGGCTGTTACGCTGTTTCGCTGTTACGCTGTTACGCTGTTACGCTGTTACGCTGTTACGCTGTTAGGCTGTTAGGCTGTTAGGCTGTTAGGCTGTTAGGCTGTTAGGCTGTTACGCTGTTACGCTGTTACGCTGTTAGGCTGCTAGGCTGCTAGGCTGTTGGGCTGTTGGGCTGTGGCTGATAGGCTGTTAGGCTGTTAGGCTGTTAGGCTGTTAGGCTGTTACGCTGTTACGCTGTTACGCTGTTAGGCTGTTAGGATGTTAGGCTGTTAGGCTGTTAGGCTGTTAGGCTGTTAGGCTGTTAGTATGTTAGGCTGTTAGGCTGTTAGGCTGTTACGCTGTTAGGCTGTTAGGCTGTTAGGCTGTTAGGCTGTCAGGCTGTTACGTTATTAGGCTGTTAGGCTGTTACGCTGTTACGCTGTTAGGCTGTTAGCCTGTTAGCCTGTTACGCTGTTACGCTGTTTGGCTGTTACGCTGCTAGGTTGTTAGGCTGTTAGGCTGTTAGGCTGTTACGCTGTTAGGCTGTTAGGCTGTTACGCTGTTACGCTGTTACGCTGTTACGCTGTTACGCTGTTAGGCTGTTAGGCTGTTACGCTGTTAGGCTGTTAGGCTGCTATGCTGTTAGGCTGTTAGGGCGTTAGGCTGCTTGGCTGTTGGGCTGTTGCGCTGTTACGCTGTTAGGCTGTTAGGCTGTTACGCTGTTAGGCTGTTAGGCTGCTATGCTGTTAGGCTGTTAGGGCGTTAGGCTGCTTGGCTGTTGGGCTGTTGCGCTGTTACGCTGTTAGGCTGTTACGCTGTTAGGCTGATAGGCTGATAGGCTGATGGGCTGATGGGCTGATGGGCTGATGGGCTGATGGGCTGATGGGCTGATGGGCTGCTGGGCTGCTGGGCTGCTGGGCTGCTGGGCTGCTGGGCTGCTGGGCTGCTGGGCTGTTAGGTGGCTGTTCCACACCCCTTCACCGCTTCACACCCACCACCCCAGGCTAGTGCCTGCGGCACAGACAGAGTTTGCCAAAGACGCTGCCTTTGGGTACTCCCACTCCAACCTCAAACAGATGCCTTTGAGTCGACAAATGTCAACCCCTCCGCCCCTCCACACCCCACCACCCCAGGCTGGTGCCGGCAGCACAGACAGAGTTTGCCAAGGACGCTGCTTTTGAGGCGCCTCAAAAACACCTTCCCACCACAATCCACCACCCTTCCACACCCCACCACCCCAGGCTGGTGCCGGCAGGACAGACAGAGTTTGCCAAGGACGCTGCCTTTGGGTATTCACACTCAAATCTCAAACAGGTGCGCGCCTGTGCTTTGTGGTGCTGTGCGGTACTGTGCTGTGCTGTGTGGGCGGGAGGGATATAGACATGTAGATGTGGGTTTCTGGATGTCATGCGTTTAATTGCACCAATTTTCTCTCCTGTATGCTGCTCTGTGATTTGATCCAATCAGTGGGTGGAGGAGAAGACAGGAGGCGCCAGGTCAGCAGCTGACGTGGCATCCATCTCCATCTCGACCATCAGAGAGGGCGGCCCTTCTGCCGTCCTTAAAGCCCTCATGGCGCTGCCCAAGGTGCTCCCTGCTGCTCCCTGCTGCTTCCTCCCATGTCCTCACATGCTCCCCCCATGCTGCCTTATGAATGATGTGCTGTACGGTTCCCATGCTCTCCCAAGGGCCCTCATGGTACCAGCTGGCGCTCTCCCAGCTGCTCATCCCTTCGACCTCTCTGCTGCATTGAGACATGCTGAATCGGGTTTGCTGTGGCATCTATCCTTACTGCGCTCTACTAGGTGTGTGACTGGTGGCGCCTGCCTAGGTGTGTGACTGGTGGCGCCTGCCTAGGTGTGTGACTGTTGGCGCCTGCCTAGGTGTGTGACTGGTGGCGCCTGCCTAGGTGTGTGACTGGTGGCGCCTGCCTAGGTGTGTGACTGGTGGCGCCTGCCTAGGTGTGTGACTGGTGGCGCCTGCCTAGGTGTGTGACTGGTGGCGCCTGCCTAGGTGTGTGACTGGTGGCGCCTGCCTAGGTGTGTGACTGGTGGCGCCTGCCTAGGTGTGTGACTGGTGGCGCCTGCCTAGGTGTGTGACTGGTGGCGCCTGCCTAGGTGTGTGACTGGTGGCGCCTGCCTAGATGTGTGACTGGTGGCGCCTGCCTAGGTGTGTGACTGGTGGCGCCTGCCTAGGTGTGTGACTGGTGGCGCCTGCCTAGGTGTGTGACTGATGGCGCCTGCCTAGGTGTGTTACTGGTGGCGCCTGCCTAGGTGTGTGACTGGTGGCGCCTGCCTAGGTGTGTGACTGGTGGCGCCTGCCTAGGTGTGTGACTGGTGGCGCCTGCCTAGGTGTGTCACTGGTGGCGCCTGCGTAGGTGTGTTACTGGTGGCGCCTGCCTAGGTGTGTTACTTGTGGCGCCTGCCTAGGTGTGTGACTGGTGGCGCCTGCCTAGGTGTGTTACTGGTGGCGCCTGCTTAGGTGTGTGACTGGTGGCGCCTGCCTAGGTGTGTTACTGGTGGCGCCTGCCTAGGTGTGTGACTGGTGGCGCCTGCCTAGGTGTGTCACTGGTGGCGCCTGCCTAGGTGTGTGACTGGTGGCGCCTGCCTAGGTGTGTCACTGGTGGCGCCTGCCTAGGTGTGTGACTGGTGGCGCCTGCCTAGGTGTGTGACTGGTGGCGCCTGCCTAGGTGTGTGACTGATGGCGCCTGCCTAGGTGTGTGACTGGTGGCGCCTGCCTAGGTGTGTGACTGGTGGCGCCTGCCTAGGTGTGTTACTGGTGACGCCTGCCTAGGTGTGTGACTGGTGGCGCCTGCCTAGGTGTGTGACTGGTGGCGCCTGCCTAGGTGTGTTACTGGTGGCGCCTGCCTAGGTGTGTTACTGGTGGCGCCTGCCTAGGTGTGTTACTGGTGGCGCCTGCCTAGCTGTGTGACTGGTGGCGCCTGCCTAGGTGTGTGACTGGTGGCGCCTGCCTAGGTGTGTGACTGGTGGCGCCTGCCTAGGTGTGTGACTGATGGCGCCTGCCTAGGTGTGTGACTGGTGGCGCCTGCCTAGGTGTGTGACTGGTGGCGCCTGCCTAGGTGTGTTACTGGTGGCGCCTGCCTAGGTGTGTGACTGGTGGCGCCTGCCTAGGTGTGTGACTGGTGGCGCCTGCCTAGGTGTGTTACTGGTGGCGCCTGCCTAGGTGTGTTACTGGTGGCGCCTGCCTAGGTGTGTGACTGGTGGCGCCTGCCTAGCTGTGTGACTGGTGGCGCCTGCCTAGGTGTGTGACTGGTGGCGCCTGCCTAGGTGTGTGACTGGTGGCGCCTGCCTAGGTGTGTTACTGGTGGCGCCTGCCTAGGTGTGTGACTGGTGGCGCCTGCCTAGGTGTGTTACTGGTGGCGCCTGCCTAGGTGTGTTACTGGTGGCGCCTGCCTAGGTGTGTGACTGGTGGCGCCTGCCTAGGTGTGTGACTGGTGGCGCCTGCCTAGGTGTGTGACTGGTGGCGCCTGCCTAGGTGTGTTACTGGTGGCGCCTGCCTAGGTTTGTTACTGGTGGCGCCTGCCTAGGTGTGTGACTGGTGGCGCCTGCCTAGGTGTGTTACTGGTGGCGCCTGCCTAGGTGTGTGACTGGTGGCGCCTGCCTAGGTGTGTGACTGACTGGTGGCGCCTGCCTAGGTGTGTGACTGGTGGCGCCTGCCTATGTGTGTGACTGGTGGCGCCTGCCTAGGTGTGTGACTGGTGGCGCCTGCCTAGGTGTGTTACTGGTGGCGCCTGCCTAGGTGTGTGACTGGTGGCGCCTGCCTAGGTGTGTGACTGGTGGCGCCTGCCTAGGTGTGTTACTGGTGGCGCCTGCCTAGGTGTGTGACTGGTGGCGCCTGCCTAGGTGTGTTACTGGTGGCGCCTGCCTAGGTGTGTGACTGGTGGCGCCTGCCTAGGTGTGTTACTGGTGGCGCCTGCCTAGTGTGTGACTGGTGGCGCCTGCCTAGGTGTGTTACTGGTGGCGCCTGCCTAGCTGTGTGACTGGTGGCGCCTGCCTAGGTGTGTGACTGGTGGCGCCTGCCTAGGTGTGTCACTGGTGGCGCCTGCCTAGGTGTGTGACTGGTGGCGCCTGCCTAGGTGTGTGACTGGTGGCGCCTGCCTAGGTGTGTGACTGGTGGCGCCTGCCTAGGTGTGTGACTGGTGGCGCCTGCCTAGGTGTGTTACTGGTGGCGCCTGCTTAGGTGTGTGACTGGTGGCGCCTGCCTAGGTGTGTTACTGGTGGCGCCTGCCTAGGTGTGTGACTGGTGGCGCCTGCCTAGGTGTGTCACTGGTGGCGCCTGCCTAGGTGTGTGACTGGTGGCGCCTGCCTAGGTGTGTCACTGGTGGCGCCTGCCTAGGTGTGTGACTGGTGGCGCCTGCCTAGGTGTGTGACTGGTGGCGCCTGCCTAGGTGTGTGACTGATGGCGCCTGCCTAGGTGTGTGACTGGTGGCGCCTGCCTAGGTGTGTGACTGGTGGCGCCTGCCTAGGTGTGTTACTGGTGACGCCTGCCTAGGTGTGTGACTGGTGGCGCCTGCCTAGGTGTGTGACTGGTGGCGCCTGCCTAGGTGTGTTACTGGTGGCGCCTGCCTAGGTGTGTGACTGGTGGCGCCTGCCTAGGTGTGTTACTGGTGGCGCCTGCCTAGCTGTGTGACTGGTGGCGCCTGCCTAGGTGTGTGACTGGTGGCGCCTGCCTAGGTGTGTGACTGGTGGCGCCTGCCTAGGTGTGTGACTGATGGCGCCTGCATAGGTGTGTGACTGGTGGCGCCTGCCTAGGTGTGTGACTGGTGGCGCCAGCCTAGGTGTGTTACTGGTGGCGCCTGCCTAGGTGTGTGACTGGTGGCGCCTGCCTAGGTGTGTGACTGGTGGCGCCTGCCTAGGTGTGTTACTGGTGGCGCCTGCCTAGGTGTGTTACTGGTGGCGCCTGCCTAGGTGTGTGACTGGTGGCGCCTGCCTAGCTGTGTGACTGGTGGCGCCTGCCTAGGTGTGTGACTGGTGGCGCCTGCCTAGGTGTGTGACTGGTGGCGCCTGCCTAGGTGTGTTACTGGTGGCGCCTGCCTAGGTGTGTGACTGGTGGCGCCTGCCTAGGTGTGTTACTGGTGGCGCCTGCCTAGGTGTGTTACTGGTGGCGCCTGCCTAGGTGTGTGACTGGTGGCGCCTGCCTAGGTGTGTGACTGGTGGCGCCTGCCTAGGTGTGTCACTGGTGGCGCCTGCCTAGGTGTGTTACTGGTGGCGCCTGCCTAGGTTTGTTACTGGTGGCGCCTGCCTAGGTGTGTGACTGGTGGCGCCTGCCTAGGTGTGTTACTGGTGGCGCCTGCCTAGGTGTGTGACTGGTGGCGCCTGCCTAGGTGTGTGACTGACTGGTGGCGCCTGCCTAGGTGTGTGACTGGTGGCGCCTGCCTATGTGTGTGACTGGTGGCGCCTGCCTAGGTGTGTGACTGGTGGCGCCTGCCTAGGTGTGTTACTGGTGGCGCCTGCCTAGGTGTGTGACTGGTGGCGCCTGCCTAGGTGTGTGACTGGTGGCGCCTGCCTAGGTGTGTTACTGGTGGCGCCTGCCTAGGTGTGTGACTGGTGGCGCCTGCCTAGGTGTGTTACTGGTGGCGCCTGCCTAGGTGTGTGACTGGTGGCGCCTGCCTAGGTGTGTTACTGGTGGCGCCTGCCTAGTGTGTGACTGGTGGCGCCTGCCTAGGTGTGTTACTGGTGGCGCCTGCCTAGCTGTGTGACTGGTGGCGCCTGCCTAGGTGTGTGACTGGTGGCGCCTGCCTAGGTGTGTCACTGGTGGCGCCTGCCTAGGTGTGTGACTGGTGGCGCCTGCCTAGGTGTGTGACTGGTGGCGCCTGCCTAGGTGTGTGACTGGTGGCGCCTGCCTAGGTGTGTGACTGGTGGCGCCTGCCTAGGTGTGTCACTGGTGGCGCCTGCCTAGGTGTGTGACTGGTGGCGCCTGCCTAGGTGTGTTACTTGTGGCGCCTGCCTAGGTGTGTTACTGGTGGCGCCTGCCTAGGTGTGTTACTGGTGGCGCCTGCCTAGGTGTGTTACTTGTGGCGTCTGCCTAGGTGTGTCACTGGTGGCGCCTGCCTAGGTGTGTGACTGGTGGCGCCTGCCTAGGTGTGTGACTGGTGGCGCCTGCCTAGGTGTGTTACTGGTGGCGCCTGCCTAGGTGTGTTACTTGTGGCGCCTGCCTAGGTGTGTGACTGGTGGCGCCTGCCTAGGTGTGTTACTGGTGGCGCCTGCCTAGGTGTGTGACTGGTGGCGCCTGCCTAGGTGTGTTACTGGTGGCGCCTGCCTAGGTGTGTCACTGGTGGCGCCTGCCTAGGTGTGTCACTGGTGGCGCCTGCCTAGGTGTGTCACTGGTGGCGCCTGCCTAGGTGTGTCACTGGTGGCGCCTGCCTAGGTGTGTGACTGGTGGCGCCTGCCTAGGTGTGTGACTGGTGGCGCCTGCCTAGGTGTGTGACTGATGGCGCCTGCCTAGGTGTGTGACTGGTGGCGCCTGCCTAGGTGTGTGACTGGTGGCGCCTGCCTAGGTGTGTCACTGGTGGCGCCTGCCTAGGTGTGTCACTGGTGGCGCCTGCCTAGGTGTGTTACTGGTGGCGCCTGCCTAGGTGTGTGACTGGTGGCGCCTGCCTAGGTGTGTTACTGGTGGCGCCTGCCTAGGTGTGTGACTGGTGGCGCCTGCCTAGGTGTGTGACTGGTGGCGCCTGCCTAGGTGTGTGACTGGTGGCGCCTGCCTAGGTGTGTGACTGGTGGCGCCTGCCTAGGTGTGTGACTGGTGGCGCCTGCCTAGGTGTGTGACTGGTGGCGCCTGCCTAGGTGTGTGACTGGTGGCGCCTGCCTAGGTGTGTTACTGGTGGCGCCTGCCTAGGTTTGTTACTGGTGGCGCCTGCCTAGGTGTGTGACTGGTGGCACCTGCCTAGGTGTGTTACTGGTGGCGCCTGCCTAGCTGTGTGACTGGTGGCGCCTGCCTAGGTGTGTGACTGACTGGTGGCGCCTGCCTAGGTGTGTGACTGGTGGCGCCTGCCTAGGTGTGTGACTGGTGGCGCCTGCCTAGGTGTGTGACTGGTGGCGCCTGCCTAGGTGTGTCACTGGTGGCGCCTGCCTAGGTGTGTGACTGGTGGCGCCTGCCTAGGTGTGTGACTGGTGGCGCCTGCCTAGGTGTGTTACTGGTGGCGCCTGCCTAGGTGTGTTACTTGTGGCGCCTGCCTAGGTGTGTGACTGGTGGCGCCTGCCTAGGTGTGTGACTGGTGGCGCCTGCCTAGGTGTGTGACTGGTGGCGCCTGCCTAGGTGTGTGACTGGTGGCGCCTGCCTAGGTGTGTTACTTGTGGCGCCTGCCTAGGTGTGTTACTGGTGGCGCCTGCCTAGGTGTGTCACTGGTGGCGCCTGCCTAGGTGTGTGACTGGTGGCGCCTGCCTAGGTGTGTGACTGGTGGCGCCTGCCTAGGTGTGTTACTGGTGGCGCCTGCCTAGGTGTGTTACTTGTGGCGCCTGCCTAGGTGTGTGACTGGTGGCGCCTGCCTAGGTGTGTTACTGGTGGCGCCTGCCTAGGTGTGTGACTGGTGGCGCCTGCCTAGGTGTGTTACTGGTGGCGCCTGCCTAGGTGTGTGACTGGTGGCGCCTGCCTAGGTGTGTCACTGGTGGCGCCTGCCTAGGTGTGTCACTGGTGGCGCCTGCCTAGGTGTGTCACTGGTGGCGCCTGCCTAGGTGTGTGACTGGTGGCGCCTGCCTAGGTGTGTGACTGGTGGCGCCTGCCTAGGTGTGTGACTGATGGCGCCTGCCTAGGTGTGTGACTGGTGGCGCCTGCCTAGGTGTGTGACTGGTGGCGCCTGCCTAGGTGTGTCACTGGTGGCGCCTGTCTAGGTGTGTCACTGGTGGCGCCTGCCTAGGTGTGTTACTGGTGGCGCCTGCCTAGGTGTGTGACTGGTGGCGCCTGCCTAGGTGTGTTACTGGTGGCGCCTGCCTAGGTGTGTGACTGGTGGCGCCTGCCTAGGTGTGTGACTGGTGGCGCCTGCCTAGGTGTGTGACTGGTGGCGCCTGCCTAGGTGTGTGACTGGTGGCGCCTGCCTAGGTGTGTGACTGGTGGCGCCTGCCTAGGTGTGTGACTGGTGGCGCCTGCCTAGGTGTGTGACTGGTGGCGCCTGCCTAGGTGTGTTACTGGTGGCGCCTGCCTAGGTTTGTTACTGGTGGCGCCTGCCTAGGTGTGTGACTGGTGGCGCCTGCCTAGGTGTGTTACTGGTGGCGCCTGCCTAGGTGTGTGACTGGTGGCGCCTGCCTAGGTGTGTGACTGACTGGTGGCGCCTGCCTAGGTGTGTGACTGGTGGCGCCTGCCTAGGTGTGTGACTGGTGGCGCCTGCCTAGGTGTGTCACTGGTGGCGCCTGCCTAGGTGTGTTACTGGTGGCGCCTGCCTAGGTGTGTGACTGGTGGCGCCTGCCTAGGTGTGTGACTGGTGGCGCCTGCCTAGGTGTGTTACTGGTGGCGCCTGCCTAGGTGTGTGACTGGTGGCGCCTGCCTAGGTGTGTTACTGGTGGCGCCTGCCTAGGTGTGTGACTGGTGGCGCCTGCCTAGGTGGGTGACTGGTGGCGCCTGCCTAGGTGTGTCACTGGTGGCGCCTGCCTAGGTGTGTGACTGGTGGCGCCTGCCTAGGTTTGTTACTGGTGGCGCCTGCCTAGGTGTGTTACTGGTGGCGCCTGCCTAGGTGTGTGACTGGTGGCGCCTGCCTAGGTCTGTGACTGGTGGCGCCTGCCTAGGTGTGTTACTGGTTGCGCCTGCCTAGGTGTGTTACTGGTGGCGCCTGCCTAGGTGTGTGACTGGTGGCGCCTGCCTAGGTGTGTTACTGGTGGCGCCTGCCTAGGTGTGTTACTGGTCGCGCCTCCCTAGGTGTGTTACTGGTGGCGCCTGCCTAGGTGTGTTACTGGTGGCGCCTGCCTAGGTGTGTTACTGGTGGCGCCTGCCTAGGTGTGTGACTGGTGGCGCCTGCCTAGGTGTGTTACTGGTGGCGCCTGCCTAGGTGTGTGACTGGTGGCGCCTGCCTAGTGTGTGACTGGTGGCGCCTGCCTAGGTGTGTTACTGGTGGCGCCTGCCTAGGTGTGTGACTGGTGGCGCCTGCCTAGGTGTGTGACTGGTGGCGCCTGCCTAGGTGTGTTACTGGTGGCGCCTGCCTAGGTATGTGACTGATGGCGCCTGCCTAGGTGTGTGACTGGTGGCGCCTGCCATTCAGACGCAGCAGGGCGCTCCTTCCTCGTGCGCTCTGCTGCCTCCTTCGTCTCCTCCCTCCTCTGCACACGTTAAATTCCGCCCTCCCCCCGCCCTGTCCCCCTTGCTCCCACAGGGCAGTGTGTGCATCTTGAATGCAGCAAGCGACAGTGACCTACACGTGGCAACAGCAGCTCTAAGACACGCAGAGGCTGCTGGGCGCTCCTTCCTTGTGCGCTCTGCTGCCTCCTTCGTCTCCTCCCTCCTCGTCCTCCTCTGCACTCCTTGAATTCCGCGCTCCCCCCCCCCCCCCCCCCCCCCCCCCCGCCTTCCCCCCTTTTCTCCTGCAGGGCAGTGTGTGTGTACTCAATGCAGCGAGTGACAATGACTTGCACGTGGCATCGGCAGCTCTACGCCACGCAGAGGCAGCAGGGCGCTCCTTCCTTGTGCGCTGTGCTGCTTCCTTTGTCTCCTCCCTCCTCTCCCTCCCCAAGCTGCCCCCGCTTGGTCCCCCTGAGTGGGCGCAGCTGCTGCTGGGGGGAGGAGGAGGAGGGGAGTGTCGGGGGGAAGGGGAGAACGGAGGGGAGGGGGAGTGGGGCCGGAAGTTGAAGCGGTGGGGCTGGTTGCGGAGCAGTACCAGGGGTTTGATTGTGGTGGGGTCGTATGTGCCAAAGACGAGTGCTCAGGTGAATGGGAGAGGGTGGGGTTAAGGAGTGAGGGATAAAAAGGAGGTAAAGGAGGCGAGGAGGGGCAGAAGGTGAAGGAGGAGGGGAGGAAAGACGGAAAGAGAGTGTGCGGAAGAGAGTGGGGATAAGATTGGGGGGTGAACAAAATATTTTCAAAGTCGTGATGGAGCAGTGCAACTGAGTGCTGATGTATGCAGCAACACAGTGGCATTTCACCGTGTCTTGCGTGATCCCGTCCCGTTTTTCTAATACTGAAGGCATTCATTCCCTCCTTTCCTATGCAACTGTCCCCTCCTCTTTCCCTGTCCGTGACCTCCCTTCTCTTCCCCCCCCTGCCACTCTCACTACACCAGCTGGAGGAGCTGCTCTCTCGCCTTGGCCCATCGCTGCACGTGGTTCAGGCAAGTCCGCCTGCATGCATTCATGGTTGTGTGACGCACGGCAGATGGATGGCAAATGCATAGCAAGTGCATGGCAGATGGATGGCAAATGCATAGCAAGTGCATGGCAGATGGATGGCAAATGCATAGCAAGTGCATGGCAGATGGATGGCAAATGCATAGCAAGTGCATGGCAGATGGATGGCAAATGCATAGCAAGTGCATGGCAGATGGATGGCAAATGCATAGCAAGTGCATGGCAGATGGATGGCAAATGCATAGCAAGTGCATGGCAGATGCACGACAGAGAGGAGAGTGCTGCATGCCATTCTAGTCAGAGTGAGTCCGTTCCACAATGATTGACAGACTTCGCACACACACCCATCATGACCCCATCCACATTGCAAGCACCCTCACCGCACTCACACATTAATGGTACCTGAGTGCCCTTCCTCCGCTCCTTCCCTCACGTTGCTCCACGTCATCGGACAGGTCAGCGCTGCTGACGTGGCGTCTGACATCTGGCAGGGGGAGAGGAGGCAAGCGGCGGTGGCAGGGATGGCAGGGGAGGCGGAGAAGGCTCTACAGGAAGGCAGAGACGTTGTCATAATGACGTCACGAGAGCTCATCACTGGTTCAGGTGGGAGTTACCTCAGGGGGGTGGTGCGTGATCATTGTCCCAGTGACTGTCCCCATGCCTGTCCCCATGAATGTCCCCAGCAGTCTGGAGATTTGTTCAATTGTGAGTGTGGCACTGGCGGAGTCATCATATCAATCATATCATAATGCCACGCTTGCATTCTCTGCCCCTTTCTGCATGATGCCCCTCTTGCATTCCTTGCACCTTCCATCCGCCCCCCATCGTCCCCATGCCTGCCAGACCCGGCCGACTTTTGAGTCGACTCAAAAGTCATTTCTGCATGATGCCCCTCTTGCATTCCTTGCACCTGCTATCCGGCTCCCCATCGTCCCCATGCCTGCCAGACCCGGCCAGCAGTCTGGAGATCGGGTCGAGAGTGAGCGAGGCGGTGGTCGATGTTGTCAAGGCAATCGGTGTGCGCCCCAAGTACATTCTCGCTAAGGTGCCATGGAGTAGGGTGGGATGGGGTACGGTGGGATGGAGTACAGTGGGATGGGATGGGGTACGGTGGAATGGGGCGAGGTGGGGTGTGGAACAATGTGGAGAGGACGTCTCCAGCATGGCATAACACGTCACGGCATGGCATGTCATGTCACGGGATGGCATGGCATTGCATGGCATAGCATTGCATGCCAGGGGTGCATGTGCCAAACCCTCTCAGACCCTCTTAACCAGCACCCATTTCCCTCTCACAACCATCACGGCGGCATCACATCAGCGGACTTGCCTTCTCCTCCGCCCCCCCGCTCCCTTCCCACTTCCCTCCCACACCCATCAGGGTGGCATCACATCATCGGACGTGGCGACCAAGGCACTGGGCGTGAGGAGGGCGAGGGTGGAGGGGCAGGCCATGGCAGGGGTGCCGCTGTGGCGCCTTGATGATGCCTCCAGGTTCCCGGACCTGCCCTACATCGTCTTCCCAGGTGGGGTTCTCCTTTCAGTCTTTCCCGTAGAGTCGCTTCTGAGAGTTCTCAAAAGTGACTCCAAGATAGGGTGGAGGGGCAGGCCATGGCAGGGGTGCCGCTGTGGCGCCTTGATGATGCCTCCAGGTTCCCGGACCTGCCCTACATCGTCTTCCCAGGTGGGGTTCTCCTTTCAGTCTTTCCCGTAGAGTCGCTTCTGAGAGTTCTCAAAAGTGACTCCAAGATAGGGTGGAGGGGCAGGCCATGGCAGGGGTGCCGCTGTGGCGCCTTGATGATGCCTCCATGTTCCCGGACCTGCCCTACATCGTCTTTCCAGGTAACGTCTGGGTTTTTTTCTTTTTCAGCCTGTGCTTTCTGTCATCATTCTTGCTGTGATCCACTTCTCTCTCATCCACTCCACCAACCACCAGGCAACGTGGGGTCATCCTCCTCTCTCGCTGACGTGGAGCAGCGCTGGCGCTCCCAGCCCATGACCCCGCCCCTACTGACAACACTAGACCTAGTGCACGTAGGCGATTGTTGAGTCGACTAGAACATTCTCTCATCCACTCCCCCATTCACCAGGCAACGTGGGGTCATCCTCCTCTCTCGCTGACGTGGAGCAGCGCTGGCGCTCCCAGCCCATGACCCCGCCCCTACTGACAACACTAGACCTAGTGCACGTAGGCGATTGTTGAGTCGACTAGAACATTCTCTCATCCACTCCCCCATTCACCAGGCAACGTGGGGTCATCCTCCTCTCTTGCCGACGTGGTACAGCGCTGGCGCCAGCCCATCACCCCACCCCTGCTGACCACGCTAGACCTAGTGCGCGCAGCAGAAGAGGGCGGGTATGCAGTGGGGGCGTTCAACGTGTATAACCTGGAAGGGGTGCGGGCCGTGGTGAAGGGAGCAGAAGAAGAGAGGAGTCCGGCCATTATCCAGGTACACAGGATCAAGATTTATGTCGGGAGTAGCAGCAAACATTATCCAGGTACACAATATGCGACATTGCGGTGGGAGGGGGTGAGTGCAGTGATGCGGGGAGCCTAGGAGAGGAGCCACTCTGGCAGCGAGCAGGGCGGCCGAGGTAGTGAGAAATCTTTGTGACCTCTCTCCCTTCTCGCTCCCTTCATCTCTGAATCTCCCCTCTCTGTCTCCCTCTCCCCGTCCCCCTCCCCAGCTGCATCCCTCGGCCATCCGTCATGGGGGAGAGCCGCTCATGGCAGCGTGCAAATCAGCGGCCATGGCTGCACGCGTGCCCATCGCTTTGCACCTCGACCATGCCACGGACGTGGGCCTTATTCAGCGATGTGTGGAGCAGGTGCGTGTGCCCATGGTGCTGTGTGGAGGTGCGTGCATCAAGTCAACACGCCTGGTGATCTGTGCCTTATACCCCCTCCCCCACCGCACATGATCGGTGAGTGCAGGGGTGGTGCCGGTCCATCATGGCAGGTGGTTCACACCTTCCTCTACCGCATTCCCACCCACCATTACCATGACCCATACACTATCCCCTCCCATCACCCAATCCATACTTCTGGTGAGTGCAGGGGTGGTGCCGGTCCATCATGGCAGACGGCTCTCACCTGCCCCTGGCAGACAATATCGCCTTCACTCAACGCGTTGTGGCTGCCCTCGCTGCCCTCACCATTCCAGCAGCCGTAGATGCACCAGGGGCGGCGAGAGTGGCACGCGGTGGGGGAGGGGCGGTGGTGGTGGAGGCGGAGGTGGGGCGGATAGCGGGGGTGGAAGATGGGGAGACAGTTGAGGATATTGCAGGGAGACTCACCCAAGTGGAGCAGGTGAGGTGCGGTGAGAGCAGGTGAGACACGGTGAGGCAGTGGTGGAGGCAGAGGTGGGGCGGATAGCGGGGGTGGAGGATGGGGAGACTGTGGAGGAGATTGCAGGGAGACTCACACAGGTTGAGCAGGTGAGGTGCGGTGGGAGCAGGTAAGGTGCAGTGGGAGCAGGTGAGGGGGGGTGGGAGCAGGTGGGTGGGGGTGGGAACGAGACAACGGAGAGGAGGGATAGGAAGCTAGTGCCAATTCGTATCCTCTTCTCACCCGTCCTCCTTCCATCCCCAGCCCCATTCTCCCTCTTTCCATCCCCAGCCCCATTCTACCTCTTTCCATCCCCAGCCCCATTCTCCCTCTTTCCATCCCCAGCCCCATTCTCCCTCTTTCCTTTCACACTCAACCCGGATCGTCCCGTTCCTCCCTCCTTTGCCCATGCAGGCCGAGACCTTCCTTGAAAGCGTTCCCCAGGTGTCTCTCCTCGTGGTGTGTGTGGGCAACCGCCACGGCCCCTACCCACCCTCCGTGCTCTCCTCCCCCGCCTCCATCCTCAACCTCTCTCTCCTCCGCTCCCTCGCTGCCACCGCCTCAAACCATCACGCCCACCTGGTGCTACACGGCGCCTCGGGATTGCCGCCCGAGATTGTGCAGGAGTGCGTACAGTGCGGCGTGCGCAAGTTCAATGTTAATACGGAGTTGAGGGCTGCTTATATGGAGGCACTGGGTGGGATTGGGGGTGGGGGGGGAGGAGGGAGGGATTTGGTGGATGTGATGGGAGAGGCTGAGAGGAGGATGGTAGATGTGGTGAGGGGGAAGGTGAGGCTGTTTGGGTCGGCTGATCGCGTGTGAGCTTGTGTGTGTGGAAGAGGGGAGAGGGGTGTGTTGGGAGGAGGGAGGGATTGAGTGGATGTGTTGGGAGAGGCTGAGAGGATGATGAGTGTGGTGAGTTGGAAGGTGGGGCAATTCGGGTCGACTGGTCGCATGCGAGCTTCCGTGTGTGGGAGAGGGTAGTGTGGGAGAGGGTAGTGTGGGAGAAGGGAGTTTGAGAGAGGGAAGTTGGAGGAAGGGAGAAGGGATTGGATTGACATTCGAATAGATGGATTAAAGAGGGGTGGAAGCACATGGGTTGTGGAGTTTATTGGTTGTTTTACACAGTTCATGCTGTTGAATTGCATCAGTCAGTGTGAGAAGCGGAAACTTCAAACTTTGGAAACTACCTGTCCCATGCATCGTGACCACGAGCATCGTGAGCAAGAGCATCGTGACGACGAGCATCGTGAGCGGGAGCATCGTGACCGCGAGCATCGTGAGCACGAGCATCGTGACCGCGAGCATCGTGACCACCACGAGCATCGTGACCACCACGAGCATCGTGACCATGAGCATCGTGACCACCACGAGCATCGTGAGCACGAGCATCGTGACCACCACGAGCATCGTGAGCACGAGCATCGTGACCACCACGAGCATCGTGAGCACGAGCATCGTGACCACCACGAGCATCGTGAGCACGAGCATCGTGAGCACGAGCATCGTGACCGCGAGCATCGTGAGCACGAGCATCGTGACAGAGAGCATCGTGACCGAGAGCATCGTGACCGAGAGCATCGTGACCGAGAGCATCGTGACCGAGAGCATCGTGACCGAGAGCATCGTGACCGAGAGCATCGTGACCGAGAGCATCATGACCACCACGAGTATCGTGAGCACGAGCATCGTGACCGAGAGCATCGTGACCGAGAGCATCGTGACCACCACGAGTATCGTGAGCACGAGCATCGTGACCACGAGCATCGTGACCACGAGCATCGTGACCGCGAGCATCGTGAGCACGAGCATCGCGACCGAGAGCATCGTGACCACCACGAGCATCGTGACCACCACGAGTATCGTGACCGAGAGCATCGTGAGCACGAGCATCGTGAGCACGAGCATCGTGAGCACGAGCATCGTGAGCAATAGCACTATATGAATGTAATGTGATTCTCTACATACCGTAATATCATAATTTTTAAACACACATTGTATTTTTTAAAATTGTGTATTGTGAAAGCGAAGCTGCTTGTACTGCACAATTGGCATCGTCGAAGCGCGCTAAACGCCCTTCTCCAACTACAAAAACCGTGGATTGGAGTTCATTTCCCTCCACCCACGTTTCTCGATTTTCAAACGGCTCACTCAACATTTTCCGCTCACGTAGTTTATCCCTCCGTCCAAGCTGGCTAGAACAAAATCGCTTCCCAGAGGCGAGTCACCTTCGACTTTACTCAACGACATTTTTAACTTCAATCGCTCAACGATGGCACCGACGCCGACACTTAACAACGGGAACTCGTCCAACCCTGCCTCCGACAACGACCGTAACACCCGCGATTTGGCGGGCGAACGCCGTAACAAGCGACGGGTAGAAGATGCACCGCCCGCCCCGACTGCAGTGGACGTGCTGCTGGGCGGGCTCGAGGTCAACAAATCGGCCAACGCCCAGCAGCACCCTTCGGCGCCAGTGGCGCCTGAGGCGCCTGTGGCGCCAGTGGCACCTGCGGCGCAAGTGGCGACGGCCGCTGGCGCGGCACACGCCACTGACGCCGAGCACACGCCAGCACCCGCGGCTGGACCGTCGCGTCAGCGCCAGAGGAGGCGGACGGCGGTCTCCTCCTCTGACGCGACGACCGCCCCTGCATTGACGCAGGCGTTGACCCCGGACCAGGTCAACGCGCTGCTGTCCCTTCTACAGCAGCAGCCCGTCAGCGTTACAGCCGCGGAAACTACACAACCCGCTGCATCTGCGTCGGCTAAAAAAGAAAATACGAAAAAGGAAAAAGGTGCGCGAGGAGCAAGGACGAATCGGCACGACAACGACGCAGCAACAGCAGCACCCCCCGCTCCAGCGGTCGACAACGACACCGACGACTCTGAAGATGAAGCCGGTGAGGCTCCAGTCAGCAATGTTAATTTTAATGGCACGGAACACCTTCCCCCCCTCCCTTCTTCTAACCTCACATTTTCGGCGGCAACATTCGTCAACGACTCCGTGCGAGAGCAAGCGGAGCTGCTGGAGGACTTGCGCGCGTACCTGCTGCACGCGGAATACAAGGCGCAGCGCGGAGACCCAGCGGGCGGACTCGAACTCATCTCGCACGCTCTCAACCTCATCTCGGGGCGTTTCGAGGTGCTTCAAGTGGAGGACGCCTCCGACTTCCGCACGGCGAAGCGCTTCAAGTTGTACCAGCTGAAGGGCCTGCTGAATTCTCGACCCTTCAAGCAGGCGGTCGCGGACATGGCGGCGATGGACCGTGCGGCAAGCGGATATGCTCGTGTCAACCGCGGCGGAAACAACGCGCCGTTGCCGTTTTTACCCAAGCGGGGCCCCCCACCCACGGCCAATTGCCGCAGGTTTCGGGGCTCGTGCTTCCGCTGTGGCCAGCCGGGCCACGTGGCAAGTGCCTGCCCTAGGAACGGGCATGGCGGCCAAGGACCCGCTCCGGTGGTGTAGGAGCGGGCCATGGGAATAGGCGCTTGAGCGCTAGGCACGGTGCACTCTTGAGTGCGAAAACCGTGGGCAACCCTAGGGGTTTGCGATGGCAAGAGGCCAGCCCTAGTGAAGGGTAGGAATAGGCTTTGGGCCTAGGATAGGGAAGGGGAACAACAACCCCCTCGGTCCCATGTAGTTGGCCACGTGGTGGCGTGATGCATGCTAGGAGAGCATTGCTATGTGTGTTGGTTGATTTAATAAAAACTACCTTCTTAAAAGCCTACTGTTTTTGGCAAAGAGACTCTGAAACAATCAAGAGGAGGAGCAGAGAGAGAGAGAGAGAGAGAGAGAGAGAGAGAGAGAGAGAGAGAGGGGGAGAGAGAGAGAGAACGAGAGAGAATAAGAGAAACACAATGGACAAGTGTGTCCACGGCCATAGGCATCAGCTCCCATGCACTAAGGGCAGGCACAACCACACCCTACCGAGTGCACGACACGGCGAGAGAGAGAGAGAGAGAGAGAGAGAGAGAGAGAGAGAGAAAAAAAAAAAAGAGGAAACGAGGACAAGAAGAAGCGTCGTTTCGCGCCCGACACATTCGTTGACATTTCCTTCGGTTTTTTATTTTTCTTCACACATTTGATCAATGGCTGCCCGTACATGTACATGCACACTCATGCTTTAACATGGAATACTCAACCCGTATACCACTTGGCCTCAAATGTACAGGAGCACGACGGTGCGAGGCGGCATGCTACGACGACCCGTACGAATTTGCCGTTACAGACAGAACTATTACACAGATGCGCGGTCGTCTTCGCGCGACCTTTGCAAGGTGGAGCTCATGGTGCCCTAGCAGCCTCGTCCTCTCCGTCATCGCCAAGGGTTATTGGTTGCCATGGAGCCACGGCCCACCACAACCTTTCCACGATCGCAATCATGTCGGGGCAAACACGCATGCCACATTCACACGTACCGCCATCCAAGAACTCATAGAGACGGGAGCGGCAGTTCCGATGGCCGCAACGGAGCTGAAGTGTATAAGTCCACTCAACGTGGTCGAGCAAAAAGACAAATGTAGGCTCATTCTTGATCTGAGGAAAGTCAACGCCAACTTGATTGTCCCCAAGTTCAAGTACGAGGGGCTCAGCCGTGTCGCCGACCTGGCGCGCGTTGGGGACTGGATGTTCTCCATTGACCTCAAATCTGGTTACCATCACATCGACATCCACCCATCGTGCTGGAAGTTCCTTGGCTTCGAATTCGATAGGCACACATACGCATTTCGTTCACTACCATTCGGCCTCGCGACGGCTCCATTCGTCTTCACACAGCTCATCAAGCAACTAGCTCGGCGTTGGCGAGAACAAGGCATCCGAGTCGTACCTTACGTGGATGACATCTTATTTCTCTGCCAGGCGAAAGCCGATGCGCAAGCAATTTGCCAGCGGGTGATATTGGACCTTAAAAAGGCAGGCCTTGTGATAAACGCGAAGAAATCACAACTATCACCATCGCAACATCTCCGATTCCTGGGCGTAGAACTGGAGACCGACACCGGCCGATTCTCCATCGGTCCCGACCGACGAGCCTCACTACATGCAACCATCCGGAACCTCCTGAGTGCAAGCAGGGCATGCCGACCAGTCCCGGTCCGCCAAGTGGCTAGAATCACTGGCATGCTTGCATCGATGGGTGTCGCACTTGGCGCGACCGCTCGCGCATTCAGCCACGCTATGTTACAAGTGATCAACGAAGCACCGTCATGGAAAAGCAGCGTGGTTATCCCCCCATCTGCAGCAGAGGAGCTCCAATTTTGGCTCGAGGAGTTTGACCGTTTCAACGGCGCACCTTTTCACGTCAGGAACAGCTACGACGCGGTAATCCATGTGGATGCCAGCTCTCATGGTTGGGGCGCCACTCTGACCACATTTCCGGGCGGCCTCGAAGAAGCTAGCGCAACCATGTCAGAGCCGCTACGAGGAACGTCCAGCACGCGACGGGAGATCGAAGGCGTCCTTTGGGCACTCCAAACATACGCGAACAAGATCAAGCAAAAACACGTTCTCGTGCGGGTGGACAACCAGGGCGTATTCTTCATCCTTCGCAAAGGCGGCTCTCACAGATCCGACCTCACAACGGCATGCAAGAGCATCATCCGAACATGCATGGAGCTCGGCACACGCTTGATCATCGAATGGATTCCGCGCGAGCTCAATACACACGCCGACGAACTTTAAAAAATGGTCGACCACGACGATTACGCGCTGAAAACGCCGTGGTTCCGCATCTTGGAACGTCGTTGGGGGCCCCACTCCATCGACCTCTTCGCAAACGCCCGCAATACCCAACTGCCGCGCTTCTGCACAAAGATTCCCCACCCGGAAGCCATCGCAGTTGATGCGTTCTCGATCGCGTGGACACCCGAAAACAACTTCGCCTTCCCCCCGCCCCAACTGGTCCCAGCCGTCCTCCATCACGCACAACGCACCCATGCATCACTCACACTGATAGTTCCGCACTGGCCAGGCGCAAGCTGGTGGCCACTTTTGCAACCCTCCCCATGCACTTGGGCTCCACACATCCACGCGCACATCCCTCTGACACACGGAAGCCAATGCCTAGACGCAGGGTCCCATTCCAATGCTTTTTCAGGCATGGGACTACCGCATAGCCCAATTATTGCACTGAGAGTGGCATTTGACTAATTCAAAATGTCTACGCCTTGTGTTCAGATTTGCTCCCAAAGTTACACGACCAGATGATTAACATGCTCGCGCAGTCTCGCGCCGATTCTACGATCCGGACATACGAACCATACTGGGCCAAGTTTCGAGCCTTCTGCACAAAAGTGAACCTCCCATTTCTTCCGGCATCCGACATGACCCTCGCGCTCTACCTGGTACACGCAATCCGACGCAAAGCCACCCTGTCCGTAGTGCAGCTGACGTGCTCGGCGGTCAGCTTCGCTCATCGCATGACTGGGAGCAAATGCCCGACAACCGGACCGTTCACCACCCAAGTCCGTGACTGTGCAAAACGGCACTGCCCTCGCCCTACTCGTATGAAGGAACCCGTATCGATCCAACAAGTTCGGGACATGGCCGCGAGTTACTTGCAGTCCGACGATCCCGCGACGTTTCAGAAAGGGTTGATCCCCATCCTCATGTACTCAGGATTCCTGCGATATTCTGACCTAGTAGCCATAAAATGGCAAGACATCCAATTCGACGACGAGGTCATGTGGATTCTCATACCACACTCCAAGACCGATCAGGCTGGTCATGGCACTTGGATACCCATTGCAGCAACGGCAGACCCCAGTTGCCCTGTGCGCTGCACCCGACGCTTCATCCAACTGGCCGGCTATGGCCCACGGTCAGAGGGACCATTGATTCGGGTCTTCGGTCACGCTTCAACCAGCGAGGGCCAGGCAAGGCCACCTTCATACACCACGATCCGGAACTGGTGCAAGGAAGCCTTCGCAAAGGTTGGCCTTGGAGAGCTGCAGCTCGGCACACATTCTTTCCGAAAAGGTGCAGCCACAGTAGCAGCCAACACGGGAGTGCCAGACAGGGTCTTCAAACGGCTGGGCAGATGGCAAAGCGACTCAGCAAAGGAAATGTATGTTACACCATACGTCGAGCCTCTTATCGAAGCCTCCCGTCACCTACAAGATCCGACGCATGCCGCGTCATCGGCACAACACACAGAGGCACTCGTACGCAACCGGAGGCCCCCGCTGCCCATGTCTCAGAGACCCCATTTGTAATGAGAACGATGCCAATTGATAAGATTAAGAAAGCAAGCTTTCTCAATATCATAATTTTTAAACACACATTGTGTTTTTCAAAATTGTGTATTGTGAAAGCGAAGCTGCTTGTACTGCACAATTGGCATCGTCGAAGCGCGCTAAACGCCCTTCTCCAACTACAAAAACCGTGGGTTGGAGTTCATTTCCCTCCACCCACGTTTCTCGATTTTCAAACGGCTCACTCAACATTCCCACCACCCACCCCAGAGTAAACCGCCTTGCTAATGCCACTTGGATAGGGTACATCTTAGCTAGTGTTATTAGATTGCACTAGCTTGTGTTCAACGTTGATGCAAATGTTGTAATAAGCCATTTGTAATGAGAACGATGCCAATTGATAAGAATAAGAAAGCAAGCTTTCTCAATATGATACTGTACCAGTTTGTCCCACCAATTTCTTTTTTTTTCGAGCTGGCACCAATTTCCTGCGCAACCTGAGAGGATTGAGGGTCCATTCTTAAAGCCCGAGTACCACATGGTGTTTTGTCAAGTTATGTGGGTTTGAAATAGTGTTGGCGAAACCTGAAAAACAATTATTTCGGCATAGTCAGTGTAGCGAAAAAGCGATTGATTGACGAGGAATGGGGTCTCGCCAAACGCAAAGCTTTGACAGACTTGCAGGGCAGTGTGGGGCGACTGGAAGGAGTGTCGCAGTGATTGTTCTTTGACCAATCAGGATCAAGAAGTGAACATCCTCGCCCAATGCAACTACTAGCAAAAACGAAAACGGGAAGCACCAACAACCTCAGAACGAGTGAGGAGAAAAAACACCACGATCAATCAAGCTAACAACTTGACGTGTGAAATAACCGCAGGAAGGAGGTGACGTAGGTGACGAGCCAGAACACGTACATGCTGGGTCGCAGGAAGGAGCGTTGAGAAGAACTCGACATCGCGCGATATGGGAGTACTTCGTGTTGTATTAGGCACGTCGATTACCACTGGCAGCACGTAGGTCGACAGTTTCGGGGCATTGCTCCCGTAAAACGTCACTGGTCGTCTAGCAGCGCGTCGACCCGCAAACGTCCAGCGCGCGCACTGGTCTGGTCGACAAGCAGCGTGGAGAGGGCGCTGGAACGAGGCACCACCACGCCAGGACAGGTACACGTGCTCCGCGCCCCTGCACTCTGCGCTCTGCCCCCTGCGCTCTGTGTTCTGCCCCCGGCGTTCTTCCCCCTGCGCTCTGTCCCCTGCGCTCTGCGTTCTGCCCCCTCCGCTCTTCGTTCTGCCCCCTGCGCTCTGCCCCCTCCGCCCCCTGCGCTCTGCCCCCTCTGCTCTGCGCTCTGCGCCCTACGCTCTGCGCCCTACGCTCTGCGCCCTGCGCTCTGCGCCCTGCGCTCTGCGCCCTGCGCTCTGCGCCCTGCGCTCTGCGCCCTATGCTCTGCGCCTGGCCTATGCTCTGCGCCCTATGCTCTGCGCCCTATGCTCTGCGCCCTATGCTCTGCGCCCTATGCTCTGCGCCCTATGCTCTGCGCCCTATGCTCTGCGCCCTATGCTCTGCGCCCTATGCTCTGCGCCCTATGCTCTGCTCCCTATGCTCTGCGCCCTATGCTCTGCGCCCAATGCTCTGCGCCCTATCCTCTGGTTCCTATTCCCCTTCTCGCCAAACCTCCACCCGCCCCCGCCCCTTTCCAACCCCTACCCCTCATGGTTGTCCCCTTCCTCCCTTTCCCCCACCCGTTTTCTTCCTCCCGCATGAGGCAGGGAGGGAGGGCAGGAGAAAGGAATTCGAGGGGGGAGTGTCGTCCACTGTGGCATGTCTCAACCTCTCATGTGTGTCCCGCCCCTCCCCCTCTCCCCCTCCCCCCCTCCTCCTTCTTTTCTCTCTGCCAGCCGCGCCATTCCCCTGTTCCTCCTCGCAGGGGGGGTGGCGCACAACATAGCGGAGTGCATGGCAGCACTCTCCGCCGCGCCCTTCCTCATCTCCGCCGTGGGGGATGACGCTGCAGGCAGGTCGCAATGCTGCTCTGCTCTGCTCCCCATGCCACTCCCCTCCTCCTCTCCTGCTCCCCTCCAGCCTGCCACTCCCGTCCCTCAAGTCCACCCCCCCCCCTCTCTCACGGCCCTCTAGGCCCATGGCCCACCCTTTCTTCCCCTCATCCGTGCTTCACCACATTTCCCTCCGTGCTTCACCACATTTCCCTCCCTGCTTCACCACATTTCCCTCCGTGCTTCACCACATTTCCCTCCCTGCTTCACCTCATTTCCCTCCCTGCTTCACCTCATTTCCCTCCCTGCTTCACCTCATTTCCCTCCCTGCTTCACCTCATTTCCCTCCCTGCTTCACCTCATTTCCCTCCCTGCTTCACCTCATTTCCCTCCCTGCTTCACCTCATTTCCCACCCTGCTTCACCTCATTTCCCTCCCCGCTTCCCCTCATTTTCCCCGCTGCTGGCCCCTCATTTCCCTCCCTGCTTCTCCTCATTTCACCCTTTGCTTCCCCTCATTTCCCTCCCTGCTTTCCCTGTTTGTACCTGCTTCCCCTCATTTCCCCCCTGCTTCCCCTCATTTCCCCCCTGCTTCCCCTCATTTCCCCCCTGCTTCCCCTCATTTCCCCCCGCTGCTTCTCCTCGAATCCTCCTCCGCTTCCCAGGATTTCCCCCTCTGTTACCCCTCGTTTCCCCCCCTGCTTCCCCTCGTTTCCCCCTCGTCTTCACCTCGTTTCATCTTCCTATCTCTCACTTTCCCTCTCCCCCTCTTCCTATCTCCCCTCTTCCCTATCCTCCCTCTTCTTACGGTACTTCCTTCTTTCCCTCTCAGCCCTGCTTCCCTCTTCCCCCTCTTCCCTATCTCCCCTGTTTGACTTTAGTCTTGTTCCCCCTCCCCATCCCTCGTATTCCCTCCCTCTCCCTGGGTAGTGCAGTGACACCAATGAAGATTTTCTGGCACAGCAACTCGCCGAAGCCCATCATCCCATGCCACGCTCGTAGTGAAACCAGTTCCCCTCATGTTTTTTTCAAGGCCTTGAGAAGGGTACAATCAAAAGTATCAGGATCATGCCTCTATCTACCCTTCTGACACTCTTAGTGCCCACGCATCTTGGAAGAATATATTGCACTGCAGAAACAAAATTACATATTGTGCTTTTGAGATGGATATCTCCAACAGTAATACAGTATCATGCTTGCATACAACAGGCAAGAAACAGGTGGTGGTACGGTGTAAAGCATGGACTAGCTCTAGCTGCGCCTCAGCTTGCTCCTCTGCTTCACCACTGAAAATTTGGGGAGTGGAGTAGGCAGAAAGAATTGTGTGACGGAACATGGGGGGGGTGGTGTGAGGTGCCAAGGGAACAACTGCAGGGGAACACAAGCAAGCGCACATGATGAAAGCATGTACTGGTATGGGGAGACAGTGATGGGTGCACATGCATGGGAACTAGAGGGCGGAAGGTGAGGGGGAAGGGGAGGGCATGACATGAAAGGGAAGGGTTGAGAAGGGATGGAGAAGGGAAGGGCAGGGCAGGGAGGGAAAGGCGGGGATGGGGAGGGCAGGTGGGAACAGGGGAGAGGGTGAGGGGAAGGAGGGCTGAGGGTGGCGGGAAGGAGAGTGCGAGTGCGAGAGGACGGAGAGAGAGAGAGTGCGAGAGGACTGAGAGAGTGAGTGCAGGAGGAAGGAGAATGAGAGTGATGGGAGGAAGCAGGGGAGGGGATGGGGGGAAGCAGGGAAGGAGATGGGGGGAAGCAGGGAAGGGGATGGGGGGAAGCAGGGAAGGGGATGGGAGGAAGGAGGGAAGGGGATGGGGGGAAGCAGGGAAGGAGATGGGGGGAAGCAGGGAAGGAGATGGGGGGAAGCAGGGAAGGAGATGGGGGGAAGCAGGGAAGGGGATGGGGGGAAGCAGGGAAGGGGATGGGAGGAAGGAGGGAAGGGGATGGGGGGAAGCAGGGCAGGGGATGGGGGAAAGCAGGGAAGGGGATGGGGGGAAGCAGGGAAGGGGATGAGGGGAAACAGGGAGGGGGATGGGGGGAAGCAGGGAAGGGGATGGGGGGAAGCAGGGAAGGGGATGGGAGGAAGCAGGGGAGGGGATGGGGGGAAGAAGGGAAGGGGATGGGGGGAAACAGGGAGGGGGATGGGGGGAAGCAGGGGAGGGGATGGGGGGAAGCAGGGAAGGTGATGGGGGGAAGCAGGGAAGGGGATGGGGGGAAGCAGGGGAGGGGGTGGGGTGAAGCAGGGAAGGGGATGGGGGGAAGCAGGGAAGGGGATGGGGGGAAGCAGGGGGAGGGATGGGAAGTAGCAGGGAAGGGGATGGGGGGAAGCAGGGAGGGGAATGGGGGGGGAGGGGATGGGGGGAAGCAGGGAAGGGGATGAGGGGAAGCAGGGAAGGGGATGGGGGGAAGCAGGGGAGGGGATGGGGGGAAGCAGGGACGGGGATGGGGGGAAGCAGGGAAGGGGATGGGAGGAAGCAGGGGAGGGGATGGGGGGAAGAAGGGAAGGGGATGGGGGAAACAGGGAGGGGGATGGGGGGAAGCAGGGGAGGGGATGGGGTGAAGCAGGGGAGGGGATGGGGTGAAGCAGGGAAGGGGATGGGGGGAAGCAGGGGGAGGGATGGGAAGTAGCAGGGAAGGGGATGGGGGGAAGCAGGGAGGGGGATGGGGGGAAGCAGGGGAGGGGATGGGGGGAAGCAGGGAAGGGGATGGGGGGAAGCAGGGGAGGGGATGGGGGGAAGCAGGGAAGGGGATGGGGGAAAGCAGGGAAGGAGATGGGGGGAAGCAGGGAAGGGGATGGGGGGAAGCAGGGGAGGGGATGGGGGGAAGCAGGGAAGGGGATGGGGGGAAGCAGGGAAGGGGATGGGAGGAAGCAGGGGAGGGGATGGGGGGAAGAAGGGAAGGGGATGGGGGGAAACAGGGAGGGGGATGGGGGGAAGCAGGGGAGGGGATGGGGGGAAGCAGGGAAGGTGATGGGGGGAAGCAGGGAAGGGGATGGGGGGAAGCAGGGGGAGGGATGGGAAGTAGCAGGGAAGGGGATGGGGGGAAGCAGGGAGGGGGATGGGGGGGGAGGGGATGGGGGGAAGCAGGGAAGGGGATGGGGGGAAGCAGGGGAGGGGATGGGGGGAAGCAGGGAAGGGGATGGGGGGAAGCAGGGAAGGGGATGGGAGGAAGCAGGGGAGGGGATGGGGGGAAGAAGGGAAGGGGATGGGGGGAAACAGGGAGGGGGATGGGGGGAAGCAGGGGAGGGGATGGGGTGAGGGTGGGGAGGGGATGGGGTGAAGCAGGGAAGGGGATGGGGGGAAGCAGGGAAGGGGATGGGGGGGAAGCAGGGGGAGGGATGGGAAGTAGCAGGGAAGGGGATGGGGGGAAGCAGGGAGGGGGATGGGGGGGGAGGGGATGGGGGGAAGCAGGGAAGGGGATGAGGGGAAGCAGGGAAGGGGATGGGGGGAAGCAGGGGAGGGGATGGGGGGAAGCAGGGAAGGGGATGGGGGGAAGCAGGGAAGGGGATGGGAGGAAGCAGGGGAGGGGATGGGGGGAAGAAGGGAAGGGGATGGGGGGAAACAGGGAGGGGGATGGGGGGAAGCAGGGGAGGGGATGGGGGGAAGCAGGGAAGGTGATGGGGGGAAGCAGGGAAGGGGATGGGGGGAAACAGGGAAGGGGATGGGGGGAAACAGGGAGGGGGGTGGGGGGAAGCAGGGAAGGGATGGGGGGAAGCAGGGCAGGGGATACGGGGTGAGAGGGGATAGGATCGGGGGAAGCACGGCAGGGGTGATGAGGGGAAGCGCGAGCGACGAGAGGGAATGTGGGTGACTAAGGGAGGTGAGGGCGGCGAGGATCGGTGCGGGTCGACGAGGGTGATGAGGGGAGCGCGGGTGACGATCTGAAGCGCGGTATGTTTACTATCAGCAATTGCGACGAGGGGATGTGTGGTTGACGTGGGAAAGCGCGGGCGACTAGGGGAACATATGCGACCAGAGGGTCGGGGAGGGTGATGAGGGAAAGCGCGGGCGACGAGGAAAGCGGTCTGACGTGGGAAAGAGCGGCCGACGAGGAGGAACATGTGCGACTAACGGCTGAGTGCGTCACGCGAACCACTACGGCATTCGCGTGAGCGACCCGTGCCTAAAACGGTACGATCGTGACACGAGGCTGAACCGCAGCAAGTGTGACAAGAGCCTGCGTGTGCGACGCGAGCTTGAATGCAAGACTCGAGTAACGCGAATCTCGTTTACTAACGTAAGTGCCGTGGGTGCCCGGGTTGTAACACGAGACTGGTGACGCGAGGGAGAGATCGGAGCGTGCACTGACTAAGATGGTTGAGGTGGACTTATATTTCTTTCCGCACAAAAAAAAAGCCTATCAACGACTCGCTTTTGCCAACTAGCGCTAGTTTTTGCCTTGGAGCCTCCTAGCCTATGAGTACCACTTGGTAAGCAAGTTATGTGAGTGGTGAACAGAGCATATGGTTGGCGATCATCGCGTCAGTTCTGGTTTTGGGCACTCGGGTTCCGTTGTCGCAGGACGATTGCCTGGGGTCGCGAGAGTTTTTTCAAAACAAGCAGGGTAACCCTGTTTTTGGCGACTTCAAGTTCAAGAATCTTGAACTTGAAAATTACCATGCTGTACTCGGGCTTTAAGGGTATCGCGTGTAAGACGTCATGTCATCAGCCCTATGTCTCCAATTTGTCTCTTCCTAACTTTGAATTACATAAAAAAACGAGTCCCTTAGGGTCTTCCTAACATCCACTTCGTGACTGACCTGATGTCTGACACGGGCTACAAATGCACCCTGATCCAGGACCAAAATTGTCCATTATTTCCACTCACCAAGTGTAAAACAACACTATCACAACGGTTTCAACAACCAGTATCATACAAATCAGGACACTGAGGCCAGGCCAGGCTACCCTAGTAACGTATGTGGGAGTGCTTCAGGATGGGTCCCACCCACTGCCCATCGCCACCATCCCAGTGCTCTTGCAGGCGATCCCATTACCAAGTGTCACTTCAACGACGCCTGCAGCGCGCGGTCAATTACGTGTGTCGTCTCATCACCATACCGGTACTAGAAGCCCTCTCTATCACAACTCGGAAGAAGTATCACTTTTCAGTATCCTCCCATCCCCACGGCAACACCTTCCGGTGCAAAGTCTCACTTCAACGAGGCCTGCAGCGCCCGATCAATGATATGCGTCGTCTGCATGTTAATCACCAATTGGAACGCGGGCGGCTCCGGATGATTGTAGTTCGCCAGGTAGAAACTCTCATCTACTCTCCTCGGCCCAACCGCCCACCTCGGGCAGGCTTTAAAGTTGGGAAGATTTTTGAGCAGCGACGAGCGCTTGTACACTCCGAAGTCGTTCTGCGCGTAATCGAAGAACGCTGCAGAGGGGATATCCGTGAGGTTCACCATCTGGTGCTTGTTGAACGTCCCCTCCTCCACCGTCGGCAGCGTCTCGCAATACTTATACCCCATATCGCGCGTTCCGTTAGCAACTATAAGCCGAACGAAATTATCCGTCGGAAGGCCGCTGCAATACCCAGTCTCCTTCCCTGAAAGCGTGCCTTTACGGCCGATATTACACAGCTGGCCTCGAATGCTCCTGTCCTGGCACACGCTGTCCCACCAGGGCCACTGGGAGCGGAAGAGCGGAGTGTCGTAGTATTTCTTTCGCATGGCCTCCCAGTAGGTGCCTGGGCGTTTGGCACAGTTGTTGACGGTGGGTGTGAAGCACGTGCACCAGCCCGGCATGCCTGCCACGTCCTTTATGATTATGTTGTCGATGGAGTTCCTGGAGGGGGAGAGGGGAGGAAAGGGGAGGACAGAGGGGTGCAGTGCGGTTGAGGTGACAGGGGGGAGTGAAGCACGTGCACCAGCCCGGCATGCCTGCCACGTCCTTGATGATTATGTTGTCAATGTTATTCCTGGGAGGGTTGGGGGGAGGATAGGAGAGTAGAGAGGGTTGCGGTGTGGTTGACTTGACTGTAAGAGTGAAGCACGTGCACCAGCCTGGCATGCCTGCAACATCCTTGATGATTATGTTGTCAATGGAGTTCCTGAGAAGGGGATTGAGGGAAGAGGAGGGGAGGAGAGGGGTGCGGTGCGGTTGATGTGACAGTGGGAGTGGAACGAGTGCACCGACCCAGCATGCCCCTCTCACCCCACCCACACTCACCACTTGCCGTTGTTGACCTTGATACCATCGTACACGCCCACACATGCCCCTCCATTGCCAACGCTGCTACTCTCAAAAGCCCCCTCCTGCCCTACAAATAGCCTCCATAGCATGCTTCTTCTTCCCTTCCGCCCTTCCCACCCAACCAGACTCACCACTTGCCGTTGTTGACCTTGATTCCATCGTACGTGCCCACACACGCCCCGCCATTCACCGTCACTCCCGAGGTGACATAGTCCAGGTAGTAGCAGTGGTCGCCGTTGAACACGTAGTTGCACTCCGCCAGGTTCGCTGCAATGAGGTTCATGAGGGGGGTGACAGGGATCAAGGCGGTTGAGAGGGGATGTGATGGTTGTGATGGGGTTGAGTTCAGGAGCAGCAGGTCACAAAGCCCAATGTGACATAGGCCCAGCACCCACCTGGGCTGAACCAGTGCTTGCCCCTCTCACCTCTCTCCCACCCCACCAAATCCCAAGTGGCTACCACCTCCCTCCCCAATCCCACACCCCTGCCAGCACCCACCAGGGCTGAACCAGTGCGTGCAGAAGTAGATGCCCGCGGCATCTTGATCCCCGGACCTATTCGTCCCAGCAGCAACAACAATGTTGTATGAGATGGTTGCCAGCACGCAGTCCGCGGCGTAGTGCACGTCCTGCAGAGCTGCTCACACCCCCTCCCACAGGCTTGATTCTCACCAGGGCTGAACCAGTGCGTGCAGAAGTAGATCCCTGCAGCGTCCTGGTCCCCTGACCGGTTGGTCCCAGCAGCCACGACAATGTTGTACGAGATGGTCGCCAGCACGCAGTCCGCCGCGTAGTGCACGTCCGACGTCCATACACATCCATTCTACCAGCCCACACCCAGGGCTAAACCAGTGCGTGCCCCTCTCACCTCCCTCCCACTTACCAGGGCTGAACCAGTGCGTGCAGAAGTAGATCCCAGCGGCGTCCTGGTCGCCCGACCGGTTGGTGCCAGCCGCGACAACGATGTTGTACGAGATGGTCGCGAGCACGCAGTCCGCCGCGTAGTGCACGTCCGCGCCGCACCGGATGCCCGCGAATATGAAGTCATGCACATAGTTGTTGCGCACTATCACGCCTATGGCGCCCTGATAGAGCACGATCGGGGTGTCCACGCCTGGTAGGTTAGGGGAGGGAGAAAAAGGAGGGAGCAAAGATGAAGTTGTGTACGTAATTGCATTGGGTCGTGTGTACAAGGAAGTCGCAGGGCGAGAACGAGAGAGGCAGAGGGAGGCAAGAGGGAGGCAAGAGGCCTTGCTAGATCACTTGTACGCCATGAGTCACTGCATTCCCTGACGCCTGGCCTGCTGAGATTGACTCACCGTAAACTTCGTTATTAGTGATCGCGATATACGACTTCTCCAGCGTGGGCCCATGGCCGCTCATGGCGACGCGAATCACGCCCGGCGATTTGTTGAATACCGGAACCCCCGTGACGCGCATGGAGTCGACTCGCGATGACATGCTTCGAAACAAGTCAATGCGCCCGAACACTGTTCCTTTAGCAATCTGGATTCCGTAACTCCTGTACACGTGTATTGTAGGGCAATTTACCCCGATGCCGTTCTCGGGAACACCGACGCATTCGGGAGACGAGGTGCGAACTCCGAGCGAAAAGCTCACTCCCAGTACAAGCACATTGCTGGTGTTCCATATCCGCAATACAGGCTGATCCGCTCCGAAATAAGAGATTCTGTAACCCGATCCGGTAATGTTGTTGGAACGGAGTACAGTGCACGAGTAGCGTTTGTCGAAAAGAAGGCCCTTGTCGAGAACGAGGTTCTTATTTAGTTCCAAGATGACGGTGCGCGCTCGCGGGTAGTTCAGTCGGCGCGCAATGTCGTCTACAGTAAAGACCTTGATATAGACTGCTCCCTCGTAGTCGGAGCAAAAGCCGGGAGTGAAAGTGTCCTCTTCTGTAAGCGGGGGAAAATTGGGGGGGGGGGGGAGTCGGGGAGGGGGGAAAAAGGGGAGAGGAAGATTGAGGGGCGGAGGGAAGGGATGGGGAAAGGTGAGGAGCGGGGGAGTGGCGGAGTGGCGGAGGGAAATGGGAGACAGAATGGGACAGGGAAGGGGGAGGACCAAGGAGAGTGGGTGGAAAAACTGAAGTCGCATGGGCAAGGCAGGGAAGGGGAAAAGGAGATGAGGGGGGGAGGCGGTGGAGGAGGGTCAGAGAAAAGGGGAGGAATGGGAGCAGGAGGATGGCCAAGAGGGATTTGGAGCGCGCATATAGTGCGGAGTAAGAGAAGGGGGGAGGGGAGGTGTTTGGGGAAGGAAGGGAGAATGGAGGGTAAGGTGAAGAGATAGCTGTAAGTAGCAGACTCACGTGTTTTTCGTCTGGTTAGGTGATCGTTTAGATAGCTTGTTGCTGTGGCGAGAGCAGATGCTGCCTCGCTGTAAGCTGATCCGAAATTGCCTGTGAGATTGTTGTCTCGAACGGCTCTCATGCCGAAAGGGGACGCAGCTTTGGATTCGACGCTGTTTTCGCTACTGTACATGCTGGCACTGTATCGAGACTGCTGCCCGTCTTGTATCGCGTCCAAAAACCGCCAGAAGAGGCCCCGATACTGGGTAATAGGAGGGAAGCCATCGGCCGGCCGCGCCACAAGGAAAAGGGTCACGACGGAGAGAAGCACGAGGCACCGCATTGCGCGCCGAGCCAGGTACGGTGCTGAAAATGTATGACGAGGAGCATAAGACGCGGGATGGCGATAGGTGGGCTCGCGGAGTAGTAGGCAGCGGATGGGGATGAACGGCCACCAGCACGGAATGTTTCGCTAGTCTACGTGGGCACCAGATGGGTACTATGCGTCGCAAACCGCGCGTCACGTCTGACGACAGACGAGATCGTCTTAGGTGTATGCTTGTGCGTGAGCGGAGGGAAGTCTCGGCTGGAAAATATAGTTGCCTCGGCTGAAATTAGGGAATGCGAATGGTCAGGGCGGGTCCAGCGCGTACGTTTACAGGTACTATACAGTTCATTTGTCGAGGTTTGAAAAGATAACAGGCGGTGCACAGTGGTTTTGAAATTGCACCGTTTTGAACCGTGACGAAATACAGATTACCGCACTAGATGAACTGTAATGTACGGAAAATGTACGCGCTGGACCCGCCCTGATGACGACATTCGCCTGTCTTCTGTTCCTGGTGAAGTGAAGCGGTGAGATGCTGGTTGTGGTGTCTGGTAATGTTTGCTGTGCCGATGCGAGTTGAGTTGGTGGGTTCTCTTGGCAGTTCTCTGCTGCCTACCATGTCAAATGGCAGTGCCATGCCATGATGCCACGCCACGCCATGCCATATCCCCCAGGTTCTCGAGTGTTCACCAGCTCCAGTAACCAGGTTCACCCATAACGTCACATGTCGCAACTCTGCTGATTGGTAAGCTCTGGCAGACTTTATGCCAAAAAGTTCGCGATAAGATCGCCATACATGGACTTGGTTACAACTGGAAACCATCATGTGCAACTGCAGGTGACGGCGTTGAGAGAGAAAAGCTCCAGTTCAGGCTCATCACCTGCGGCCCGCAACTCTCAGGTGCTTATCAAGATAAAAAGCAGGAGAAGACTCACTCGCGTCAAATAAATCGCATACCCGCTATGATGAAATCCAGCACCAACCAGGAGAAGCTACTCACAGTTGAGATATATGTTGAAGTCATTCCTGAACTGAATGCATAAGTTACCGGTGTAGCCCGAAGATGTTTTGCTGAACATCGTTATTGTCTCACGTCGCATCGCCCGACAATATCAAGAAGTCCAGTTTCACCAATTTCAAGGTCCGTTTTGCCTCCCTTTTTCCCGCCTCTCTGAGATAGGATGGGAATTGCGTTGCCAAAAAAAATGCGTCAGAATATTACCAGAGCCGTCATAGTCGTAGCTCAAGCTCAGTGGACCTTGACGAATATGACGTGCGGGATCGTGTAAGACCATACGGTGGCTATTAACGTGCGTATGCAGTAGTGTCGCTGCTTTCAGCCAATACAGGAATAGATTGTTCATAGCGGTGTGTACCGAAGTAAAAAATAAATCTCATCGTACCATTAGGTAAGAAAATGTGGCTTAACGCGGAGTTAGACATTCTTCAATGGCTTCTCGTCAAATTTCCAGAATGTTCGCAAATTGTCAAAGCGGCTGGGTTTTAACTGTGGACTACGGGAGCCATCGCCCTGTGCGGTCATTGAACCGCTAACCCCTCTAGGTTTAAGCGAGGCTACGACGAAGAGGGGATTCATTTAAAGGCAGGGACATGGGGAGACGCGAAGAGGAGAGGAGGCGGAGGAGCGGCAGGAAGCCGGGAGAATCGATAATGCCGTATTCGATGCAGAAGCTTCTTAAGAGGAATTATAAGGCGGTGTACGCCAGTGAGGTGAGCGTGACTATATCAGAGGCGAATGTGACAAAGAGAGCGAGTGCCAAGTCAGGCGAGGTGACTGTGACTGTGTAGGCATTGCCTTATCCTCCCTTCTCTGCACGTCGCGCTGTACCACTTGACAAGGTTTTAACGGTTACAAAAACCCACCTCCTTTGTCTGGGTTCCATTCTTTGTCTCCCCCCTCTCTCCCCCGTCCCCCCTTAAACACCTCCCCTCTCCTCCTTCCATGCCTGAGCCGGCAGGTCCTGTCCCTACACTGCTCGTCGCGAGCTGTACAGCGAAGCGTCACTGTTCTCGTCTACACTCCCTTTCCATGTCTTTCTTCCCACGTGCCTCCTCCCAGGACATTCTATCGCTGTACCACTCCTCCCTGCTGTACGGCGAGGTGCCTTTCACCAGCCGCCTGCGAGCCGTGCTCACCTCATACTCTCCCCCCCCCCCCATCCCCTTCGCCTTTCCTCTCTCGTATCTCCCCCCAGGACATTCTATCGCTGTACCACTCCTCCCTGCTGTACGGCGAGGTGCCTTTCACCAGCCGCCTGCGAGCCGTGCTCACCTCATACTCTCCCCCCCCCCCATCCCCTTCGCCTTTCCTCTCTCGTATCTCCCCCCAGGACATCCTATCGCTGTACCACTCCTCCCTGCTGTACGGCGAGGTGCCTTTCACCAGCCGCCTGCGAGCCGTGCTCACCTCATACTCTCCCCCCCCCCCATCCCCTTCGCCTTTCCTCTCTCGTATCTCCCCCCAGGACATTCTATCGCTGTACCACTCCTCCCTGCTGTACGGCGAGGTGCCTTTCACCAGCCGCCTGCGAGCCGTGCTCACCTCATACTCTCCCCCCCCCCCCATCCCCTTCGCCTTTCCTCTCTCGTATCTCCCCCCAGGACATCCTATCGCTGTACCACTCCTCCCTGCTGTACGGCGAGGTGCCTTTCACCAGTCGCCTGCGAGCCGTGCTCACCTCAGGGCCCGTCAGCCTCACCGTCACTGCTGTCAGTCCCTTGCCGCCTGTGCTCTGACCCTATAGCGAATCCGCACGGAGTGCGGTGACTGTACCGAGTCCTCATAAAGTGCTGTGGTCATCCCATGCCATCCCATCATCCATGGCGTTTGCATGGCATCTCATGTTGATATGCTATGCGATCACGTTTGTGCCTCCTTGTGTTGAGACGCATCCGTGCCTTGCTGCCGTTCTCTCGCACTTCGCGTCTCCCTCACTTTGCTTCTCCCGCGTCTCCCTCTACTTGCTTCTCCCTCTTCTCCCTCACTCCAGACCGAGTTCATTGCTTCGTGCGTGGGTGCAGTGTACTATATCATAGGGACCAGGTATGGTGCAATTTTCCATATCATAGTAGGCAGGCAAGCAGGGAGGCAGGCAGGCAGGCAGTAGGCGGTGCGGCCGTATGGGCCACGTGCCTTAACAGTCAACTCACAATCGGATCTCTGGATATCATTTCCTTGCATGCTTCGCCACACCCTCACTCCCCGTACCTGTCGCCAATACCTCCCACCCATACCTCCCTCCCATACTTTCCGCCCAACCTCACACCCATACCTCACGTCCATACCCCCTCCCGCCCATACCTCCCGTCCATGCCCCCAGGGAGACGGTGGCGCAGGTGGTGGAATGGAACGCAGGGCACCTGGCCGTCTCCGCCTTCTTCATCCTGCTCTCCCTCCTGTTATTCTAAAACAACTAGCTGCGATCATGCCTCCCCGGCCCATGCCTCCTCCCGTCTATGCCCCCAGGGAGACGGTGGCGCAGGTGGTGGCATGGAACGCAGGGCATCTGTCCGTCTCTGCCTTCTTCATCCTGCTCTTCCTCCTCCGCCTCTACAGGCAAGTTGCTTTCCTGTCCGCCTCTACAGGCAAGCTGCTCTTCCTCCTTCCATATTGTGCTTTCCTCCCATGTGCAGTGCGCCGGTTTGAGCGTTGATACGTTTCAGACACACACACTCATCCCTCCGTATGCTTCCTCCCACGTGCAGTGCTCCAGTGCGGTGGCTGTACTGTATGTGTGCTCGTACCTGGCCGTGCTGGACATCCTTTGTCATTCACTGCAAACACACACTCACCAGATCCCTCCGTATCCTTCCTCCCACGTGCAGTGCTCCAGTGCGGTGGCTGTACTGTATGTGTGCTCGTACCTGGCCGTGCTGGACATCCTATCTGGCATTCCAGTCCTTATCTCGCGATGACTCGCACGCCCCATTCACTCCCAACACCCTTCCCCACTCCCCCATCCTTCCTCCCACATGCAGTGCGCCGGTACGGTGGCTGTATGTGTGCTCGTACCTGGGCGTTCTGGACATTCTATCTGGCATTCCTGTCCTCGGCCCCCTGTGAGTCTTGTTCACATTACATGACCTTTCTCCCCTCCCATTCTCTCCATCCTCTCCCATTCTCTCCATCGTCTCCCATTTCCTCCATCCTCTTTCCTTCGATGCAATACCCACCACCCTCTGCCATCCTCTCCCTCTCATTCCCCTCTCGCACCCGCAGCCTCAGCGGCAGCAGGAGTGCAGGTGCCGTGTTCCAAGTCGTCTACTTCTTGCAAATCCTCAAGTGAGTCCCACGCTGTGTTTGATTTACCCTTCTTTGATGTGATCTCGTGGCATGTCAGGCCGTTAAGCAGCACTATGTGTGCATTAAGGTGAATTTTGAGGCGCCTCAAAACTCACCTCCAACCATTTTTGGAAGCACTAAGTGTGCTTCCACTCAGCCGAGTTTGGAAGCTTTGCAGCTTGCTACAGTTGATTGTGCAGATTTTCTGCTCTCTTGATCCTTGTAGGTGCCTCAAAATTCGTGAGCACATGCGTAGTATTTCGGCGAGCTTGTGTTTGTTATTTCGTTCTCCTCCATTCGCACCATACATTGCCATTCTCTTCCCTCTCTCCTCTCCCCCGTCATATCATGCCCTCTCCCTTTCACACTCCCTCACACTCACTCACACTTGCTCGCACTCACTGTCTCCTCCGCACTCTCACTCACAGGCCCTTCACCCGTCTGCAGCAGCTGGGCTTGGAAATATCATCTATCACACAAGAGGTCATCAATCTCATCGTCTACCTCACCTCGCTAAGTATGTCTCTTAGACACCATTCTAGTGTGCTTTTTGGGCAATAGGTGTGTCGCGTCTGCAGCAGCTGGGCTTGGAAATAACATCCATCACACAGGAGGTCATCAATCTCATCGTCTACCTCACTTCATTAAGTAAGTCACTTAGGCACTAAGTGTGTCTGAGACACTTAAGTAACCCTACCAGACCTCGAGGTTTAGTCATCAACACGTTTTCACTAACCTCTCATCTTCCTTCCCTCTGCCTCTACTCCTGACTCCCTCCACCTGCGCTCCCACCCCCCTACTCTCACACTGCAGTATTCGCAGCAGCGGGTATGTTCCTCTGGGTGACATACCTGAAACCCTTCCTCCAATCCTGTTTTTCTCCGACTTTCCTCCCACCCCTCTACTCTCACGCTGCAGTATTCGCAGCAGCAGGCATCTTCCTGTGGGTGACGTACCTGAACCCTGAGGTGCAGGAGACAGGCAGCTGTGAGCCGGTCAACTGCCTCGACTATGCCATGTCACTCTACTTCGTTGTGGTCACGGTGAGTCGTGGGTGGGTGAGATGCGCTGCAACGACAGCTAGGAAAGCTACTTACCAGCAGCAGGCATCTTCCTGTGGGTGACGTACCTGAACCCTGAGGTGCAGGAGACAGGCAGCTGTGAGCCGGTCAACTGCCTCGACTATGCCATGTCACTCTACTTCGTTGTGGTCACGGTGAGTCGTGGGTGGGTGAGATGCGCTGCAACGACAGCTAGGAAAGCTACTTACCAGCAGCAGGCATCTTCCTGTGGGTGACGTACCTGAACCCTGCGGTGCAGGAGACGGGCAGCTGTGAGCCGGTCAACTGCCTCGACTATGCCATGTCACTCTACTTTGTTGTTGTCACGGTGAGCTGTGTTGCAATGGCAGCTGAATGGCTCACTGTGGCTCACGAACCCAATCCCCTGCCCCCCTCCCACCACTCCTCCTCACCAGATATCCACGGTGGGCTACGGTGACATCCTGGCGACCAACACAGCAGGGCGGGTGGTGGTGATATGCATCACACCCCTCTCCTTTCCCCCTTCTCACCTCCCTCCCATGCACCAGTTATCCACGGTGGGCTACGGTGACATCCTGGCAACCAACACAGCGGGGCGGGTGGTGGTGATATGCATCACACCCCTCTCCTTTCCCCCTTCTCACCTCCCTCCCATGCACCAGATATCCACAGTGGGCTACGGTGACATCCTGGCAACCAACACAGCGGGGCGGGTGGTGGTGATGTGCATCACACCCCTCTCCTTTCCCCCTTCTCACCTCCCTCCCATGCACCAGATATCCACGGTGGGCTACGGTGACATCCTGGCAACCAACACAGCGGGGCGGGTGGTGGTGATATGCATCACACCCCTCTCCTTTCCCCCTTCTCACCTCCCTCCCATGCACCAGATATCCACGGTGGGCTACGGTGACATCCTGGCAACCAACACAGCGGGGCGGGTGGTGGTGATGTGCATCATAGTGGCAGCGCTTGTCATTCTGCCCGTGCAGCTCAGCAATATCTCCAACCTCCTCTCCCACAGGCAAGTACCGATTGAATTCTCATTCACACTTGCATTCACACTCTCATTCACACTTGCATGCACACTCTCACATTCGCACTCCCACTCGCACCTGCAGCTCAAAACCGTTACCATCCACTCCGTTTACTGCTCCCTAGTTCAGGCCGTACGGTGGAAGGTTCTCAGCAGCTTCCGCCACGGGCATGCGTTTTGTGGTGCTGACGGGGCAGCTCTCTCCTCTCTCCATCCAACAGTTCCTCGCTGAGCTGTACCACCCGCTACATGACAAAGGTAGCCGCCCGCTATTTGATTGCGGTAGTCACACGCTACATGACAAAGGTGACCAACCAACCACTACATGACAAAGCTAGCCACTATCACATCAAATGGGTAGCATCCACACCACCCTCTTCTCCCATAATCATCTCTCCTCACAATCACACCCCCTGGCCTTTGTCCCTTTTTCTTTCCCTCTCTTGTTTGCTTTCCCTTATCATCAGATTTTGCCTCCTACCCTCTGCACACCGTCATTCTCGCACCTTTCGAACCATCGTGAGTGCACCTCTTCTGTCCAGAAACTCTTTTCTCTCATAAGGCACCACCATGCGTCCATCTCCCATTTCACAACTTTGGTTTCGCTGCTCTCCTCTGGCTAGTCTCCTTTGTCGCCCCAGTTCACGACTCTTATTCTACACCTCTCATGTCACATCTCTCTTTTTGACGTCTCTGATTTCACAATCCTCATAATCTCAGGGCGCATTCCTGGCTTCGGGTCTTCCGCTAAAAATGTCTTCCGAAATGTTGGGAAGACACAAACGGAATGTTCCAGCTTGGGTCAACAAGTCGAGCTTGTTCACGATTAGTTTGGACAAAGATTTAGGTGGTTACTCAAAATCGCGACTCTCGAGACACTGTGAGTTGAGATCGCCTAAGCGAGCTGGCGAGTGATGACGACTCTGCACGATTCTGAAATGTGCAATGTTGCACAAAATGCTCACTGTGAACATTGTCGCAGCTTTTGAGAGGTCGCACTGCAGCTACGCGAAAACAAATCTGGGGAAAAACAAATCTCGTACAACATGTTCGCTGAAGCTCGCCAACTACCAAAGTGGAAAACCCGAAGCTCGAGTCGGAAAACCCGCGGCTCGGGAATTTAATTCGGGATGACATGAAGACGGGAAGACCCGAAGCCAGGAATGCGCCCTCAGTCGCTCTTTTCTGCACATCGCCTCACCACTACTCGCCTTCTGCCGCTCCTCCAAACCCATTCCATCCCATTCCCCCACCCCTCCCATCCCTTCCCAGCTTTGAGCTGCGGGCGCTGATCACGGAATACCACGGTGCAGTGCGGTTCATTCAGGGTTCGCCCATGACGCTCTACGACCTGCACCGAGTGCAGATCGCCCTGGCTTCCGCTGTCTTCATCCTCCTCCCCTCGCTGCAATCCGTGAGTGCCCTTCCCTCTCCTTCTGCAATCCATGAGTTCTCCTCCCCGCTCTCCACTCCCTGAGTCCGCCCACCCTCCCTCCTTTTGGAAAAATCTCCCAATGAATCGCTATGCGGTGGAGATGGGTGATGCACAGGCTATGCTTTTCTCTCTCTTTTGAGACGTCTCAAAAGATGGATGATGCACAGGCTATGCTTTTCTCTCTCCACCCCACCCTCTATCCCAGTCGCATGTGCTGGACAACGGGCAGGTATCGCAGGCTCTCGCAGTGAACCGCTATGCGGGGCCGCTGTCCCGCCTCGTCGATGGGCGACCCACCCCACAGCAGCGATATGCCTCCCTGCCGTATGGCTCCCCCCCCCCCCCCTCCCCTCCCCCCCCGGGCACTTGTGCGTCTGACCCTAAACCCTGAACCCTGTTTCTCTACCCTGCTGCCCCCTTCCCCCCTTCCAGTCACGTGCGCTGGACAACGGGCAGATAGCGCAGGCCCTTGCAATGAACCGCTCTGCGGGGGCGCTGTACCGCCTGGTAGTGGAGATGGGCGACCCGCAGGCGTTTGCCCCCCTGCTCTTTTCCCCTCTGACCGTAAACCCGCACCCCTCTTTCCCTCCCTGGCCCCTTCCCAGTCGCGTGCGCTGGACAACGGGCAGATAGCGCAGGCCCTTGCCATGAACCGCTATGCAGGGGCGCTCTCCCGACTGGTGGTGGAGATGAACAACCCACAGGCTTATGCCTCCCTCGTGTATGGCCTCCTGCCGCTCTATGCACCTCTGGCTTACCCCCTGGGTTTTGCCCCGCTGCCCCCCTGTTTCTCTTCCCTGCTCCCCACCCACCCCCTTCCCAGTCGCGTGCGCTGGACAACGGGCAGATAGCGCAGGCCCTTGCAATGAACCGCTATGCGGGGGCGCTATCCCGCCTGGTCGTGGAGATGGGCGACCCGCAGGCAGCATCCCTGCCGGTGTGGGACTCAGCCACCCACCGCATGCAAGTGCTCAGCCATGAGAGCCTGCGCTTCAAGGTCCTGGGGTCCAGGTGAGTCAACGTGGGTCAACGTGAGTCAACGCGTTCTGAGGGGTTCTGGTGAGTCAACAACATATGAGGCGCATCAACAGGAGCAGGCAGCTGCACTGCCGGTGTGGGACTCGGCCACCCACCGCATGCAAGTGCTCAGCCATGAGAGCCTGCGCTTCAAGGTCCTGGGGTCCAGGTGAGTGAGTCAACGCCAGTCAACGTGGATCCAGGTGAGTCAACACATCCTGACACACCTCAGCACTAGCAGGCAGCAGCACTGCCCGTGTGGGACTCGGCCACCCACCGCATGCACGTGCTCAGCCATGAGAGCCTGCGCTTCAAAGTGCTGGGATCTAGGTGAGTCAACGCCTTCTCAGGGGTCCAGGTGAGTCAACGCCAGTCAACCTGTGAGCTGACTGCTTGTGTGCCTCTTCCCCTCCCCCTCCCGGTCCCCATACCTATCCCCCTCCCCGCAGCTGCTTCATGCAGGGCCTCTCTCCACGCTACTGGCCAACCTGCTGCGATCGCCGAGCACTTTCAAGCGTCCCCATCCCCTTCCCCCCTGCCCCCTGCAACCCCCTCCCCTCAGTTGTTTCATGCGGGGCCTCTCCACCCTACTGGCCAACCTGCTGCGCTCACTGCTTTCATGTGTCCCCCCCCCGCTCCCCCTTCCCCCACCTCCCCCTGGCCCCTCTCCCCCCTTCAGCTGCTTCATGCGAGGCCTTTCCACCCTACTAGCCAACCTGCTGCTCTCACCGCTCCTGCTCGACTCGCCCGGCCACAAGGCATGGCTGCCAGAGTACCACGCCGGCTGCCTGCACTCCATCTACCCCGTGCTCCTCCCCCCCGCCTTCCACCCCTTCCCCTTCCAACATCCTGCCCCGTTTTTCCACCAGCTTACCCTTTCATGTTTGCCTCTCCCCCATCCCGTCCCCTTTCCCCCATTCAGCTGCTTCATGCGGGGTCTTTCCACCCTACTAGCCAACCTGCTGCGCTCGCCTCTCCTGCTCGACTCGCCCGGCCACAAGGCATGGCTGCCAGAGTACCACGCCGGCTGCCTCCACTCCATCTACCCCGTGCTGCTCCCCCCCGCCTTCCACGGCCTACCCTTTGAAGAGGTTGCTGAGTTTGTGTACCGCTGCTTCCACGTGTGCCTCTTTGCTCTTGATGTGCTGGTGGAACCGTGTGGGGCGCATGGAGGGGTGCAGAGGGGTGGGGCGGGTGAGGGAGGTGTTGGAAGGGGTGGGGTGCACGCCTGTGGGGAGTGTGTTGAGTGTGTAGAGTGTGTGGAGTGTGTGGAGTGTGTGGAGTGTGTGGAGTGTGGAGGTAGGGAGGAGGGAGACAGGCGCTCTGAGGCAGAGGCCACAGCAAAGGCAACGCAGGGATCATATGCACGTGCAGCACCAACTGCAGTTGCAGGAGCAGGAGGAGCAGACGGAGCAGCAGCAGGAGCAGGAGGAGGAGCAGAGGGAGCAGCAGCAGCAGGAGCAGCAGGAGCAGCAGCGGAAGCAGCCCCAAGCTTTTACGTGGGCAAAAAGGCAAGCCGCCCGCGTCGGCCACTCAAAAACCCCCTCCCCCGGTTGAGCCGCCTGCTCTCCCGCCCCCACGAGGAGCTCTGCCTCCTCCTCAACTCCGCTGCTGCCTCTGCTGCCTCTGCTGCATATGCACCAGTCGCAGCAGCAGCAGCAGCAGGAGGAGAACCTGCAAGAGCAGCAGGGGCAGGGGCAGCAGGGGCGGCAGGGGCAGCAGGGGCAGCAGCAGGCAGCAGCAGCGCTGGCAGAGGGAAAGCATGGAACGTGGGCAGTGGCATGGCAAGGAAAATGGAGCAACAGCTGAGGGCGGGGCTTGGGATGAGGAAGAAGGGAGAGAGAAGAGCAGGGAGAGTGGGGCTGGAGTGTGGGTGTCAGCGGGGGGTGTTCCTGCTGCCTTCAGAGCACATCATTCGCAGCTCTGTGGATGTGGGGCTGGTGATTGCGCCTTGCCTCGACGCTGCTGAGAGGGTTTCCGCGTTCACAGGCGGATTGCACAGCGGGGAGAGTGGTAGTGGGGGGAGTGGCTCTTGGGGGAGTGGCCGCGGGGGGAGTGGCGGGGAAAGGCAGTCATGGTGGGGGATTGGGAGGAGAGAGGAGGAGGGAGATGTGGGAGGGGAGGTGGAAAAACAGGGCGATGGTTGCAGTGGGGCCTGTGAAGGTGGTGGGCGTCGGCAGCAGTTGTGCAAGAAGCACCAGGAGCAGCAGCAGCAGCAGCAGCAGCAGCAGCAGCAGCATCACCAGCACCACCACCACCAGCCGCACCACCATCACCACCACCACCACCACCACCACCACCACCAGCATCAGCACCAGCAGCACCAGCAGCACCAGCAGCACCAGCAGCACCACCACCACCACCAGCACCAGCACCAGCACGAGCAGCACCAGCAGGAGGGAATGACTGAACAGCAGCAGCAGCAGCAGCAGCAGCAGCAGCAGCAGCAGCAGCAGCAGCAGCAGCAGCAGCAGCAGCAGCAGCAGGCAAACAGTGCAAACGCACACCAGCAACAGCAGCTCATTCCCCAGCCACCGCAAGCCCTGCTATTCCACCCCATCACCCACCAGCACCACCACCCCCTCACAGCATCCTCCCTCGCAGCAGCACGCGCATCCAACCCGCTCTCCCGCCACGTCTCCTGCTTCCTCTTCGGCACCCGCCGGGCTGCCTCGCTGCTGCTGCCTTCCCCTGCTGCTGCTGCTGACGCGCGGTCACTGTTTCAGATGGTGCAGGAGGAGTGGATGAGGAGAGGGGCGATGGAAGAGGCAGGTGGAGGGGCTGATTTGGCTCCAGCTACTGCTGCTGCCGCTGCTGGTGCTGCTGGTGCTGCTGGTGCTGCTGGTGCTACTGCTGCTGGTGGTGCTGGTGGTGCAGGTAGTGTGAGTTTGGGAAGAGACGTGAGTGTGAATGTGATGCCTGATGTCACTCATTCCAGCAACAGTCATCTCACCACGCCCCTACTCTCGCGCTACCACCACCAGCACGTAGCAGCACCAGCATCCCCACCCGCAGCAGGATCAGGCGCAGCAGCAGCAGCTGCAGCAGCATCAAGAGGGCACCAAAGTATGTCACCCCAAACGAATCCTCCTATAACGAGTGCAAGAGAGCCTGGCAGCAGCAGCAGCAGCAAGCGGAAGGTAGTGCGGTTTCAGGGTATTGAGAAGGAGGATGGGGAAGGTACAGAGGATGGGGAAGGTACAGAGAAGGGGGAAGGTACAGAGAAGGGGGAAGGTACAGAGAAGGGGGGGGGCACAGAGCAGGGGAAAGGCTTGGACGTGGAAAGTCAGGGTTTGCTGGTTGGGGGAAGCACGAGAGAAGCGAGGAGGGACGAATGGGAAATAACAGAGGAGGGAGGCAATGCGAGAAGTGCAGTGGAAGGGGATGAGTCACCAGGTTGCTGGTACGACTGTGAAGACAACGTTGATGCGATTGTGGAGGGTGGTGGTGGTGGTGGTGCTGCTGCTGCTGCTGCTGCTGCTGCTGGTGATGTAGCTGGTTCTGGTGGGGAAAGAGCTGTCTTTACCCAGGATAAGCCGTTCTTGCACCTGCTAGCAAAGGCTGGTGCAGAGGAGAAACGAGTGGGAAAGGGCGAAGGTAAGGGAGAGGGGACGAAGGAAGGCGACGAGAAACAAGAAGCGGAGAAGCATGGGGACGAGGCAGAGGGGGGGCCGGACGAGGAAGGGGAGGAAGAAGGAGAGGAGGAGGGGGGAGAAGAGGAGGAAGAGGAAGAGGAGGAGGAGGAGGAGGTAGAGAGGCCGGCAGTGGAGGTGGTGGATCGGCACGAGGAGGCAATTCTCGCTCATCTGGACTCGCACACCCTCCCTGTTGCTGACTTTGCCTCGCCTCACATCCTCGTGTGCCTTGCTGGCAGCAGCAGCAGCGATGCTGGCGGTGGGAGTGATAGCGACGGGGAGGAGGAGGGGGGAGGGGAGGCGGGGGAGGGAGGGGGCGTGGTGGCATGGCCGGCAAATCTGTTCTGCCTGGTGAAGCACCTCAGGAGCAGGGCAGTGCCGCAACGACCTGTGTTGATCATGCACCCCCATGTACGTTTCTTTGCGCTCATCGAGTCTTGAGGGAGGGAGGGGGCGTGGTGGCATGGCCGGCGAATCTGTTTTGTCTTGTGAAGCATCTCAGGAGCAGGGCAGTGCCTCAACGACCCGTGCTTATCATGCACCCCCATGTACGTGTGCTCGTCGTAACCTTATTCCTCTGTGCCTTATTAGATCACAACCTTAATCCCATTCCAGCCAGTGCCCCCTCTCCGTCTCTCCCCTTCCCACCCTTTCCGCCTGTCCCCCTCCCATTCCTCACAGCATCCCAACCACCAAGAGTGGGCCCAAGTAGGAATCTCTTCCCAAACATATTCTTCCTATGTGGCTCGCCCACGCACGATCTCAGCCTCATCATCCCCCTACCCTCCCCCTACCCTTTCACCCTCCGCCCCCACAGCACCCCACTCACAGAGAGTGGGCGCAGGTGGGAATCTTCCCCGACGTCTTCTTCCTCTGTGGCTCCCCCACGCACAATCTCAGCCTCATCCAGTGCGCTCATCCCCCTACCCTCCCCCTACCCTTTTACCCTCCGCCCCCACAGCACCCCACTCACAGAGAGTGGGCGCAGGTGGGAATCTTCCCCGACGTCTTCTTCCTCTGTGGCTTGGCTCCCCCACGCACGATCTCAGCCTCATCCAGTGCGCTCATCCCCCTACCCTCCCCCCACCCTTTTACCCCCCGCCCCCACAGCACCCCACCCACCGCGAGTGGGCCCCAGTAGGCATTTTCCCTGACATATTCTTCCTCTGTGGATCGCCCACACACGATCTCGACCTCATCCGAGCCGGCGTCCTCTCAGCCGAGAAGGTCCTCGTCATCTCCCCCGACCAATCGCCAGGCGCCACGTCACCCTCCCTCTCCTCCTCCTCCTCAGGCCCCTCGGCCGACCTAGCAAGCGTGGTGGTGGCAGCACACGTGGAACAGTTACAGGGAGGGTGGGAAACAGTTGGAGAGAGCGCGGAAGTAGCGGAGGAAGGGGAGAGAAGGAAGGGTGGTTTGCTAGTAGAGCTACAGAGTGAGCAGTCGTATCAGTACTTCCAGCCGCTGTATCTGCTGCCTGGGCGGCGGGCAGAGAGGAGATCGTATCTGCGGAACAGGATGGGGGTGTACGCCTTTGCCCCTGTTTTCCAGAGCGGAAGGGCCTTTTGCAGCACTGCGCTCTCTGCTGTCTCGTAAGTATCGTGTCGCAATACTTCCAAGATTTTGATCTTTTTATTCTCAGGTGCCGTGTAACAGGCTTACAAGGCTTTTCCATTCTTGGACGATGTGAGGTCGACTCAAGCCCCTTTGGGTGAGGAGTTGTTTGTGCTTGTGCCTTTTGAGGCTCCTCAAAAGAAACTTCCAGTCCTGGGTATTGTGAGCTCGTGTCAAGCCCCTTTGGGTGAGGAGTTGTTTCTGCTTGTGCCTCCTCATTACTCCCAACCTGCTGCTCTGCTCCTCCACACCCCTCTGACCCTCCGCTCCGCCCCTCTGTTCCCACTGTTTTGCCCCATCCCAGTGTGGCCACCTTCTACAATTGTAACAGGCTCATGATAGTCTCATGCTCAGGCTCCACACCTTTTGGTTGTCTCTAACCCAACTTTTCCACCCCTCTGTTACCACTGTTTTCCCCCATCCCAGTGTGGCCACCTTCTACAATCGCAACATCTCCACCATTCTGCACCTCTTGTTATCTGGGAGCCCTCCCATCCCCCCTCTCACTGCCACACCCACTCCTCCTGCTGCTGCTTCCACTGCTCCTGCTGCTGCTTCCACTGCTCCTGCTGCTGCTTCCACTGCTCCTGCTGCTGCTTCCACTGCTCCTGCTGCTGCTTCCACTGCTCCTGCTGCTGCTTCCACTGCTCCTGCTGCTGCTTCCACTGCTCCTGCTGCTGCTTCCACTGCTCCTGCTGCTGCTTCCACTGCTCCTGCTGCTGCTTCCACTGCTCCTGCTGCTGCTTCCACTGCTCCTGCTGCTGCTTCCACTGCTCCTGCTGCTGCTTCCACTGCTCCTGCTGCTGCTTCCACTGCTCCTGCTGCTGCTTCCACTGCTCCTGCTGCTGCTTCCACTGCTCCTGCTGCTGCTTCCACTGCTCCTGCTGCTGCTTCCACTGCTCCTGCTGCTGCTTCCACTGCTCCTGCTGCTGCTTCCACTGCTCCTGCTGCTGCTTCCACTGCTCCTGCTGCTGCTTCCACTGCTCCTGCTGCTGCTTCCACTGCTGCTGCTGCTGCTTCTGCTGCCCCATCTGCTGCTTTCCCATCATCCTCTTCCTCACCCAAGCAACACCGAGCATCAGCGCACTCACCTCCTCACACCCACCACCACCAGCACCCGAAGCACCGGCGGCAGCTGTGGCAGTGTGAGGTGCCACACGAGTTCGTGGGGAGGGGGTACGGGGAACTCTTTATAGACATGCTGCGCTCCAGGCATGCGCTTGCCCTGGGGCTGTACCGCGTGGCGGGCACCTTGGGATCTCCCACTGCCTTTGTGCACACGAATCCACTCCCATCTACACCTCTTTCTCAGGGCGACCTTGTCTTTTACATTATGTGATATGGTACAGTGTTTTTCCTGCCTGCCAAATATAATTACCATATGTAACCTCTGAAACCAGAGACTCATACCATACCAGTATTGGTTGTGGTGGCATATCATTTAGGTATGGAATGTAAGGGCCCGGGAGGAACAGAATACCTCTTTAGTTTGAGGTATTGTTTTCACTGTGAAAATGCGAACCGTGAATTGGGTTGAAACATATATTTCAGCCAAACATGCCTTGGGCCACATGTTCATGGTGCAGTCTACACTGCCCGCTTTTCATATCTACACTAGATAAAGTCCCATTGCCTAGCAACCCGGCAAAGTATGCAAATGTGCTGATGTAACTGCCGGCTTCGATTATGGTCCGAGCTTTTGAAAGCAGGAAGAACTCAGCCATAGTGGGGAGGCGCTGTGCAACAGTTTCAGGAATAGTGGCATTAGCATAGGCAGTGCCATTCACACCAGCCCTGCTGCTGCTGCTGCTGCTGCTGCTGCTACTGCTGCTGGTATCACTACTGCCATCCGCCCCCCTCCCCAAACTACTGCTCTCCAGTCCCTCTGCGCTTGCACTCCCGCCACTGCCAGCACTGCCGCCAGCCTTGGAGGTGTGGAAGATGCCTCCAGAGGAGAAGAAGACAGTGCCGTACTCAGCCAGTCGTGCCACAAACTCCGCTCGGTGCTCCTCATCGTCTGTGGCTAGAAATATGGAGAACTCCCTGTCGCCGCCGCCGCCGCCGCTGCTGCTGCTGCTGCTGCTGCTGCTGCTGCTGCTTCTGCTGCTCGATCCGCCTCTGCTATTAGACGGATCTGTGGTGGTGCTGCTGGGGAGGTCGTCTCGCATGGACCGGAGTGTGCTGAGAATGCCGCCTATGCACTCCCACAGGCAGTTGCGCAGGAACTGGGGTCGGGGGGAGGTGGCACTGGCACTGGCGCTGGTGGTGCTGCTGCCGGTGCTGCTGCTGCTGCTGCTGGTGCTAGTGCTGATTTCAGGGGAATCTTCAGGGTCTTGGCAGTCGGCGTCCTGGTACGTGTCTCCTGATTGCCGAACGACTTTCTCCAGGGCCAGGGTGCGAGTGCGAACATGGAACCCCACGTCAAACTCGATCTCAGGCCCCGCGTGTGCTGCCTCACTGATGATTGATGAGGCTGCTGCTGCACCTGCACCTGCACCTGCTGGGTCTGCTGTGCTGCCACTGCTGCTGCTGCTGCTACTGCTGCTGCCTGTGCTGCTGCCTGTGTCCTGGGTGCTGCTTTCCCTGCCGCTACTGCTGTTTTTTCTGCCCTCACTGCTGCTGTTATGAGGCACGCGGCGCAGGACAGAAGAGATGGTGGAGGCGAGGGCTGGAGTGGGGCCGGTGCGCGAGAGAAAGTCGAACATGGCGCGGGAATGAACACACCAGATGGACCTGGGGGAGAGGGGGAGCGGGAGGGTGTGAGAGTGAGATGATGATGGCATCAATAGCAGCAGAGGAGATGGTGGAGGCGAGGGCTGGAGTGGGGCCGGTGCGGGAGAGAAAGTCAGACATGGCGCGGGAATGAACACACCACACGGACCTGGGAGAAGAAGGGGGGCAAAGGTGGGTATGGATGGAGGCGATTCGAGTGATGATGGGAAAGATGATGGGGGAGATGAGAGGAGAGGTGATGATGGTACAAACAGCAGCAGCGATGGTGGGGAGCGGCCGGAACAGAAGGCAGCGTGAATGCAGTGGCTTTGAGCAGTGGAACAGAGGGCAGCGTAAATGCCTTTTGAGGCGCCTAAAAAATGGCATTGAGCAATGGAACAGAAAGTGACTCACGAGCAGTGGAAGGCGGCATAGACGCAGGAGCGCAGGCGGTCGCTGCGGTGCCAGAAGAGGTCAAAGAGTGTGCCGCTGCGGGTGGCGAGTACTGGGTAGTCTGACTGCAGTGACGCTGCTATGGCTGGAGGTGTGGGGTGTGGGGGGGTGGGGTGGGGTGGGGTGGGGTGGGGTGGGGTAGGGTGAGATGGGGTGGGGTAGGTTGAGTGAAGGGCGGTCGCTGCGGTGCCAGAAGAGGTCAAAGAGGTGCCGCTGCGCGTGGCGAGTACCGGGTAGTCTGATTGCAGTGATGCTGCTATGGCTGGTGTGGGGTGGGATGCAGTGGGATGGGTTGGGGTAGGGTGGTTGGGTGGGGTTAAAAAGGACCTCAAAACCCTCCCCCTCTCTCCCCCTGCCCCCCTGTCCGCCGGAAAGCACCTCACTTTGAACGTTCTGGTTTCTCTCAGGAAGTAGATGGGTCGCAGAATGGCAAACTTGCACAACACTACCCCTCCAATGCTGAATGCACCTCCCCTTGAAAACCCCACACCCCACCCTCCACCTCCCCTGGAAAGCACCTCACTTTGAACGTTCTGGTATCTCTCCAGGAAGTAGATGGGCCGCAGCATGGCAAACTTGCACAGCAGTTCAATGCCCGTCCCACTGCGCCCCTCATAATTCCCCACCTTTCCCCCGACCAACCACCCCCGATTGCACCTTACTTTGAACGTTCTGGTATCTCTCCAGGAAGTAGATGGGCCGCAGCATGGCAAACTTGCACAGCAGTTCAATGCCCGTCCCACTGCGCCCCTCATAATTCCCCACCTTTCCCCCGACCAACCACCCCCGATTGCACCTTACTTTGAACGTTCTGGTATCTCTCCAGGAAGTAGATGGGCCGCAGCATGGCAAACTTGCACAGCAGTTCAATGCCCGTCCCACTGCGCCCCTCATAATTCCCCACCTTTCCCCCGACCAACCACCCCCGATTGCACCTTACTCTGAACGTTCTGGTATCTCTCCAGAAAGTAGATGGGTCGCAGCATGGCAAATTTCCGCAGCAGTTCAACGCCCGTCCCACTGCGCCCCTCACTCGCACTCCTCACTACTTCCACCGCCCCTTCCGCCCCCACATCCCCCATCAACCCTCTCCGCGCCCCCTTCGCCTCCCGAACTCCTGCTCCTTCTCTTGCTCCTACCCCTCTCCCATCCCCTCCTTCCCCTCCTCCTCCTCGTTCTCCGACATTCCTCCTCTCCCCCCCACCTCCCACTTCCCCATCCTCGCCCTCCCCACCCCCACCATCTCCACCGCTCCCATCCTCCTCCCCACCGCGATCCACCCCTCCCGGCTGCCCCACAGCATCGAAGCTACACCCATACGCCTGACAGAGCAGATCGTACACCCGCGCGTGCTCCCCCGCGTGCAGGCGCACCAGCCGCCGCCCCGCCAGGCTGGCGTAGACGAACGCGGAGACGAACCCGCGCAGGGAGTTCCCGAGGCCGTGGCGCGGGAGGAAGGCGAGGAAACGCTCGTTGGGGCGGAGCAGATCGAGCAGAGAGGTGACTGGCGGCCTGGGATGGGGGAAAGAGGGAGGAGAGAAGAAGAAAGAAGAGGTGGGTGGGGGGGTGGGGGAAAGAGGGAGTTGGGGTTGAGGAGTTGGGGGAAGGAGGGGAGGAAGGGTAAGGAAGAGTTTCAGGCAACCTTTGCCTGCTTAAGGCGGAGAGCGGCCGTGCGATTCACAATTGACAGTGAAGAAAAACAAAAAAGAGGTGCCTCGCATAACTCCGACTCACATTCGGTCGGTGGATTCTCTGAACTCATCAGGCACGATGTCAGCACACAGCCCCTCGCCGCCCACATCTATCCGCACGTCCTGAGGTGATTTACATTCGGTCTGTGAATCACCTCCGACTCACATTCGGTCGGTGGATTCTCTGAACTCATCAGGCACGATGTCAGCACACAGCCCCTCGCCGCCCACATCTATCCGCACGTCATGAGGTGATTTACATTCGGTCTGTGGACTAAAAAATCCCCTCCGACTCACATTCGGTCGGTGGATTCTCTGAACTCATCAGGCACGATGTCAGCACACAGCCCCTCGCCGCCCACGTCTATCCGCACGTCCTGAGGTGATTTACATTCGGTCTGTGGACTAAAAAATCACCTCCGACTCACATTCGGTCGGTGGATTCTCTGAACTCATCAGGCACGATGTCAGCACACAGCCCCTCGCCGCCCACATCTATCCGCACGTCCTGAGGTGATTTACATTCGGTCTGTGGACTAAAAAATCACCTCCGACTCACATTCGGTCGGTGGATTCTCTGAACTCATCAGGCACGATGTCAGCACACAGCCCCTCGCCGCCCACATCTATCCGCACGTCCTGAGGTGATTTACATTCGGTCTGTGGACTCAAAAATCACCTCCGACTCACATTCGGTCGGTGGATTCTCTGAACTCATCAGGCACGATGTCAGCACACAGCCCCTCGCCGCCCACATCTATCCGCACGTCCTGAGGTGATTTACATTCGGTCTGTGGACTCAAAAATCACCTCCGACTCACATTCGGTCGGTGGATTCTCTGAACTCATCAGGCACGATGTCAGCACACAGCGCCTCGCGGCCCACGTCTATCCGCACGTCCTGCACGAACCGCGACTGCCACGGCCGCCGCGAAACCCCTCCCCCCGCACCGTTCGTTCCGCCCAACCCTCCGCCCAACCCCCCGCCCAACTGCTGCGCGCCGATCTCCCCTTCCCGCAGCCCGTCCGCCGCTGCTAGCGCCATGATGCTCCTCCGGCCTTCCTCGCTCAAAACCATGCTTCCGTCGCTGTTCCTCTCGTCCCCCACGCCCCCCCGCTCCCCTCGCCCCGTCCGGATATCCGGCAGGTGCTGCCGCGTGGCGAGCAGGGATTGGACAGCGGAAGCGCGCGCGGCGGAGGACCAGAGGAACGGGTAGTAGTGACCCGCGAAGTTGGAGCACAGGAAGAGGATTATAACGAGAAGAATATTCTGTAAACGAGAGCCGACGCTGCTGCCGCTAGCGCCGCCGCTCGCACCCGCGCGCCTCCATGGGCTACTAGGCCCTGGCGACATTCCCCCCGAGGCTGCATCTCCCCCATATCCGCCGCCTTTGCGGCTTCTTGCGTTCACGCCCTTGCTGGTGCTGCTGCTGGTGGTGGTGGCAAAGCCGGTATTCCCTATGACGCTGAATCCGCCTCGGTGATTGGTCCATCCGTGCGAAGGCGGCGGAATATGCGGCAAGAGTTTCGCCGCTCCCGACGCTGACGCGCGCGGATTGCCAAGGGACGGGGAGCGCGGTGTGGGGGATGAGGGTGATCTTGCCGAAGGTGACTCAAACGAAGAGCCGTCATCGTCGCTGAGGCTGGCCTTACTCCTGGGAAGCCTAGAGCCCGCGGGCGATCGACCTCCGCGCGAAAGGGGAGACTTCGGGTTACCAGAATTAACAGATTCGCTTGGTCCTCCTCCTTCTGCTGCTGGCCTCCCGGCGGAGCCCGCAGAGCCGGTAAAGCGGCTAGAGAGCCATGAGGACTGCTTGCGATCCGAGGAGCGGTTCGGTGGCGATCTTATGCGCAACGGCTGGGAGAACATTCAGCCTACCCGCTGTGTCGATGCTCTCGCTAGCGAATCTGGCCTCCGGCGCATTCGGATCTAAAAAAATTGGAGAAAACCGCAATCAAAGCCCTAATGTCCACTGTCAATGGTTCTGACGGCTCTATGACAGTCCGCTACTCAAGCTGATGTGGGCGGTACCAACGGGGTTGACGTGCAGAAAGTAATGCTTCATTCGGACGCAACTAGTACATCCTTCATACTCACGTCGAGACTGCAACCATGGCCTAGACTCCAACAGAAACGGGTGAATAAGCTATAGAATGAGCGATCCGGTGTACGAAATCAAGCTCAAACAACACGGATCGGTTTGGTCAAGAGAAAGCAGCACAGAGAATGACGAAGGAAGAAGATTCAAGGGTGAAAGGGACCAGAAACCAGGGAGGAGGTGAGAGAGCAGAGTCGAAAGGGGAGGAAGGGGGGTGCCAGGGGAGCAGTCAAGAAAGGTTTGGGAAATGGTGGGATGAAGTTCGCGAAAATGCATGTGACAGCCCCAGCGATGGGATTTTAGGTTTCCGAAGTACTTCGCGAGTTGCCTAGCATTTCGTGGGAACAGATTCAAGCAGCCGCATCTTGGGATTTCACAACTTTTGGGATTGGGTTCTCCCCCACCCCAAAGAGGAACCGACCAGTCGTCGCGTCGTATCCACCTCCCTCTTGCGATGGGTGTACAGAATTTTTCATCCTTAGAGATTTCGTTCGTTATGCGGTAAGGGTACAGATTTAAGATGGTGCCAGGATATCCTAGCACTCAAAACACCTAACTACAAAGCTTGGCAATTGATGATACTCCTAGATAGTTTATTTCCCTAACAATGACAAGCTACGATGCCTACATGCAGCTTTTTCTTTATCATCCCTCCCTGGCTGCACTCGCTATGGTGTCAAGGGAACACCTAGCATGCCATAGCATGCGCGTTCCATTTTTTCCTTCGCCAAACAGGTTATCCTGAGCAGATGATGTTGTGTTGCAATGAGTTCCCGTTGTAAGCCCTCCACCTGCTGATGCCCCATTCCCTCCATTCCCTCCTCTACCACCCCTTGCAGCAGCACCTACTCTACCAGTACTCTTACCCCCCACTTCCAGCCTTCCCAGGAAATAAAGAGTTTGTCGACGGCGGGTTGGGTGTCTTCGTCCCATCCTCCATCTTCCCATGCGTTGGTGGGCCCTTCTTAGGAGGGCTGGTGCCTTTACTTTTACCATCTTTCGCCTTCCCAGGCAAGGGAGCACCTGAACTTGGAGGGTAAGGAGCCATTGTCCCATTCTTCGTCTTTCCAGGAAAGAGGGGGGTCTTCTTTGGAGGGCTGTTAGCCTTTGTCCCATTCTTGGGTGTTCCTGGAGCAGGAGGGGTCTTTTTTGGACTCCCTTTGTTCGCCTTGGTCCCATTATTCACCTTCCCTGAAGGAGGGAGGGGTTTCTTTGGACTACCTTTATTCGGCTGCCCTGAAGATGGAGGGAGTCTCTTAAAATTCCCATCATTCGGCTGCCCGGAAGGTGGGGAACCCTTTTTCGGACTCCCTTTATTCGGCTGCCCTGAAGGAGGGGAGAGCTTTTTCGGATTCCCATTATTCGGCTGCCCGGAACCGGGAGGGACTTTCGTCGGAGGACTAGCAGTCTTAGGAGAAGGGGACTTAGGAGAAGGGGACTTAGGAGAAGGAGACTTAGGAGAAGGGGACTTAGGAGAAGGGGACTTAGGAGAAGGGGTCTTAGGAGAAGGGGTCTTCAGGTTCTTAGGCGGAAGAATTCCTGAATTCCCCTCACTCTCCCCGCCGCCGCTCCACCCATTGTTCCCCCCTGTGCTGTTGCCCCCACCCCCATTCCCCCCACCTCCACCACCTCCCCAACCGCCCCCGCCTCCCCCTCCTCCCCCTCCCCCTCCTCCAGAGAACTGCACTTGACAATCATAGTCCTTTCCTGCTACCCACCCCGCAGGGAGACACAGGCCAGGTGTTTCCACCACCTGCCCGTCCATTAATGAGGTAAGTCGGAACCTAAGAGGCGACTTGAGGTACGTCCGGTGCACCCACACGGCGCCCCAGTCGTGTTCCATGGGCTTCCACGTGGCGGATCCTGCTTCTGCCACGTGGACGGATGCCAGGTCACCAGGGCCCGCCACGTTGCGCACGAGCAGGTTGATCCAAAAGTCAGAGCCAGTGGTGTGAGGCGGATGTTGCGGTTGAAAGCACAGGGTACCCTGCGGACAGAGGATGGAATTTTGGGAATGGGGTGGGGACAGTGGTGCGCAAGTGAGACGGTAGTACTGGGGTCATACGCACGAGCAGGTTGAACTAGAAGTCGGCGCCGGTGGGTGTAAGGCGGATGTTGCGGTTGAAAGCACATGGCGGTCGGAGCACGGGGTTACTGCTACCACCCACATATGCTAGGGCGGAGTTACACAAATAACTGGTTACCTGGTGTACACAAGTGGTATGTGTCCCGCGACTTGCTCCGCAATGAGATTGAATGCGGGCATGGGCAGGTCGAAGTGCACACACGTGGGGCAGCACCACCCTGCGCCTGGGTTACACGGATGGGTGGTTACCTGGTGTACACGAGGGGAATGTGCCCCGCCACTTGCTCCGCGATGAGGTTGAAGGATGCCATGTTGAGGTCGAAGTGCACACACGTGGGGCAGCACCACCCCGCTCCAGCAGGGCACTGGTCCGTGATGGTCACTGTCACGCTCACGCCCTTCTTGCAGTACCGGCTGTCCACACACCGGACTCTGGCACGGGGGAGAGGAAAGAGGCACAAGTGGCTTGAATGTGGGAAGTGCGTACACGCGGGACAACACACGTGGGGCAGCACACGTGGGGCAGCACACGTGGGGCAGCACACGTGGGGCAGCACACGTGGGGCAGCACCGCCCGGCCCTGCAGGGCACTGGTCCGTGATGGTCATTGTGACGCTCACGCCCTTCTTGCAGTAGGGGCTGTCCACACACCGGACTCTGCCATTGGGAGAAAAAGAGGGGCGAAAATGGCTCGAATGTGAGTGAGGTGCGTGCAACCGTGATGGTCACTGTCACGCTCACGCCCTTCTTGCAATACGGGCTGTCCACACACCGGACTCTGCCAAGGGGAACAGTGGGGTATAAATGACTTGACTGTGAGTGGGATGCCTTTAAACGGGATGGTCACTGTGACGCTCACGCCCTTCTTGCAGTACGGGCTGTCCACACACCGAACCCTGCCATTGGGGAGAATAAACAGGGGCACAAGTGGCTTGATTGTGCGAAGTGCACGCACATGGGGCAGCACCACCCCCTCACTCTTATACAACGTCATAGCTTTTACCTGTAGCATGGACTGGACCTCACTTGTAGCACGGATGTAGCGCGGCTCTCAGCTGTAGCAGCTGCCACAGCTGCGGCCGTCCTTGCAGAGCATCACACTGCCTGCAGGAGGCTACCTAGCACAAATGTAGCACGGCGCTCACCTGTAGCAGCTGCCACATCCGTGGCCGTCCTTGTAGAGCATCACACTGCCTGCCGCTGACAAGGGGCCGTACCCGGCCGCCAGGATGTTGCCAAACCCGCAGTTGCCGCCTGCACGCACCACGAGAAATTGGGGAAGACATGGGCAATTGAGAGAGAGATGGGCAAGAGAGAGATGGTGGCATGCTTGAGTCGTCTCAACATTCGGCCGCGGTCAAGGGGCCATACCCCGCCACCAGAATGTTGCCGTAGCCGCAGTTGCCGCCTGCACGCACCACGGGGCAACAGACAGCAGCAATATGGACCAAAGGACCGCTTTAAGGCACCTCAATCCCAGATACAACTTCCATCTGATAGGAGATCACCGAGTTATTGCAGTTGCTGCCATCATCCGACGCGGAACGCGACGCAACGCGCCGAAGCCACCGCTGCCGCCGGTGATCGAACCAAGAGTGGTGAAAAGCATACGGGCCACTGGGTGCATTTCGACACACCTACCGTCGATATGGACGCTGCCGTAAGTTACTACTTCTGCCGCCGTAACGGAACGACGCGGTCATCCGATGAGTCATCACGGGGTATGGAATGCTGCAATAAAAATATCGTCGCAGTCTCCTGTTTTTCTAACAGCCCACCAGACATACCGTCGAGACCGCCGCCGTAATAAGTGGCAGTGGCTTTCCCTGTGAACCCGAACCCCTGCGACCCCGTGCCGGCCGCCGCCACGAGGTCCTGTATGGACGCGCCGGCGCGCAGCGACACGTGCGCGAGCGCTAGAATGAGAGTTGCTACACGCGCCGTCATAGAACGGGCTGGATGCGACGGGGAGGCAGAATGCCGCGGCATTGCGAAGCTTCTCGCTGACTTAGTGAAGGAATGAAGTGGGAGAATTGCGGCCGCTGGAACGGGAGGTTACGGTGAAGTGCCCGGGGTGGATCGTAGCTCGTGAGCTTCAGTGAAGTTCTATGCGAGTCGGATTGTGCGATTTCCAAACGTATGGCCCGACCAGAGTCGCCTCGACCAAAAGGAAAGAACTGATCCACAATAGCCTTCTCCAGATCCTACATTACCAGAAGAATCGTTTGCTTGGTCTCTTTGCGGCTGTTCGAGCGCGGTGCGGTTTGGCTAGCAAGTTCCGCTGGGGAGCTTCTAATGCAGAGTGCATGTTGCTTCAAGAGAAATACTGCACTTCCGGTGGCACCCTGCCTCGTGCACTAGTGTCATATGTACTTCTGCCCTCCAGCCTTCGATAATAGCCCCTGCTTTTCCAGGGCTTGCTGAAGAACCCTGTTTCTGTCCGACGAGTGGGTTTGAGATTGTTTAAAATGGTTCTAGCGGTTTGGGAAGTTTGACCATCGGTTGGCTGACCAACCACAAGGGTGAGGCTGGCAAGCCCCGGTATTGTAACAATTGACCGAATGCAGATGTCGAAGCGCGCAACCACGCGAGTCGCGCAAAGTAGGGGCTAGTGTGGGGCACTGGATCGTGTCAAATCTGCACACGTGGCACCCTGACTGGAATGCAGGGGCTATCGAAGAGCATCTACAGTACTGGCCAGTTTGTGTCGTAAAGGCCGCGCGTTGCGATGAGGCGGCCGGCGTGATTGACTGCAGCACGTCGTCCGTCTGAAGGTGAATATCCTCACGAAACTGTGCGATTGTGTGCGATCAGATAGGGGCAGGTGGGAGAGTGTGCTCACCACCACAGATGGATTTCACCTGATGGCGTATCCATGTTGGGGTCATGAGCACTGTTCCGGGCATGCGCGATTTGCGCAGAGGTGAAAAGAAACCTGGAAACGGATTCAGGTAAAAATCAAGAACAGCCGCCATCTTGTTGGTGGAGCCCAACATTCGCTTTACAGTGGCGCCACCACACTAGAATATCTACATGGAGGCCACTCAAGCTCATGTCTGGAAACTTTAATAGGTGAGATCAATTAATACACTCTGCATTCAAGGGATAAAAATACACTCGAGTGGACTGGGTCCAAAAGCGTAAGCAACATTATCACTTGACACAATCTGTGACCAAGGCAGCAGGTCTTTTGTCGATAACCTCGTCTATAAGCCCAAAGGAGAGTGCCTCTGTAGGGCTCATGAAGCGATCCCTCTCCATGCTCTCAGCTGGAACGAGAAACAAAGCAGGTTACATGACACAGGCACCAGTAAGAGGCAAAAGGCATGTGGTAAATTGGGCGACAGTCACGTGACAAGCAGGCAGAACAAGCCTAGCCAACAGAAGAAATGGAATAGCTCAGACATAGCTCCACTCACCAATCACACCAATCTCCTTCCCCGTGTGCTTAGCATAAAGCCCATTCAGCCGGCCCTTAGTCTTGATAATCTCCTCTGCATGAATGGCAATATCCGTGGCCTGCCCCTGGGCGCCCCCTGACGGCTGGTGCACCATGAGCCGCGCGTTGGGCAGCGAGCGCCTCTGCCCCGCCTCCCCTGCTGCGAGCAGCAGCGTGGCCATGGAGGCTGCTTGGCCCACGCAGAGAGTGCTCACTGTACACTGGATGTACTGGTGGGTGGGAGGAGAGGAGAGGGGGGGATTTGAAGGTCTGTTTGGAGGAGGCTAGGGTTAAAGGGGTGCCATGCGAACAGCATACAGGGCGATGAATGGTGTCTATCATACCACACTCACCTGCACACTCACCTGCACAATCACCCACACCCTTACCTGCATGGTGTCGTATATGGCAAGGCCTGCAGTCACCAGACCGCCAGGCGAGTTTATGTACATGTACACCTGCGAGGAGGGGTGAAAACGCGTTATTAGACATCTCGGAACAAGTTTACGTACATGTACAGTCAGGTAAATCACGATCTTAAGGCTTTATTAACCAGGGCTTACAGGTTTCTCGGGGTGTTCCGAGTTTAGATACAACAACTGAGCACCACCAGGGACACCTACTGAAGCGTTTCAAGAGCTCACAGGTTTCTCGGGGTGTTCTGATTCTAAATACAGCAGCTGAGCCACCACCAGTGCCGCCGTGTCGTCGCCTATCGCGCCGTTCACGCACACGATCCGCTCCTTGAGCAGCCGGGAGAAGATGTCGAATGCGCGCTCGCCACGTGGCGTCTGCTCCACGACCATGGGGACCAGATTGTAGTGCCGAGGGCTGCCGGGAAAGGACGACACGTCAGCGCCAGGGGAGGTCGAGTGGGGGGAAATGACAGCTGGCATGGTGTGCTGGCAGCTCATGATTGGTCGACGTTTGTGCCGCGTCGCTGCAGTCGCGAGAAGCGAAGCTAGGCGGCGCGATGCCATGGGAGAGATGGTCGACACTAATGGTGGATCTAAGTCGAGCTGATATCTGGGGGATGGTCGCGGCACGCCGACTAGCGCTGATAAACGGTTGGATGCTCACCAGCGGCGGCTCACTGTTTAGGCTGCACTAGCTGTCAGAGCCAGCGAAGGAGCATGAAAGCCGGGATAATTGATGTTTGAGGTTGTATTCATTGTTTTAGGAGCGGAAACGTCGCAAGTGAATGACCTTATACAGGGTGAAATTGTGAAGGTTGGCTCGACAATATCTAGGGGGCTTTGGGCTGGGTTGGGGAAACGTTGGAAATTGTTTTCACCGCTCTGAAACGAGAACAACCTACTCAGCTGCCTTCAGGCAAACTTCTGGAACGTCCCCTGATTCTTGGTTCTCAGCAACCTAATCTTTTCAGGGTTTCTCACAACCGTCGATTCTAAGTTTCACGTCTGGTTAGTCTTCGATCTGCAGGTCATCAACCCTAGTTTGACATTTTGAGTCTCTCATATTAGTTTCGCGATCTTACGTTCCCTTCCCGCGTCACCTGCAAAGCGAATCGCAATCATCCGTTGACCGCATTACCTTCACGCGTCACCCGCCGGGCCGGGTAGGCCGCATCGCGCCATGAGCGCGTCGGCGATGGCGGCGGGTCAGCCGCAGTTCCGTTACTCGCAGCCACCCTCAAAGGTGCTCCACGTGCGCAACCTGCCGTGGGAGGCGACGGAGGAGGAGTTATCGGAGCTGTGCAAGCCGTTCGGCCGCGTCGTCAACACCAAGACCAGCGTTGGCGCCAACCGCAACCAGGCGTTCGTCGAATTCGTAAGCTCGTCGTGCTTCGCGTCGCGGTGACATTATTGTGAAAATGGATATTGATTACTTTGTTCTACGGTAGTAAACATGCAGAATCCTGGTGTTCGCTTGTTAGAACTCTGCCTCCTCTCTGCGGACGTTTGCCTTCATCTTAATTGCATCCCGTTTCTTCCTGATAGCGTCCGCTTTCCTTCGGATAGCATTTTTCTCCTTCCTGATAGCATTTCGGTTTTTCGTGATCGCATTCCGCGTCTTTCTAATAGCATTCTCCTTCCTTATGATAACATTCCGTTCCTTCCTGATCGCATTCTCTTCTTCCTGACAGCCTTTGCTTTTTCCTGATAGCATCCGCTTTCTTTCAGATAGCACTTATTTTCTTTCTGATAGCATTCCTCTTCTTCCTGATAGCATTCTTCATTTTCCTGATTACATTCCTCGTCTTCCTGATAGCATTCTTCATTTTCCTGAATACATTCCTCGTCTTCCTGATAGCATTCTTCATTTTCCTGAATACATTCCTCGTCTTCCTGATAGCATTCTTCTTTTTCCTGAATACATTCCTCGTCTTCCTGATAGCATTCTTCTTTTTCCTGATTACATTCCGCTTCTTCCTGATAGCGTTCTGCTTCTTCCTGACGGCAATCTGATTCTTCAATTCTCGTCACTTTCACTCGCAGGCGGATTTGAACCAAGCGATCGCCATGGTGTCATACTACGCGTCATCATCTGAGCCAGCGCAGGTCCGCGGGAAGGCGGGGTACATTTGACGCCGTGTACCTCATAATTCATCCTGCTCCCATTCCGTATGTGCTTCTCCTCCAGGCGGATCTGAACCAGGCGATTGCTATGGTGTCATACTACGCGTCATCATCCGAACCGGCGCAGGTCCGCGGGAAGGCGGTGTACCTGCACTGCAGTACTCGACGCGGCAGGAGATCACCACGTCCAACAAGGCCGGCGATTCCTCTTCTTGACCCCCCGTCACCTGACCCCCCCGCCCTGTTTTTTCCCAGGCGGATTTGAACCAAGCCATCGCGATGGTGTCTTATTACGCGTCGTCGTCTGAACCGGCACAGGTTCGCGGGAAGGCGGTGTACCTGCAGTACTCGACGCGGCAGGAGATTACTACATCCAATAAGACTGGCGATTCCTCCTCCGGGAATGTCCTGCTTGTGACTATAGAGGGGGTTGAGGCTGGCGACGTGACTATAGACGTGCTTCACCTGGTACGTGCGTGCCTGTTCGTGTCAAGGTAAGTTTTCACACGCATGCGCTGGAAGAACGTTCAAGGCAGGCATCAAGCAGGCAGATGTATCTGGTCTTGCAAGCCTGCATGGGATCACCCTTGCGCATATCTCTCGTTCCTCCCCTCCCTCCCTCCTCCCTCCTCTCTCGCTCCACTTCTCTTGAAGGCAAGCACTGGGATCTCACAAGGCCCCTTATTGCCCCGACAAGGTTCGTTCTGTTTTGCATAGGACTTAATAAACCACCAAAACCCGCTTCGTGTGCAGGCCATCTTCCTCTCATTGAAGTGAACGGCTCAGATCTTCCCTCGCACGAGCGATGCGAATTCGAGCAAGATTCGTTCTGATTTCACCGTTTGTCCTCATAACCTTTTCTTACCTGCCCGCCCTCCTCTCCTCACCCTCCCTAACCTTTTCTCCAACCCCCCTTTTCAACTCAACCCAACCCAACCCAAACTCAACCCAACCCAACCCATTCCAACTCAACTCAACCCAACCCCCTTCGTTTCTGTGCTAATCGGTTTCAGGGAGTCTGCACTTCCGCTCGTCATGCCGCTCGTAGCTGGGAAGCTTAGCACTGCTGAATTAGCAGCTTTTCTATGTGTCATATATGCTCGTGTATTTGTGCCTTCTTGTTGCATGCTTTCCTAGGCTTCTGAAATTGAATATTGCTGATTCATAGGTTCTCAAAGCATTTCCGTTGTTGTTCTGTTTGCTTTTCTTTTTTTCCGCTTTAGCAGTTCTGTCTTCGTTCTTCCTCGCATTCAGCTGTATGTAGGTGCTTCCGTGTGTCAGAGTTCTTAGTAGGTATGAACTGCTTCGAATGGTGCATAATTTTCCAGTCTGTGTTGGAGATATACATTCTTCTCCCCCTCCGTGTCCTGCTGCAACCTGCCCTGTGCGCGTTGATACACAGGTCTTCTCAGCATTCGGCTTCGTCCAGAAGATTGCAACGTTTGAGAAGAGTGCCGGCTTTCAGGTCTGTGACAGTGACAGAGAAGATTGCAGTCTTGGACACACTCTGTCACAGGCTTAAAGCCCAGACCAAACCACCAACATCTTTCGCTCTAGATTGGACTTGCCTTGCCAGCCCCAGACGACAAGAGGGCTTGAGTTGAGATCCATCCATCCACATGCCTGTACGCTACAGGCGGCCAGGGGTGCGCCAACAGGTGTCACAAGCACCTGCTGGCGGAGCCCTGTTGAATTTGAATTGACCCCCGTGGGTCTGACCCACATTGGGTTGCTCCGTTTACTCTCACGCCCATGGCTCGTGCAGGCATTGGTGCAGTACGGGGTCCCAGAGACTGCCAACAGCGCCAAGACCAAGTGTATGTTGTGCCCTTTCATGTTGACTTACAACACGTTTGGCCAAACCCTCTCCTCCCATTCCCACGGCTCGTACAGGCATTGGTGCAGTACGGGGACCCGGAGACTGCCAACAGCGCCAAGACTTCATTGGACAGCAGGAGCATTCCCAGGTGGGTAATCTCAAATGGGTTGTCTCGGGTGGGTAGTCTCAGGTGGGCATTCCAAGGTAGGCATTCTTAGCGCACCTTCCGATGTTCCACGCCTGCCTCCTACCATTAACACTATAACAATATGATTCTGAAAATATTCAAATGAAAAACAGGTCTATCTTACTGGTCACCATTGTACAATTTTCTGTTTTTTCCCACCCCCCTCCCACCAGCTACCTGCTGCCAGAGCACGTGCAGACATGCAGTCTGTGCATCTCCTTCTCAGCCCACATGGACCTCAACGTTAAGTTCCCTCTCCCCTCTCTCTCTCCCTTCCCCTCTGTTTGTGTGTGCATGCTCCTCTCTCTCTCCGCCCTTACTCCCCCTCCTTCTACCAGCTACCTGCTCCCAGAGCACGTGCAAACCTGCAGTCTGCGCATCTCCTTCTCAGCCCACACGGACCTCAACTTCAAGTTCCCTCTCCTTCCCTTTGCATGTATCTGTGTTTGCGTGTGTGTGCTTCCCCTTCCCCCCCACCAGCTACCTGCTCCCAGAGCACGTGCAGGCATGCAGTCTGCGCATCTCCTTCTCAGCCCACACGGACCTCAACATGAAGTTCCAGAGCCACATCTCTCTCTCCTCCCATCCCTTGGTCTGTGTGTTCATGCACCATCTCCCCCCTCCCCCCCCGCCCCCCAGCTACCTGCTCCCGGAGCACGTGCAGACATGCAGTCTGCGCATCTCCTTCTCGGCCCACACGGACCTGAACGTCAAGTTTCAGAGCCACCGCAGCCGCGACTACACCAACCCCTACCTCCCCGTCTCCTCCTCCGCCACCGATGCTGGCGTGCAGGTGCGTTGCGTGCAGGCAGAGAGGTGGAATTGGATTGGAAATGTAGTGCCTCCTTAAACACTCACCCCCACCTCCCCGTCTCCTCCTCCGCCACCGATGCAGGAGTGCAGGTGCGGCCTAAAAGAAAGAGAGAAAGAAAGGTACAGTACAGGTAGAGACTACACCAACCCCTACCTCCCCGTCTCCTCCTCCGCTACTGATGCAGGAGTGCAGGTGCGCCCCAAAAGAAAGAGAGAAAGAAAGGTACAGTACAGGTAGAGACTACACCGACCCCTACCTCCCCGTCTCCTCCTCCGCCACCCACGCCGGCGTGCAGGTGCGCTGTATAAGGCGTGCAGGTAGAGGGGTGGAATTTAGGTACTGGCTGAAGGTGATCGGAACAGTATCACTCGTAACACCAACCCGTACCTCCCCGTCTCCTCCTCCGCTACTGATGCCGGCGTGCAGGTGCGCTCCCAGTTTCATTCTTTCCACCTCTCGTGCTCTTCCTCATTAGTAAACCCCATACTTTTGAGTCGATTCTGAAGTCACTTCATTGGCTCGACCCAACCACCATAGCTGTAGTGAGTGAAGGCCGAAGCAAGCGGGAGCGCCGCTGCTGCTGTTTAGTCATAGGCAAGTGTTTGACTCCCCCCCTGTTTTTTTTTCCGTCCACCCCAACTGGCTCTCACCCCTGTGCCCCCTCACCAGCTCACCCCAGGGCCTGTAGCAGCAGTGAAGGGCGAAGCCGGCAGCAACGTGCTGCTGGCTAGCCCACATTGAACCTGCAGTGTCTGATTTTTCTCCCTTTGTTCTCCCTGCCCACATCTGGCTCTCACCCCTGTGCCCCCTCACCAGCTCACCCCGGGGCCTGTAGCAGCAGTGAAGGGCGAAGCGGGAAGCAACGTGCTGCTGGCGTCCATAGAGAACATGCAGTATCCTGTCACCATGGACGTGCTCCACACCGTGAGTCACCGCTTTGCACCGTTAGGCACCGCTTGACACCGTTGGTCATCCCTGCACACCATGTGTCACCGCATTACACCCCATACCATGACTCCTTGCTGCTGGCGTCCATAGAGAACATGCAGTACCCCGTCACCATGGACGTGCTTCGCACCGTGAGTCACCGCTTCCCACCGTGATTCACCCCTGCACACTGTTGGCGATTGGCACACAGCAGCTTCTCATTCTGAGTAGTACAAGCCCTTACATCTTGGCATTTCGCCCCTCTGATTGGCTGCTGTGTTACCACCTTCCCACTCTCTCAACTCTCCCTCCTACTCCACCTGCTCTTCCTCCCACTGTTTCTGCCCCCCATATCCCTCCGTTTCTCTTTCGTTCTCTGCATGCCTCACCGCAGGTCTTCTCAGCATACGGCGCGGTGCAGAAAATTGCCATCTTTGAGAAGAGTGCCGGATTCCAGGCGCTCGTCGCCCTTTCTGATTCGCTGCTGTGTTTCCGTCTTCTTACGCTCTCAACTCTTGCTTCCACTGTCTCTTACTCTCTATGTGCATGCCTCACCGCAGGTCTTCTCAGCATATGGCGCGGTGCAGAAAATTGCCATCTTTGAGAAGAGTGCCGGATTCCAGGCGCTAGTCCAGTTCCCAGGTTCGTGCCCAGGCTGATTCCCAGGTTCTTGCCCAGGTTAGTGCATGCAGGTTAGTGCATGAATTCCTGGTACATTGCTTCTTGGTAACGCTGTGCACATGTGTGTGTGTGCCACACCACAGCCATCCCATCCCACTCTCCACCAATTCTTCCGTTCTCTCATTCCTCCCATGCTGCAGACATAGCAGCAGCCACATCAGCCACGGACGCATTGGAAGGGCACTGCATCTACGAGGGGGGCTACTGCACTGCTGTGTGCCACAGCACTCCTTAATAACGCTGTGCTCTGCTGTGTGACACACCCATTCCCCCACCCTTCCATGCCACAGATGTAGCAGCAGCCACATCAGCCAAGGATGCTCTGGAAGGGCACTGCATCTACGAGGGGGGCTATTGCACTGCTGTGTAGCGCACTGCTTTCCGTTACATAGTTCTATTCCGTTTGTCAAACCCATGCCACCCCCCTGCGCACATTCGCCCCCATTCCGTTCTACAGACGTGGCAGCAGCCACATCAACCAAGGACGCGTTGGAAGGGCACTGCATCTACGAGGGGGCCTACTGCAAGCTGCTGTGTAGCACGCTGCTTTCTGTCACATAGTGCGATTCCGTGTGCCACGCCCATTCCCCCATTCCCCCACTCTCCCATGCTGCAGATGTAGCAGCAGCCACATCAGCCAAGGATGCTCTGGAAGGGCACTGCATCTACGAGGGGGGCTACTGCAAGCTGCGCATCTCCTTCTCTCGTCACACCGACCTCAACGTCAAGGTGAGTGGTGAGGTACGATGGTGAGGTGTGAGGTACGGTGGTGAGGTGTGAGGTAAGGCAATGCATGTGGCTGGTCTCACTGCATCTACGAGGGGGGCTACTGCAAGCTGCGCATCTCCTTCTCCCGCCACACTGACCTCAATGTCAAGGTGAGGTGTGAGGCACGGTCGTGAGTGGTGAGACATGGTGGTGGATGGTGAGGCAAGGTGGTGGATGGTGAGGCAAGGTGGTGAGTGGAAAGGCAAGGTGGTTAGGTGCACACCCGTGCATGTACATCTTCTGTCGTTCTCTCCCTCTAAAATCTCATTTTCCAAGCTGCCTACTCACTCACACTCACTCATCTTCCCTCTTTTTTCCGTTGCCTTGACTTCAACCCCCAGGCCAACAACAATCGCAGCAGGGACTTCACTCGCCCAGACCTGCTTTCGAGGCGCCTCAACGTTCGTCCCTTCCCCCATTACCCCCTCATTCCCCTCCCGTCTCAGGCCAACAACGATCGCAGCAGGGACTTCACGCGCCCAGACCTGCCCACAGTCGCCCCCATCCCTGCTCCCTCCACCACCGCCACTACCACTGCTGGTATCCTCCCTACTAACATCACTACCGCCACTGCCGCTGCCACCCCCTTCACCACGCCATCTGCACCCATCCTCTCCTCCTCCCCATACAATCTCGCTGCCCCTCTCGCCCCCTCTACCGCCCCGCCTGTGCTCCCCACTCCCGGTGCCCCTGCTCCCTACTACCCCGCCTCTTCCCCTGCCGCCCCTCCTTCCTCTGGGCCGCCCATTCTCGGCCACCAAAACCGCCCAGCAGCCTTTCCTGCCACCCCTCCCAGAGAGCCCCCTCCCCATGCCCCTCCTCCTCACGGCCCCCCTTTCCACGGTCCCCCTCCCCCTCACGCCGGCCCTCCCCACGGCCCCCCTCCCCATACCCCACCTCCCTACAATCGAGGTCCCCCTCCCGGTCCCCCTCCCCACGGCACTCCCCCAAGAAATTTCCCCCCCAGCCCTTACGGCCCCCCTGGCCCCCCCCAAGGGTCCCCCCAAGGTCCCCCTTTCCGCGGCCCTCCCCCTCCCAGGCCGTACCCTCCCGGACCTCCTGGTGGGCCTCCTCCCGGACCTGGTGGTCCGGGGCCTGCCGGGCCTCCGTATGGACCTCCTAGGCCCGGTGGTCCACCTCAGGGGCAGTTCTACCCTCCCCCTGGTGGGCCTCCCCCATATGGCTCTCCTCGTGGTCCCCCTCCCCCCATGTCTGGGCGGGGTCCCCCTCCCCCTATGATGGGGGGCCCCCCTCCCCCAGGTGGACCTCCCCCTGGCCCTCCCCCCCTTGGGCGCCCCCCCCCGCAGCCATTCCCCCCGGGTGCAGGTCCCCCTCCCCCTGGTATGGGGGGAGGGCCCCCTCCGCCTGGAATGGGCCCCCCTCCTTACATGGGGGGAGGGGGACCTCCCCCTGGTCCTCCAGGTATGCCTCCCCCTCCTGGCATGGCAGGGGGGCCTCCCCCTCCTGGGTACCCAGGGGGTCCGCCTCCCCCAGGCATGCCGCCCCCGCCTGGATATGGTCCCCCTCCCCCTAGATATGGACCAGGACCAGGAGGACCGCCTCCTCCTGGCTACAGATATTAGAATTTAGGGTCAAGAGTGGCATTGCTGAAGTAGCAATTGTTAGTGAGATTGCCTGCATAGGTAACTTTCTTTGTTTGGCTCGTATATCATTTTACTGATGGTACTGTATCCCCGTGTGTGAATCAATGCTCAGATGCATTGAGAAAACTGAATGAATTTCCAAATTAACATGTAGCAACATGAAAAATCTCTTCCGTGTACGAAAAGCATTCTTTGTTGCGTGTTCTATGCTTATTTAGTAAATCGAAATTTCCTTCAGGCCCACGTCTTGGTGACGTGTATACCCCATCCACCCAGCGCATTCCAGCGGCTTGGCGACCAAAATGTACTGATTTGGACAAACGTAGTGCCAGCTGGGCAAGTAAGCGCGCTGCTGGCAGACAATTCAGCAGTTTCGAGAGTACCTATGGTGTTCAAACAATTGGCGGGCAAAACGGCATGTTGTAACCTTTTAACATTGGACATATTGTATTTCAAATAAGGCGTTGTCTGTCTCATTCCAAACAAAATCCCGATCGATCATCCTTTCAAGTGTACTTCCCTGCCCCAAAGGCTCCACAATATCGCACAATCTTCCAACGACGTGTCATCTGCGGTGGCCAGGTAGGATTCAACAAATTCCCTTCCGCAATCACCGCATTTCGCTCATCATCGAACGCCGTGCAACAAGCATCCCCTCCCCTCTCTCAACCCAACTCAATCGACGAGTACAGTATATTTCTTGGCGGCAGTCGAGTTCAATTTGTTGAAAGCATCAGTTTCTCCCAGAGCTCCCATTCTTGTGCTCGATTGCCAGTGTCGAATTTCTGTCTATCGTTTGTATCATTCCGCTCTGTCATTCTACTTCATTTTCTAGTCAGAGTTGCGAATCTCGAAGTAACAGGTAAAATAAATTCCTCTCGTATAATCAAGTATAGTGTATTTCCTTTCTTGAGCCGAAGCGCCATCTCGCACGCCATGGCGCTGTGCTCGTGTCCTAAGGCGCTGACGAGCAAGGTCGTGTACGCGGACGAGAATTCCGGCCACGTGCATCTCTGCCTGCCCTTCTACGTGGACGTCTGCGGCGAGTGCCACCTCTCTCTATATCGCGGATGCTGCTGCAGCGGCGCGCGCACGCTGCACAACCACCCCGCGGAGATTGAGGAGCGGCGCGAGCTGATGGCGAAGGTGCTGGAGGAGCTGACGGTTCGCGCGCAGAAGCGGCGGAAGATGAAAGCGCGCGAGGCCATCGCCAAGGTTCAGGCGGCCAAGGAGGCCAGAATGCAACACGTGGACAAAGGTACGACCGTTGATTTTTTTGGACCCTTGAAATGAAACTACGGTAAAGGCAGGCGACGAATGACCGTAATTCGTTCACTTTAGCTTCATTGACGTGAAGAACGGGCGTGGATGCTGGATGAAGCCGCACCTGAAATGTCGTAACGTGTCCATCATACTTCTTTCCGTTGAAAGAGCCATGGTTTCCGTATTCATCATGTTTCTCCTCTTCCCATGCCGCGAATGCCAGACGCGTTGATGCGGGCTCTGTCGAAGGTCGACGAATACCCGCCCACCAAGGCACACGCGGTTCACCCCCACGCGGTACGCACTATCTCGAGCCTGCCACGCCTTTCACCTATCCGTTTCTTGCCTCTCATTACCATCTGCGTCGTGCATAATGTTTCTCTCCCTTACCCTCCTCGTCCTCCCTCCTTACCTTCCCCTTCACTCCCCCACCCGCCGCTTTCGCCCTTCCATATCTGTCTCTTCTCTTCTCTCCCTCACCCGCCACTGCCGTGCCTTTCCGAGGTGCAGCCAAGGGAGGTCGTGACGCGCTGCTGGTCGCCTGCCATGGAGTGCAGGGCGCAGCGCATGCGCGTGCAGCAGCCACGTGCTGTGCACTAATTGGCCATCACCTGCTGTGGTTCCTGTCCACGCTATAGCTGCTCTCGGTTTCTGTAGATGCTTGCAGGTACCATTTCTACTGCCCGGTGCTGCATTGGATTGTGAGAAAACCTTTCTGTACATAGCGGTACATAGTATGTACATTCACCATGGCATGGCATCTGTACACTGCCCTATCGAAATATTATTACATTTTTCAGTGCACTATCCTATCCAATCATTGTACCGTACCATCAAATATGGTCTACTCTGTATCTGGTCTCCGCTTACTCTGCTTCCATCCCTGCTGCCAGTGCAGTGGTACAACAAATTCACTCGATACCATCACACCATAATGTATGGCATGGTAATGAACCATTGCACAAACATAGAAAATACACCATCTCATCGCCCTTCAGATAAGGTAAATGAGTCCAGAATGTGTTTCAGCAGAGGCCTGCCTTCAAAGAAGAATGCCTCAGCGCCCCTCACCCTGCAAACATGCACTGCACCGTTTGACACCCCTGCACACAGCAGCAGGTGCTGAATATCTGCCTTGTGACCCCCCAAATCCTCCGGATGAACCACCAGCTCATACCGGAAAAACTTCCCACCTGCAGAAATCAATTCTTCTGCCCAGATGACAAACGCCGGGGCAGCTCGGGCAGCATGGGAGGTTTGTGAGCGTGCCCGAGCAAGGCTGGGCATGGACGGGAAGGTAGCCTGGGAGGTCTGCTCTCGACCACTAGTCCCAGAAGGATCGTTTTTCTGACTGGAAGATGAGGAGAGCCGTCCTCCTCCTGAGCCTTGGCGTTGGGAGGAGGATTGCAGAGATTGGTGAGAGGAAGGGTCTTTGGGTGGTGATCCCGGGCTGCCATAGATAGAAGAGAACGTTGCTTCTCCTCTGATGTTACTGCTACTTTCAGCAGTCACTGTAACCGCAGCAGCAGCAGCAGCTGTGGTAGTCGCAGCAGCAGTAGTCACAGCAACACCCGTAACAGCAGCAGCAGCAGCAGCAGCAGCAGCAGCAGCAGCAGCAGCACCAGCAGTAGCAGTAGTGGTAGTAGAAGTGGTAGCAGAAGAGGGAGCAGCGGGAGAAGGCAGGTAAGGTGCGGCAGCAGATGCTGCTTCAGGCAACGAGAACGACATGGATCTCTTAACCCCTTCAGCCAGAACCAGAGGCTTAGTAGTGCCCGCACCACCAGCCTTGCTGCTGCTTCTGCTGCTGCCCCCACTGCTGCTGCCAATCTTGCTGCTCGCGCTTACGCCTGCTGCAAGTTCCGGGCAGATATTATCCCACTCGGTCAGCAGAAAATTCATCGGGTCCCCGAATTCGGTCAGCGACGAAATCCCGGATGGGCGGACGGAAAAACAGATCACGTCGAGCTCTGATACAGGATCGCCGTCTACAGTCACATCTGGGTCACTAAATTTCACCAGCACATGGTCTTCAAACGCGGATGGCAGCTCTTCTACCCAGTTCCGGGGCACACTTAGTGAGAATCCAAGCCCGCAGTAGAAAAAGCAAGGAATTCCCTCCATTGCTTCCTCCTCGTCAACACTTAGCTGTTCAGATAAGTGCTGGTCTCTAAACGCTCGGCCGCCGAACAGCGGCTTTAAGTAATTCCCGTCAAGCCATTTGAACCACTTGTGGAGGCCGGAGGGAGGACCGAAAGAGAGCGAGTGCGATCGCTGCATTAATAGAAGGTCGTTGAGACTGCGACCACCTATAAGGGGTACGTCTAAAGAGGGTACAGCGCGGATGGAGTGATGCCCTGATTCCCCCTCTTCTTCCGCTGTGCCGTCTGGTCGCGGGTGTGAGTGTGAGTGTGGATGTGAGTGCGAATGGGAGTGTGGAGGTGAGTGTGAGCGCGGGCTAGCATACGAGGGACTAGAGAGAGAGCCATGCGCGTGGCTGGGAGGAGCGTGAGACGGGGCGGCGGAGAGGCCCAGGGCGCGCAGAAGAGGACAAGTGGAGCCGCCCATGACGACGGTGGTGAGGACAACGACAAAGAGGGTGGTGGAGATGATTGCAGGGTTGCGCTGCGGCATGTTCAGGGCGAGGGCGAAGGCAATGGCGCCCCTCAGCCCGCTGAGCCACATCATTAAGATCATGTTGGTGGGGATCTTGTTGGCCCTGGGGTGGGGGTATAGGAACGTGGGGGAACAAGGGAGAACACAGGGGGTGTAAGGGAGCAGGGGCGTTGGGAAACAGAGGGTGGTGGAGACATTGGCAGGGTTGCGCTGGGGCATGTTCAGGGCGAGGGCGAAGGCAATGGCTCCCCTTAGTCCGCTGAGCCACATCATGAGAATCATGTTGGTGGGGATCTTGTTGGCTCTGGGATGGGGGTATAGGAACGCGGGGGAACAAGGGAGAACACAGGGGGGTGTAAGGGAGCAGGGGCGTTGGTAAACAGAGGGTGGTGGAGACATTGGCAGGGTTGCGCTGGGGCATGTTCAGGGCGAGGGCGAAGGCAATGGCTCCCCTTAGTCCGCTGAGCCACATCATGAGAATCATGTTGGTGGGGATCTTGTTGGCCCTGGGGTGGGGAACACAGGAAAACGCAGGGGGGAGGGTGGTGGAGATGATGGCAGGGAGACACAGTGGGGCATATTGCGCAGGGGGAAACGCAGGGGATGCAGGGAACACAGGAAAACGCAGGGGGGAGGGTGGTGGAGATGATGGCAGGGTTGCGCTGCGGCATGTTGAGGGCGAGAGCGAAGGCAATGGCGCCCCTTAGGCCGCTGAGCCACATCATTAGAATCATGTTGGTGGGGATCTTGTTGGCCCTGGGCGCAGGGTAACGCAGGGGAGGGGGCACAGGAGGATGTAGGGGCAGGGGAGAGAATTAAGGCATGTTGAGCAGGGATGAGTAAGGCGTGAATAGGGGTCAAAGGAGACTAAGAAGAGGGGATAGAATTAGCGAAAGGGACTTGCTTAGGGACGTTGGCTATATTTGATTCGACTCAGAAGTCACAGTATGAGAGGGAGGGGCTTTCTGAGCGTTGAATTTTGAGCCAACTCAAAGTATGAGAAGGAGGGACTGCGTGCAGCTGGAGAGGAAGGAGCGAGGGAAGACGTTGAAGGCTGAAGTGACTCAGAAGCGGAAGGGAGTAGTGTGAAAGAGAGACAGAGAGAGAGGGACTTACTGCGTGCAGTTGGAGAGGAAGGAGAGAGGGAAGACGTTGAAGGCTCGAGATATGAGGCAGAGAGGAATGGCGGAGAGCAGCAGACCCCAGTCGATCACATGCTCCATCACCACCACCTGCCAGGATAGAGATGAATTGAGGCTTGATTAAAGAGGGTACTGCAGAGAGGGACGGGGATACAGATGGTATGAGTGGAATTGCAAAGAGCAGCAGACCCCAGTCACATGCTGCATCACCACCACCTGCCGAGGTAGAGATGGTGTGAGACATGGCAGAGAGGGATGAGGAAACACATGCAATGCAGCTCAGACATGGACTGAGGCTTGGTATTGCAGAGTGGCATGGCGGAGAGCAGCAGACCTCAGTCGATCACATGCTGCATCACCACCACCTGCCAGGATAGATGTTGTGTGAGGGAGAGTAAGCGGGTGAGGGGGCATACTGAGTGGAGAGTTTGCAGTTTGTGATTTCGGATGCAGTTGCTCAAAAGATAAACTTCTGTGCAACAATTACCTGCCTGCACGCCCAGGGTAGGCAAACACGAACATTATAATCACAAGGTAATAGTGTTATGCATGATTCAAACCCCAACGCAGCGCCTCACCTGCATGCCCAAGTAAGCGAAGACGAACATCTCTGCCATGAAAGAGAGCGCTTCAAACGCGTACTTGCTGCTGATCTTGGACGCGTGTGAGATGTTGTAGTACCTGCGGGTGGTGGTAACATGGTAACAAGGTCACATGGTGACGTGACAGCATTACATATGATGACTCAGAACCCCCTGCATGGCAACAGTGCTTTGGTTTGGTACTTGCTGCTAATCTTGGACGCGTGTGAGATGTTGTAGTACCTACAGGAGGGAACATGGTAACAGCGTTACACATGACTTAGAACCCTCTGCATCACAGTACTTGCTGCTGATCTTGGACGCGTGGTACCTGCGGGTGGTGGTAACATGGTAACAGCATTACAAATAATTCAGACCCCCCTCCATCGCAGCAGTTTATTGGTGCCTGCTGCTGATCTTGGACGCGTGTGAAATGTTGTAGTACCTGCGGTGCGGGTGGTGGTAACATGGTAACAGCGTTACACCTTAATAGAGAACGTTGTGCAAAGTATGATGCCGCAGAAACAGAGCGCCATGATGCCAGGAAGAGAGGCAGAGCAGCTCAGTGGCACAGAGTAGGAAAGGTAGGAACAGATGAGCACAAGGCAGGTGGAGGAAGATTGCTGGCTGGCTGTTCTAAAGGAATTTATAGCACCGTACTTGTAAAGTGCGTTGCACAGGAAGTTCAACAACACTGTACCTATGAAGCGCGGTACTTGTAATGTACCCATATAGAACCTGGCGTGCCATACCCGTAGTGCGCGTTGCAGATGCCGCAGAAAAAGAGGGCCATGATTCCGGACAGAGAGAGCATCTCAGCCACAGAGTAGGAGAGGTAGCCCGAGACGAGCACAAGGGATAGCTCGAACTTGGCTGCCTCTGCCCTCAAGGGGACTACAGCCACCATACATACCTGTTACCCGCATTGCATAGGACGTGAGCGGGCGTACCCGTAATGTGCGTTGCAGATGCCACAGAAAAAGAGGGCCATGATGCCGGACAGAGAGAGCATCTCAGCCACGGAGTAGGAGAGGTAGCCCGAGACGAGCACAAGGGATAGCTCGAACTTGGAGAACTCGCTGTTGATGTCAATGAATCGCAGGGCGAGGGCACAAAGGAGGGAGACGAGGATTCCCAGGAGGATGGAGCCCACGCTGATGCCCAGAAACTGGACTGTTGGGTTGGGGCCAGGGGGAGGACAGTGTGAAAGGAAGGGCGGCGTGAAAGGAACGGCGGCAGGGGAAAGTGGGAAATCAGGGAGTGCAGGGTAAGGGAGGGGAATAGGTGTGGGGGGGGAGATGAGGGGAAAGTCGGCATAGGGATGAGAGGGGACGAACACAAGGAAGAAAGAGCTCAAACTTGGCGAACTCGCGTTAATGGCGATGAAGCGAAGCATGAGTGCACAGAGGAGGGAGACGAGGGTGTAAAGGAGGCGAGATGTGTTCTCCTTGCATAACCTGGCAGAATTGCATAACCTGGTTGAAGGAGGAAAAGAGCAGCATGCAGACGCACGTGATACCTAGTTGACAGATGTATGCAAGAATTTACCTATCGCAGTGGCAATGCTGGCCATAGAGAATTCCTGATTGGTGAAAGAGGCGAAGGTGCGGAAGAGCACGATGGAGACGGCATCGTTCACGAGACTCTCTCCAAACACCAGATTGTAGAGGAGCGTTGGCGCCTGCACGTCTGCCATGCAGTGAGGCAAGAAAGGACAGGGGAGCAAAAGTGTGAAGGAGGAGACTGATGACTCATGACTAATGTCTCATGATGATGTCTCATGATTGATGTCTCATGATTGATGTCTCATGATTGGTGTCTCATGATTGATGCCTCATGATTGATGTTTCATTATTAATGTCTCATGATTGATGTCTCATGATTGATGTCTCATGATTGATGTCTCATGATTCATCTCTCATGATTGATGTCTCATGATTCATCGCTCATGATTGATGTCTCATTATTGATGTCTCATGATTGATGTCTGATGACGACTCATGACTAATGTCTTATAGCTAATGTTCCATGACTAATGTCTAATGACTATGTCTCATGATTGATGTCTCATGATTGATGTCTGATGCCGACTCATGACTAATGTCTTATAACTAATTTTCCATGACTAATGTCTAATGACTATGTCTCATGATTGATGTCTGATGACGACTAATGACTAATGTCTTATGACTAATTGTCGATGACTAATGCCTCATGACTAATGTCTCATGACTGATGTCTCATGATTGATGTCTGATGACGACTCATGACTAATGTCTTATGACTAATTGTCCATGACTAATGTCTCATGACTAATGTCTCATGACTAATGTCTCATGACTCATGTTTAATGACTAATGTCTTATGACTAATGTCTCATGACTAATGTCTCATGACTCATGTTTAATGACTAATGTCTCATCACTCATGTCTCATGACTTTTGTCTCATGACTCGTGTCTCATGACTAGGATATCATGACTGTTGTTGCATGCCTATTGTCTCATGGTGTCATCTGAAAGCCTTGGTGCAAGAAAACTGCACGTGATACCTTGCAGGATGGAGAGCGTAGCAACAGGGTCAATGGCGGAAATGAGCGATCCGAATATGAGCGACTCGAGGAGAGGCGAATCTGACGTCATGTGGGTCACAATGCCAGCTCGGACGAGGGAGTATGTGGCAAGGCCGTACACCAGCGTGGATATAATTGTTCCAACGACAGCAAAGAGGGTGATGGTCCAGAAATTGCGGAAGAAATCCTGCCAGGAAATCCGAGAAATGTCAGTAAAAGTGAAAACTCGGAGGTAGTCAGAACACCAACAGCTAGAATCTGACCAGAGCTATCTACTCAAGGTTGAGTCTGCTGAAGGTGATGGAATAAATGCTGAAGTGCAGCCATAGCTGGGATCGATCCTGAGTGAAGCCTTTTCTAGCCGGACAGCCAGGTAAATGCACGTCATTGCCGTACTTTTTTCTTTAAGGCGTATCCAGCATTGAAGATGATGATGTGCGCTGATGAACGAACATAGTTGAGGGAAATCCTGATTGATGCATTTCATAAAACAGGATAATTCGACAATGTGCCGCACTTTTTTCTTCAAAGCGTATCCGGCGTTGAAGATGATGATGGGGAGGAGGCCGTAGAAGATAGCCACGTGATATAAGTGTGTTTTTGAGACGACTCAAAAACACGCTTAAATCAAACAGCCAGGTAAACGCGCGTCATTGCCGTACTTTTTTCTTCAAGGCGTATCCGGCGTTGAAGATGATGATGGGGAGGAGGCCGTAAAAGAATATCTCCGGGCTGAACGTGAACGCGAGGTCGTCCTCCAGGACCAGCGACAGCACGCCGAACACCATCCCCAGCACCAGCGCCGCCGCTGCCATTCGATACAAGCACAAAAACAGGTTGATTCTATATCTTACTAACCTGCCGAATTTGAAGGGGTTTTTTATATGATGTGGCGGGTGAAGTGAATTTGTGAGGAGAGAAAAACTACGGAATGAGCGGGATTCAGGCAAGTGCCGTGACTCGCGTTATCCCCGATAGTAGGCTCACAGGATTCAGGGAAGTAGACCCAGTGGTGCTTCTTGGAGATGTAAGCGACAAGCATGGTGGTCGCCAGGAGGAAGGAACAAGCGAGGATGTCCGACGACGCGCTCTCTGATAGCACCAGCGACACGCTAGCTGCTGGGTGTCCCGCGGTTTCCGCGATTCCCGCAATCCCCGCAGGATTCATGGTCGAATTAATCATCGTCGCAGATCACACTAATTCGTGTATAATTATCAGAAATCGGGCATGGCCTCTTCTTATCAGGCGAAGCGAGCGTGCGTCGCAGCAAAATACCTCAGCATTCTGTCTTCTTAGTTCCCTGTCAAAGTCACACCTTGATGTTGCTCCAGGCTCCTATGGCTGGATAGATATTTTTCTGACCAGACGCCATTCTCTTGGGAATGTCATCCACTGTCCTCGTTAAAGATATAAGGGACGTATCAGGGAAGCCAGTGTATTCCTGCACTGGTATCATTCGGTATTTGGCATATGAAACGATTGGAGGTATTGGAACCATAAGCGCATTGCATTTTCCATTACATCATAGTGAATTATACAATCTTTTGCTCATTCCAAAAGGGGTACTCATTGTTGTCAATAGCTACCTCCTGGCTCGTATTATCAATTATAGTGCTGACAAAAAATCAATATACGGTAGCTGGAAGCTCTTGTGAAAAAAAAAATCAACTTTCCGCACCATTTCTCTCCAAACGCTTCTATATATGGTCATAGTTAGCTCCATCACCATTAATATAACCAGTCAACACATAAGTATCATTCCTCGTCTTCCAGAGTCGGCCGTCCCCTGCCTCGACCACCAAGCCCCCCACCTGGTCTTCTGAACCCACCTGCGCCACCACTAGTAGCAGCACCACCAACACCAGCACCACCACCTGCAGCACCAACAAAACCAGCACCAGCACCACCAGCAGTGCCCATCCGACCAGTCCTGAAGCCACTCCTCACACCTCTGCCAACCCCACCAATAGCACCACCCCTACCACCCCCCATACCCTCCCCTGCTTCCATACCCTCGCCTGCTTCCATGCCTTCCATACCTGGCCGTCCCCTCACTCTCCCCCCCCTGCTCCTCCCCACCCCACGCCCCACCCTGCTGCCCTCCATCCCATCTGGATCCTGGCTCTCCCCAAACGAGCCAGTCCGCTGCGACGGACCATCATCCATGCCCACACCTCCCATGCCCGAACCTCCCATGCCTGAACCTCCCATGCCCGAACCTCCCATGCCCGCACCTCTAACCCGAACACCTCCCATCCTTCCCGCCCCTCCTGCTACCCCTCCACCCACCCGCCCATCCCCATCATAATCATCTACATCACCCCCACCTGTTAATGCTGCTGCTCCTGCACCTCCTCCCGCCGCTGCTCCCGCTGCTACTGATGACGCATCAGCGCTAGCATCACCTTCGCTGCTGCTGTCACCACCAGTGCTCTTCTTAGAAAACCACGACCACAGGCCAGAGCCGCTGCTTCCAATACCACCACCCCCTCCCAAACTGCTGCTGCTGCTAGTGGTATCATTACCACCTGCTGCCGCCCCTATTCCTATTCCCTGCCAGCTTTCCATGTCCTCCTCCCCATCCTCAAACCCAGACGCCCTGCTGCTCCTCCCCACACCCCCTCCTACAACCCCCCCCAGGCCCCCTCCTAAACCCCGTTCAGTGCCCCCTCCTGCACTCCCTCCTGTGTTCCCTCCCACGCCCATACCACCCTCCTCCTCCTCGTCCCAATCACCTGCTGCACCCCCCCCAGTACCTCCACTGGTGCCCCCATCTGTGGCCCCGTCCCCAGCTGAGCCTGTCTTCTTCCCCCCACCAAACATGCTCGAGAAAAATCCCAGTATCCCCCCAGACGACCCCCCTGCCTTGCTGCTGCTGCTGCTGCTACTGGTATCAGAGCCTGCAGTAAGATCATCCTCTTCCAATTCATCTGCCTCCCCGCCCACCCCTCCTGCTCCTCCCGCTCCTCCTGCTGCTCCTCTTGCACCTGCGCCTCCGAAACCCCCCATCCCCCTGCCACCCATACCACCAGCAGCACCAGCCTCATCATCATCGTCATTTCCCCCCAAAGCTCCTAAGCTGCTGCTGCGAGGGAAGGAGGACGAGGAGGAGGAGAAGGAGGGTCCTGTACGCTTCCTGGCAAAGCCCATGCCGCTGCTTCCAAGACCACCCTCGTCAAAATCGCCACTGCAGCCGGAGAGGCAGCAGGGGAAGGAAGGGGGATGACAAGAGGAAATAAATTGTACTTTATGAGTCGATCCAAAAGCTGTTTTGACCACATCCCCCCCCATCCCCCCTATCGATATCACAACTGCAGGGGAGGCGAACGAAATTGTAGAGGAAGGGGGGAAGGATGTGGGGAGGGGGAGAGGGATGGGAAAGAGGAGCAGCAGGATCGTTGCATTGTAAGGCGTGCAGAAGGGTGGGACGGCAGGAGGGAGGAAGGGAGGGATTAAGGGGTGTAAGGGACCTCCTCCAGTCCAGTAACCACGCTGCACGCCACTTACGTTACGTCGCCATACCTTACACCTCACAACCACACATCACCGCACACAACCACACACCTCAAGTCACGGCCAAAGGCACTGGAAGAAGATGCTCCTTCGTTCCATGCCGCCCTTCCCCTGCCCGAAAGGCTTGACTGTCCCCCCAACCGCCCCCCCCTCCCAACCCCCCGTGCTGACTCCGCATCCCCCTCGTCTTCCTCTTCCCCCTGCCCCACCCCCCCCGCCCATCTGCCTCCGCCCTTCCTGTTCCCCTTCCGCCTGCTACTGCTGCCGCTTTTCTTGCTCCTCCCCCCTCGCCTCACATCCTCATCCTCGTCATAATCCTCCTCGGTATTGTCCAAACCGTCTCTCCGCTTTCCTCTCGTCTTGCTCCCACGCTTCCCCTTCTTCCCCCTCCTCTTCGTCCGCTTCTTCTTCTTCCCACGCTTCTTCTTCCCTTTCCTCCCGCTCCTACCCCTCCCAACCGCACTCAACCCCTCACTCTCCTCCTCCTCGTAGTCCCCGCCTTGCATCCCCCCTCGTTTCAAGCCTCCCCTCCCCCCGCTAAGAGCACCAATCGCATCAATCACTTGCCGGCTGTCCCTCGGATACAGCGGATCCTCTCCAGTGTCATCATCAGAACCTTCCGCGAACCTTCGAGGAAAGTTCGACCCACTGAGCCCTGCACCAGCGCCGTCCGCGTCATCGTTTCCCCCCCATGCGGACCGCGCTCCCCCTCCTCTTCCGATACCCTTCCCGGATTTCCAGGAACTAGCTCCTCCAAAGCCGGAGCCTCCAAGACCGGAGCCTCCTAAACCGGAACCGCCTATGTCAGAATCTAGGTCCTGGTCACCGCTCCAGCGGCTCGGTTTCCCGCCAAAAGTGGCTTTCCCAAATGCGGATTTTGACGCGCCGTCAATGCCGCCGCTCCCACCGTCAAAGCTGCTGTCGCCGTCCGAGAAAGCCGGCGGGCTGCCGGCAGCCGCGCCTCCGTAGTCGTCATTTCCGTACGACGCGCCGTCATCGTTGCTGGTGCTGACACGTGTCACCTCGCGCGAGCGGAAGGCCGAGAGGCCGAGGAACAGCGAGGCAATGAGAATCAAGAGCGCGATCGCGAGAAGGACGGCACAAGATGAGACGGAAAGCCGGGAAAAGGGGAACGGCAGCGGCAGGTTTCGACGGAAAAAGGACGGCTGGTCGGAGCGACCGTCGGGAATGGCCCATTTAAAACCCTCGACGCGCGAATTGCTGCGACGCTCGCGAGTGTTCGCTGCTGCAGGCGATTTCATCGCATCCTAAAATCGTTACCCGCTGAGGAATTGGGGGATTTACATTGGCTGGCGGGGTGAAAAATAATGAATAGATATATGTAAGTCCTCCCAAAATATAAAATATTATGTGAGAATCAGGCGCCTTTGATCAGGTGCCGCATGAAGTGCGATGCGAGCTAAGCGGCCATACGGAGGCGGGCGCTGCAGGTAAATCTAACCGCTAATCAGAGGAGGTCAAGGGAGCACAAAATTCCAATGTAGACTGTCGAATGTCAATGCCAGCAGCAGCAACTAACACGGGGTAGGACGGCGGAATCGCGAGTGCAGAGCAGATTCACCAACCTCGGAACGAAAAACTATGGTCTGTTTCGGAATCCACCAGATAATATTCTAGGTAGGTGGGTTTCAAGAAGGTATATACGCAGGTGGGTTGGCTAGCTGAAGGGAAGCGTACAGTGGGATTGACTGCGGTGAAAGAACAGAATTCGAGGTTGGCTCGCTCGAACAATTGATGAGGCTGGTGAGGATTTTAGGGTTCATATATACATAGCAACCTTGTGAGATACGGTAGTTATGCATTTGTATCCACTGTTATTGGTGAGAGGCATTCCAGCAGGCAAGCTCTTGGTTTCTCTGATGTAGCATCTCATTGAGATAAAAATTATTCTATATTATATGCACAAATAAGTGGCTGCACCGGATTACAGTTGTACCAGTTCGCTACCTAGCTCCTATGCGCCTCCCAATCCACTGCTGCTAGCTACTCTACGTGGAGATCCTACAAGGCACTGCAGACAGAGACTCCCTGTGTACTGTATTGGAACACCACTATATCGTGTATAGTGGGATTGATGCTCGTTGCATCCCCTCATTCCTGTTGCTGCATTGTCTCCTGGCAACTACTACAACCACTCGCTGCTGCTGTATATTGAGTCTGGAATGTCGAAGCAACAGCGCGCTCCCTTCCATATGTGAATCCTCCTCCCCACTTCCCCCCCCTCCTCTACATCCTTCTTCCCAAATGTCCTTCTTCCTCCTCCTTTTCCCTCTCCTCTTGCTCCCCCTATTCCTACTTGGGAATCTGTGATTGGTCCATGAGGTGTTGTGTCGTCATCATCAGCACCTCATCAAACCCCTTCGGCTTCCCAATGTTAAACCTCCTCAGGTACCATGCCGCATTAATCTTCTTCTGCGGCCCGGTCGCCCGTCTCGGGCAGCTCAAAACATTCGGCCGCTTCAGCCGGATATCCGACCAGAGCCTCAAACCCAGATCGTTCCGCTTGTAATTCCGGAACCCAGCGGAAGGAACCGAACCCACCTTCACATGGGTGTGCTGGTTCAGTTTGTGCATCGCAGGGAGGGTTTCACAGTATTTGTACTCGAGGTTCTCTCTCGTTGTGTTCACGAGGATCAAATCTAGCTGGTTCTCGGTGGCCAGGCCGCTGCATTTGCCGGTCTGGGCGGCGGTCATGCCGCCCGGGGGGTTGCAGTTCTGCCCATTGACTGCACTCTCCTGACACACGTTCTTCCACCACGGCCAGTACTGGTGGGGGTATAGGAGGGGGGGATACAGGGAGGAAGGAAGGTGGGAGATGGTGAATGAGGAAAGTGTGGGGTTGCAGTTTTGCCCGTTGACCGCGCTCTCCTGACACACGTTCTTCCACCACGGCCAGTACTGGTGGGCGCGAGGGGGGTGGGTGGGAGATAAGGGAGGGGCGGAGCGAGGGTAGAGAGGAGGGTGAAATGGGGAAAGGCTGGAGAGAGTTGCAAGTGCTGCCCGTTGACTGCACTCTCCTGACACACGTTCTTCCACCACGGCCAGTACTGATGGGGGAGGCGGGAGAGAGGGGGAGGAGGGAGAAGGAGGAGGGAGGAGGACGGAAGAGGATTTCAGGACACTGGCATGTCAAGCCCCCCACTGCACCCACTGCACTCTCCTGACACACGTTCTTCCACCACACAACAATCACCCTCTTTCTCTTCTCACCTCACTTCTCTCTCCTCTCACACCTTTCTGAATGCCGGGGTGTCATAGTAAGCCTTGCGCATGTTCTCCCAGTACAGCCCGGGATCCTTGAGGCAGTTGTTCACCGTGGGCGTGAGGCACGTGCACCACCCCACTGCACCGATCTGTCCCTTCATTACCACGTCTTTGATCACGTTTCTGTACCGAGAGGGAGGGGGATGAGGGTCGTGGAGGGTAAAGGGGGTTGGACGGAAGGAGGTTGGATGAGGGAGAGAAGCAATGCTCTGAAGAAAAATCAGAGTGATTGTGTCGTTTCCTAGAATATAGAAAAGCTTACAGCCCACCCTCCCTCCTGGTAACAAGGGGTAAATCATTGAGCTCACCTCTTGCCATTGTTGACTTTAATCCCGTCGTACGTGTTAATACACGCGCCGCCCCGGATGCGCACGTCCGACGTGTCATAGTCCAAATAGTAGCAGTGGTCGCCATTAAAGACGTAGTTACACTGCGCCACGTTCCCCGGGTTGAACCAGTGCGTGCAATAGTAGATCCCCGCCGCGTCGTGATCCCCGTTAGTGTTGCGTCCTTTAGCGACTACAAGGTTGTTGGAGACATTCGTCATCATACAGTCGCCCGCAAAATGCACGTCCGCGCCGCACCGGATTCCCGCGAAGATGAAATCGTGCACGTAGTTTCGGAACACTTTCACTCCCACTGCGCCTCGATATAAGACGATCGGGGTGTCCACACCTGCACAGGTGTCACGGGGGAGGGGGGGGAGGAGCGAAAGGATCGTCATTAGGGAAGGCAGAGAAGACGAGGAGAGTAATCGGAGGAATTCGAAGAGGCTTACGAGCTGCTAAAGAGCTAGACGAGGTTCATGAGAACAGGGATGTGCGTTAAGAGGAGGGAACAAGGATGCTTCACTTACCATACGCCTCGTTATTGGATATAGCGATGTTCGCCTTGATAAGCTTCGTGCTGTGGCCACTGTACGCCACGCGAATGACTCCGTGCGAACTGGCGAAAGTCGGGGTGCCGGTAACTTTGATGCTGTCGACTCGCGAATTCATGCTCCTGTGAACGTCCACGCGCCCGAACACTGTAGACTTGCCGAAGATGACACCGTACGACCGGGAGATGTGTACGGCGGGACAGTTGACCCCCGTACCGACCTCGGGTACGTTCGGGCATTGGGGCGATGCGGCCGTGACTGCAACGAGGAAATTGATGCCGTATACAAGCACGTTGCTCGTGTTCCATATGCGAAGCGTCGGCATATCGTCGTCGTTATATTTGATATACAGGTTGGGTTTCGCGGCGGTAAAAATAGTGCAGGAGAAATCCCCGTCAAAGAGCAACCCGCTTCCTTGACTGAGCAGCAGGCTGTTCTGCAGCATAAGCACGACGGTTTGGTTGCGGCCCTGCTGTTTCCGCTTCTGGAAATCGGCGGCAGTCTTTATCGGGATAGTGACGTTGCTTTTAACGGGGGTACAGGACCCCTTGGGGTGCGATCCCTCTGCACAGGCGGAAACAAGGTCAGGCGAGCCGGGGAGGGAGAGGGGAAGAGGGAAACAAGGAGGGGCGACGAAGGAGATAGAGGGGAGGGGAGAGGAGAGGCGGGGAGGCCGGAGTAGAAGGGGGACCGGCAAGAACAGGAGAGGACAAGGAAGGGATAGAGGGCGAGAAGGAAGAGGGATCGGAAAAAGGAGGTTAGAGCTGTGAATCTGGCCTTACGTTTGAACCAATCCTCGTCACCCTCTAGATCAGTACTTTCCACTTCCTCGTCATCCTCCACAAGTTTAATATCCGCCATGTTTCGAGTTGCTCGAGACAACGTGCGCGATCCTCCATAGGAAGAATCTAGAAGTGTTCACGGCGAGTAAGTTTCCACACGGCAGAAAGACTACGGGGAAAAATACGACAGAAACCGCGGCATTCGCGGCACAGCGGAGGCAAAGCAAGAGACATGCGGCACACGCGTATGACGAAGCGAGGTGACACACCGATAGAGGCGCGCTTGCGGCTACCGATGCAAAGCTTGGGTTTGCCAAAGGGGAGACACGCACTTGCTTGCGCGGAGACCGCGGAGAGCGCAACACATAGCGCGAGCAGCGCTACGGCAAGTGCGGGTCGTATCCGGGAAAGCTCCATTTGAAGGTGCGGGTCGTATCCACGCGGAACGCGCGCCCGTAATCGGACACCCTTTTCCGCGACCCGTTCTCGACGACCCTTGATTCTCGGTACGCCGATTATGAATCGCTGGAGAGATTGCTGGAATTATCGGGCAAGTGCGATTGCTGGTCCTGACTCGTCAGCCTCGAGATTAGCTGATAAGAAAGTGGTTCTACGTCTAGCCGCACTGTCCAGCAGGCCCTCACTCGTCAGCCACAGCCTTGGAATGTTCGGAATACAGTACTCAAATCGAACAAAGAGGAGGAGGATGAGCTTTATACCAAGACCAAGTGCCGTTTTCCGTCTTCGTTACGATATGTCAACTACCGACTACTAGATTCCGATGCCGGCTTGTTGCTGCGATGGCTATACCAGTTTGTGAGTGGTCGTTCGTGGTGTGCCGACGAGGGGTGAGTGTGGTGCTCAACAGCTACATCGAAAGGGCGCAAATTGATTTCTGTCGAAAGAGGGCTAGAACGGGAGGAGGAGGGGGTGGGAGCGAACGGGGAAGAGTGAGGCGGCAGGGGGTTGGAGCAGGAAAAGAGTCGATTTCCCGAATTGCGAAATGTCGAATTTGTTGGAAACATTGGCGAGTCGCGATGACCGACCCCCGAAGCGCGCGAGCGGGAGCATTGAGGCTCGTCGCTCAGTTTTGTTTGCGACCGCATTTTCAAGGGTGGATACCGAAATCAAAGTGTCGTCGTCGGTTCTTTTGCCCGTTTATAGAGACGGTGCGACCTTGGGGAGGGGTATTGCGACGGAATGCGACTGCGATGTCAGCACCAACGGTTGCGGAAGCGGGAGTGGGATGGACGAAGTCATGCTGTCGTGCGGTATACAGTACAATGCCGACGAGAATGGAGACCTTTCGCGAACGTCAACTCAACACGTGTGACTACAGTAAATGTCGGCCACCCCGTTATATTGTATTATCATAATCAAATACACAGAGAGCCAAGGTCCATATGTGAGCTTCCCTCCTCAATATCCTCATTAGGACGTCTACACCTTGTAGTTTGCTGCCCAGTTTCTTCACACCCCTTAGTCTTGGCAAGGTGCTGTTTCCGCTCTCGATTGCTCATTTTTGAAAGATCCGAATCTCCTAAACTTTTCTCCGTAGCCTTCACGGTGCCACAGCACGCCTTGAACTTTTTTTTAGACCCACACGGGCATGGCTTATTGCGACCCAGGACCTGATGGGGCTGCATCATTTATATCAGAAGGGGGAACCACGCACAAATATACCCATTAGGTAACACATCAATGCCTGCTGCATGAACTAAGCATCGCAAAATAAAACAAACCCGACTCACCGGCCGTGACGCAGATGCCTTTACAGAGGCAGGAGGGACTGAACCAGCAAGAGCACCCGTTACACTTGCATCGGCAGCAGGAGCATCAGCAGGCACGGCAGCAGAACTCGCCTGCATGTAACCACAACCATTTCCAACTGCAGCAGCATTTACTTCCACTGCTGCTGCGGCTGCATGCGCTGCAGGGACAATTTGCTGATGCTCGCTGCACTCAGCGCTGGGAACGGCTCTGCCTGGAAGCGCTGCTGCCTCCAGTGTTGCGAGTGGTTTGCTTGTAATAAGTGTGGCTGTATCAAGTGGTGGTGCTGTTTCGGATGGTGCTGTTGCTGTGGGGAGTAGTGCTACTGTGGATGCTGATGCTATTGATGCAGTATCAAGGCTACCCGCTGCTGCTGTTGCTGGTGTTTCTGCTTGCACAGGTGCCGGAGAGACTGAGGATGAGGAGAAGGGTGCTGCATGCTGTGAATCGCCACGTGGCGTCGTCTCATTGGCTAGAACGGCGATGAGGTACTCTATGGCTGCATCCACGTCACCTGCCAGGTCATCCAAGGTCTGCCACGTGGAACGAGGGGAGAGTAGGGATGGTAAACAAATACATTATTCAGTAACAACTCGGCAAATACGGAAGATACATTCATATATATATATATATTTATTGAGGGACACCAGAAACAGAGGGACGAGGGGAGGTGAATCAGCGACCAGTACTTAGAAGGAGGAGGATACAGCAAGAAGCGGGAGGGAGACGAACGGGAGGCGAATCACCAATGATTCTCTGGCGGTCATGGCAGCCAGTGGAGGAGATGACCAGCTTCACCGCCCCTTCATCCACACTTGATGCTGCTGCGCCATTGGAACAGGTGCTGCAGCTGCACCCCCACCCACCCCCCCTGTGATGCACCGAGATGGGGAACGAGGATCAACCATCTCACCTGGATGATTGTTTGGCGGTCATGGCAGCCCGTGGAGGATATGACAAGCTTCACCGCCCCTTCATCCACACTTGATGCTGCTGCGGCTGAGACTGGTGTTGCAGGTGCAGACGCCCCTGCTTGTGACGCCTGGCTCTTGCCACTGCCACTCTGAGCAAAAGACGTGTGGGCGAGAAGGTACAGGTGGGTGGTATAAGATCTAAGCGCAATGCCGAAAAACGGACAGACGAAGAGACAACGAGATATTGGTCAACCTGAATGGTGATTGATTGAGCTGGAGTAGACCCAACGTCTCCTTCCATGCGCACACTGTTGTAGTGATCCCCGTCGTGGTATGAGCTGTGGCAGGGGGGGCGCGGGAGAGAGAAAACGGGAAAAGAGCAAATGTGGTTACTTTGAATGTGCTTCAAAGACCCAACGTCCCCTTCCATGCGCACGCAGTTGTAGTGATCCCCGTCGTGGTATGAGCTGTGGAGCGGAGGTAGAGGAGAAGAGGGGGAGTGAGAGGGGATAGGGTTACCATGGTTGCGGTTCAAAGGCCCAACATCCCTCTCAACCCGCACGCGGTTGCAACCCGTTGTGGTAAGAGCTGCTAAAAAGGCAAGGAGCCAGAGAGAAAACGAGGGACGTGGAGTGGAAGAATACAAGAGGGGAAAATGATGACAATACAGTAGCAGAAAAGAAAGAGATATCAAAGGGTTGAAAGGTGACAGTGAGGAGACCTTTCGACTCATGGCTTGGTGTTGTGATGGCTCACAGGTGGACGGTGGGAGTGCTGGCATCGTCGGAGTTTTTTGAGACGTCTCAAAACAGTGAGGAGACCACTTGACACATGGCTTGGTGTTGTGATGGCTCACAGGTGGATGGTGGGAGTGCTGGCGTCATCAAAGTTGACAATGTTCCACCTCGGCTGCTGCAACTGAACACACACAGAGATAGAGGATGCACACTAGTGATGAATAGCTTGGTGTGTGGGAGTGCTGGCGTCGTCAAAGTTGACAATGTTCCACCTCGGCTGCTGCAACTGAACACACACAGAGATAGAGGATGCACACTAGTGATGAATAGCTTGGTGTGTGGGAGTGCTGGCGTCGTCAAAGTTGACAATGTTCCACCTCGGCTGCTGCAACTGAACACACACAGACATAGAGGATGCACACTAGTGATGAATAGCTTGGTGTGTGGGAGTGCTGGCGTCGTCAAAGTTGACAATGTTCCACCTCGGCTGCTGCAACTGAACACACACAGAGATAGAGGATGCACACTAGTGATGAATAGCTTGGTGTGTGGGAGTGCTGGCGTCGTCAAAGTTGACAATGTTCCACCTCGGCTGCTGCAACTGAACACACACAGAGATAGAGGATGCACACTAGTGATGAATAGCTTGGTGTGTGGGAGTGCTGGCGTCGTCAAAGTTGACAATGTTCCACCTCGGCTGCTGCAACTGAACGATGGAGAGTGACGGCACATACGCAAGGCATCCAGGGGACTTAAAAATGTGAGTCAGAGTGTCAACTGATGCATGCAATGTGAGGTAGAGTCTCGCCTGATGCGTAGAGTGGTAAGAGCTGCGAGAAAGGCAAGGAGCCAGAGAGAAAACGAGGGACGTGGAGTGGAAGAATAAAAGAGGGGAAAATGATGACACGTGTCAACTGATGCGTGCACTGTGAGGTAGAGTCTCGCCTGATGCATAGAATGTCACCAGATTCGTGTTTTGAGTCGACTCAAAGCACGACTAATGCATGCACTGTGAGGTAGAGTCTCGCCTGACGCATAGAATGGAACCAGATTCTTATGCATTCATTCAAAGACCATACACAGTGCATTCATTCATTCTGACCATACACAGTGCATTCATTCATTCATTCATTCATTCATTCATTCATTCAGTGTGCTAAAAAATCTCACTCACCTGGTGAATGCAAGCGTTTCTTTTCAACAGCAATGAAACTGCCTGCAATTCCATGTGCCCGCCCCACGTGCCGTCCTCGCGCATGCTGCTGCAGTACTCCTTAAAGCCCATGTCGTCCTCCACAAAGGGAGCAAAGTCAGCCTCGTGTGACTGGCAGGAAGGGAGGGAGGGACAGTGGACAGTGTGCCAACAGGTATGGGACCAACCCTGATGGTGAAGACATGCTGCTGCAGTACTCCTTAAAGCCCATGTCGTCCTCCACAAAGGGAGCAAAGTCAGCCTCGTGTGCCTGGTTGCGAGGCGTAGGGAGGGGTAGGGAGGGGTAGGAAGGGGTAGGGAGGGGTAGGAAGGGGTAGGGAGGGAGGGGTAGGGAGGTAGGAAGGGGTAGGGAGGGGTAGGAAGGGTTAGGGAGGGAGAAACACAAGACATGCTGCTGCAGTACTCGTTAAAGCCCATGTTGTCCTCCACAAACGGGGCAGAGTTGGCCTGGTGTGCCTGGTGTGGGGGTGGCGAGGGAGGGACATTGGACAGTGCGTTAACAGGTATGGGCATTGAAGTAGCTCCCTTCACGAATGGCTAGAACTTAGGCACAAACAGCATTCACTCCTTCCCTCAATGCAGTCCACCACTTGTGACTTTTGAGTCGACTCGAAAGCTCCCTTCACGAATGGTTAGATCTTGCGCACAAACAGCGTTCATTCACTCATTATGATAAATCAATGCAGTCCACCACTTGTGGACTGAGATCCACGTGTACATAGAATCAGCTGAAAAGGTGTGAGAGTAGTATTTGAGAACAACTGATTTGAGAGGCACCACATGAGTCAATCTAAAGATACAACTGCCTACCTCAATGTAATGTAATCTACTACTTGTTGCCTGAGCTCCACGTGTGTATTGAGCCGGCAAAAAGGTGTGAGTAGAGTGATTCAAGAGGTCCAACGTGAGTCGACTAAAGATACAGCTGCCTACCTCAATGTAATCGACCACTTGTTGCCTGAGCTCACGTGCTGGGACTGTTCGCCAAACAATTTCTTGAGGCGCCTCACAAAGGGATCTTACGCACAGAAACTAATCATTGCCTACCTCAATGTAGTCTACCACTTGTTGCCTGAGCTCCACGTGCTGGGACTGTTTCCCAAACACATGATCTGACACTGCTCTGGGGGGTTCCGAGAACAACGGTGGGGAGTGAGAGGAGAAAAAGATAAGCGAGGCATATACACTTCACTCGATAGTGAAGAAAACGAAGCCACAGGTGGAGTTGGAGGGAAAGGGGGGGGCAGGGGGGAAGGGGAAACGAGATTGAAGCATTGAAAGGAAGGGAGTGTTGCAGTGAAGGAGCGCTTTTCATTACACTGATGTATTTTGATTGGGCGCTACAGGGATGACTGTTGCGTGAGCGCTGCAGGGATGGGTGTTAATGGCAGTGGTTCAGTGCTGAAGGAAACCAAGGATGGATCGCTGGTTGTTCCTGTAGTGTGTACCTATAGAACGGAAGGTGTAAAAATACCGTTCTATAGGTACACACTACAGGAACAACCAGCGATCCATCCTTGGTTTCCTTCAGCACTGAACCACTGCCATTAACACCCATCCCTGCAGCGCTCACGCAACAGTCATCCCTGTAGCGCCCAATCAAAACACATCAGTGCAATGGGAAGCGATCCTTCAGGAAAAAATAGAAGGAGCAATTCCCATTGCACTGATATATTTTGAGTCGACTCAGACTTCAAGGGAAAAGGAACAACCTGAAGGAGCTATCTAGAATTTTCAAAGAACAACCTGAAAAAGCAGTTTCCGTCTGCACTGACTTCCCGAATGCACAGCCCCAACGCCCTCAGCTGCTCCCACACGCCTCCTCCTCCCCCTTTGTACGTGCCCCTCCCCTCCTTCCCCTTCCTCCCCTTGACATTCCCCCTGCCTTTCTTCCCCTTGCCGTCCTTGGCGCCAGCATCTGTGTTTGAGGTCTGGAAGGGCGAGGTGAACGAAAGAGAAAGCGGGATAAGGTCACATGGACTGACGATAATAAGTATCATGATAAGGTCTGCCAAGTATCATAAGAAGGCCTGCCAAGTATCATAATCAGGTCTGACAAATACCATGATAAGGTCTGACATGATAAGGTCTGCCAAGTATCATAATCAGGTCTGACAAATACCATGATAAGGTCTGACATGATAAGGTCTGCCAAGTATCATGATCGAACATCGACCTTCCTTCTCCAAATTCTCCTCTTCCCTTCCTTGACTCCTCTCCCCCCTAACTCCTAATCTCGCTTACCTCCCCCGCATTGTTCTCTGGCTCCTCCACTTCCCTTCACCGTTCTCCCCCCTCCCTCATTTCCCTTACCTCCTCCGTCCCATTCTTCTTCGCTCCCTCTCCGCCTTCTTCGCCGTTTCTTCCGCCGCTTCCTCCGCGGCTCTTGGCCGCTTTACCGCCCTTGCCAACCTTCACGGAGCCTCCTCCCTTCCTCCCCATAGGAGCCGAATCCCTCGGTTTAAGCTTGTAGAGAAAAATCCTCGGTATAAGGTTCTACAAACGGAGCTGCTCGGTATAAGCTTGAACGAACCGAAGCATCAGGCTACTTCGAGTACCTAGCACGCTTCTAATTCCTTCCATACACAAAAGATTTCCACAAACTCAGAATTTTTTAGGCGCCTCAAAAGTAATTTCCACAGACTCCGCTCTCAGAATCCCGCCGCGACAACAGCTCAGCTCTCAGAATTCTTTCGTGACAAGTGCGCTGCTGAGAAAGCACCTAAGCACCGACTCCCGCTCCTTCACACCGCACCGCGTTTCTGAGAGGCAATCTGGAGGTACGGAGTACCCTTCGTCGCGAGGAAATTTGGCGTCACTAAGAGTATCGGCTGCTGACGCATTCCGTCCCTAGGATCACTCGGACCAGAACTCGCTCGCAAGACTGATGAGAGTAGGACCCAGTCGGTATATGATCCTAAAGTGAACCAGAGGAGCGGACAGACTGAGACCTTTTACACTCGTGTGAATCCCAAGGAATGCGGTGCAAACAGATACCTAGGGTGTAAATATTTTGTTTGCAGGAATGAATAATATAATCATATATGGTATATGTATGAACTTGTATAAGGCAGAAAATACAAGTAAATATACGAAATGGAGATGTCGATTAGTAAGAAAGCCCAATGTTTTAAATTACGAACCTATCATGAACGTGCGTCATGTTCATTGCCAAAGTAAAATCAAAATAGTCCGGCTTCGGAATATTAAACGCTTTCTTGTACTCCTCCCGAGTGATCACCTTCATTCCCGCGAGTCCCTTCCGGCAACTCTTGAAATTCGGCCGCAATTTATAAATCGGCGACCAAGGCTCGATCGCCAAATCGTGCCGCTTGTAGTTCCGAAACCCCATCTTCCTCAGAACCTTCAGCGACCCCGTCGTGATATTAATCATCTTATGCGTGTTTAACTTCGGCATCACCGGAATCTTCTCGCAATACTTGTATCCGAGGTCCCTCGCAGTCATGTTTACGACCACAATGTCAATTAAATTCTCTGTCCCGAGCCCGCTGCAGTTGCCAGTCAAGTAAGTCCCCATGGAACCAGGAGGGTTGCAGTTAACGCCGTTGATGGATGTGTCTTTACAAACGCTGGGCCACCACGGCCAGAGCTGGTGAGGGTGGGAGGGGGGGAAGGGTACAGGTGCAGGGAGGGGGGATGGTGGAAGGAGGGAGAGGGAGAAGAATCGGGAGGGTTGCAGCTGACACACGCTGGGCCACCAGGGCCAGAGCTGGTGAGGGTGGGAGGGGTGGAGGGGTACAGGGAGGGGGCAAGATGCAGGAGAATGGGGGAGAAGAGCAGGGAGGGTTAGGGTTGCAGTTAAAGCCGTTGATGCAGTTAACACACGCTGGGCCACCACGGCCAGAGCTGGTGAGGGGAATGGGCAAGGGGAATGGGACGGGGGATGATGGAGGGTGGTGGGCGAGTGAGTAGAACAGCAATGGTTGGGGTTTGAATGTGTTAATCGTGTCTTGACACACACTGGGCCACCAGGGCCAGAGCTGGTGAGGAGAAAGAGCGGAGGGAGAAGCATGTTGAGGGGAGGATGGTGGAGGGAGGAAGAGGGAGATGAACAGGGAGGGTTAGGTTTGCAGCTAACTCCATTGATATATGTGTCTTTACACACACTGGGACACCAGGGCCAGAGCTTAATTCATGCTGAGGGGCAAGTATGGGGAGGGGGAGGAGATGAGAAAGAACGTAGTGAAAGGAGCGGCTTGTATGTTGCCACAATTCGTGCTTGCTTGCTGGTATAATTTGCTTACTTGCTTGATTCATGCATTCATGCTTTTTAAGCCACTCACCCTGCGGAACAGCTCAGTGTCGTAATAATTGAGACGCATACTCTCCCTCCCAGTAGGTGCCGGGGTCCTTGTGTGCTTGCTTGCTTGTTTGCCTGCGTGCCTTGCTTGCGTGCTTGCTTGCTTGCTTGCCTGCTTGCTTGCCTGCTTGCTTGCCTGCTTGCTTGCCTGCGTGCTTGCCTGCTTGCTGGCCTGCTTGCTTGCCTGCGTGCTTGCCTGCTTGCTTGCCTGCTTGCTTGCCTGCGTGCTTGCTTGCTTGCTTGCCTGCTTGCTTGCCTGCGTGCTTGCCTGCTTGCTTGCCTGCTTGCATGCCTGCTTGCTTGCCTGCTTGCTTGCCTGCTTGCTTGCCTGCTTGCTTGCCTGCTTGCTTGCCTGCTTGCTTGCCTGCGTGCTTGCCTGCTTGCTTGCCTGCCTGCCTGCTTGCCTGCTTGCTCGCTTTCTTGCTGGGTTATTTGTTTGCTTGTTTACTCGACAGGCCACTCACCCTGCGGAACAGCTCGGTGTCGTAATACTTGAGACGCATGCTCTCCCAGTAGGTGCCGGGGTCCTTGCGTGCTTGCCTGCTTGCTTGCCTGCGTACCTTGCTTGCTTGCCTGCTTGCTTGCTTGCCTGCCTGCCTGCCTGCCTGCCTGCTTGCCTGCTTGCTCGCTTTCTTGCTGGGTTATTTGTTTGCTTGTTTACTCCAAAGGCCACTCACCCTGCGAAACAGCTCGGTGTCGTAATACTTGAGTCTTGAGGCGCATGCTCTCCCAGAACGTGCCTGTTTGGTTGTGTGACTGGTTTGGTTGTTGCTTGCTGCATGTATCAACTCCACAGGCCACTTCACCCTGCGAAACAGCTCGTGTCGTAATACTTGAGACGCATGTTCTCCCAGCACGTGCCGGGGTCCCTGTTGGCCTGCTTGCTTGGTTGCTTGTTTGCTTGTTTGCTTAATGTACAGAATGACACTCACCCTGCGGAACAGCTCAGTGTCGTAGTATTTGAGACGCATGTTCTCCCAGAAAGTGCCGGGGTCCTTTCGGCAGTTGTTGATGGTGGGCGTGAAGCACGTGCACCACCCCGGAATCCCCACCACGTTCTTCAGAATCACGTGCTTTATCACGTTGCTGAGGGGTTGGAAGGATGAGTGGGGAGAAGGGGGATTGTTGACAATGGGTGGGAGTGATGCACGTGCACCAGCCCGGAATCCCCACCACGTTCTTCACAATCACATGCTTTATCACGTTGCTGAGGGGTTGGAAGGATGAGTGGGGAGAAGGGGGATTGTTGACAATGGGTGGGAGTGAAGCACGCGCACCACCCCGGAATCCCCACCACGTTCTTCAGAATCACATGCTTTATCACGTTGCTGAGGGGTTGGAAGGATGAGTGGGGAGAAGGGGGATTGTTGACAATGGGTGGGAGTGAAGCACGTGCACCAGCCCGGAATCCCCACCACGTTCTTCAGAATCACATGCTTTATCACGTTGCTGAGGGGTTGGAAGGATGAGTGGGGAGAAGGGGGATTGTTGACAATGGGTGGGAGTGAAGCACGTGCACCAGCCCGGAATCCCCACCACGTTCTTCAGAATCACATGCTTTATCACGTTGCTGGGAACAGATGAAGTAGAGGGAGAAAGGGGGAGGGAGGGGGGGGCGGGAGGAAAAGAAGAAGAATTGTTGTTCAGGGTGGGTGAGAAGTGAAGCACGTGCACCGCCCCAGCAGCCCACACGTTTCTCAAAATCACATGCTTTATCACATTAATAAAGGAGTTGGGTGGAGGAGGGGAGAGAAGGGGGATTGTTGACAGTGGGTGTGAAGTGAAGCATGTGCACCGCCCCGCCATGCCCTCCACATATAATCTGCTTATCACGTTGCTGAGGGGCCAGGGAGGGAGTGGGGGCGGGAAGATGGATTGGTGACAGAGAGGTGTTTCAGAAGAGGAGTGAAGCCCGTGCACCGCCCCGCCATGCCCTCCACATACTGACTTTTGAGTCGACTTAAAAGTCATGTGCACCAGCCTGCCATAACCTCCAAGTACTTCAATATAATCTTCTTTATCACGTTGCCAAAGCACCACGTGGAATGAGTGATTTTTTAGACGTCAAAACGTCACGCATTTCACGTGCAGCACCCCGCCATACCCTCCACCGTACTTCATTATGTTCTGCTTTATCACGTTGCCGGAAAACACAGTGATGTGATTATAGGGGGGTTGGGGAGAAGAGGGATTGCTGGGCACTCTTTATCACGCTGCTGTGGGACGGAGTGATTGAACGTGGGCAAGTAGAGGAGGGGTGGGGGGTCAAGAGAAAACTGATTGCTGGTGTGCTTTATCACGTTGCTGAGAAACCAAGGGGGAGGGGATAGGGGGAAGGGGACTGTTTTACCTGCACTGTCACAATTGCCGTTCAACCTCCCCTCGGCTACACATTAATGTTGATAACAATGTCAGCAGCGCTAAATAAATTTGTTTTTTATAAGACTTACAGCTGCTTGAGATTGTTGACTTTGACGCCATCATAAGTGTTGATACACGCGGATCACACCACAGCATCACGGCATCACCGTACCTACAGCATCATGCCATGATGCCAACATACACCTTTCAATACTCACAACTTGGGTGACTTTTGAGTCGACTCAAAATACATGATGCCAGCATACACCTATCATTACTCACAGCTTGCCGTTGTTGACTTTGATGCCATCGTACGTGTTGATGCATGCACCCCCGCGGATCACAACGCCTGATGTCACATAGTCCAGGTAGTAGCAGTGGTCTCCGCCTGCTATGTAGTTGCACTCTGCAACGTTGCCTGGAAGATATGAAGGGCGGAAGTGGGGAGTGAGGGCATAGGAGGGGATTGAGGGGGTTGTTTAGGAGCAGGGTCACAACGCTCGACGTCACATAGTCCAGGTAGTAGCAGTGGTCGCCCCCTGCTATGTAGTTGCACTCTGCCACGTTGCCTGCAATGTGGAGATATGAGGGGGAATGAGGGAGAACGGGGGGCGAGGGGGTTAAGTCAGGAGCAGGATCACAACGCCTGATGTCACATAGTCAAGGTAGTAGCAGTGATCGCCCCCTGCTATGTACTTGCACTCTGCCACGTTGCCTGCAGAAAGGGTTTGAGGGTTAGAGGGGGTTGAGTCAGGAGCGGCAGGATCACAACGCCCAATGTCACATAGTCCAACCCCTGCTATGTAGTTGCACTCAGCCACGTTGCCTGCAATGTGAATGGAGGTGAGGGGTTGAGAGGGGATTGAGCGATTTTGGTCCCAACACCCGACGTCACATAGTCAACGCAGTAGCAGTGGTCGCCCCCTGCTATGTACTTGCACTTTGCAACACTGCCTGGAAGATATTTCAAAAGGCATAAGTGGGGGGATCAGGGAAAACAAGGGGAAATGAGGGGTTGAGGGTCTTGAGCCAGGAGCAGCGGAATCGCAACGCCCGATGTGACGTGGTAGCAGGGAGATATTGGTCAGCATGGCTCGCATCCCCCCTCACTCCACTCGCTACCAGCCCCGCCCCAACCCTCCCACCAACCTTTCGGTCAGCATACAGCCGTCCCCTCTCTCCCACTCCACTCACTGCTTCCTGTTCCCAACCGCTTTCCGAATTCCCCACCACACCCACACCACTCACCAGGGCTGAACCAGTGCGTGCAGTAGTAGATCCCTGCAGAATCCACATCTCCCGAGCTATTCCTCCCCCAGTTGTACACGATGTTGTTCGAGATGTTGCTCAGCATGCACTCTGCTGACCACCACCTCCCTCCCATCCCCACCCAGACCCACAACCCCACACCCACCAGGGCTGAACCAGTGCGTGCAGTAATAAATTCCTGCAGAATCCACATCTCCCGATGAATTTCGCCGCCAGTTGTAAACGATGTTGCTCAGCATGCAGTCACGTGATAAAAGTGATGTTTTGAGACGTCTCAAAACATCACCACGTGGATGCTGCTCAGCACCTGTCAGTAGCAGACAGGTGGGCTGCGGAGGTCTTACTTCCATCAACTCGTGTGGTTATGAAATCGACGAGACAAACCCCATGGAATGGATGGAAAAACCCGGTTAACTGTGAGCTTAGAGCGTTGTCTTAGAGAGCCAGTTTAAACAAATCGTCTCAAAACATCACCACGTGGATGTTGGTCAGCATGCAGTCGCCCGCAAAGTGCACGTCCGCACTGCACCGTATACCCGCAAAGCCAAAAGAGCCCCTTTCACGATCAGCTGATTACCACCTCCCTCCCTCCTTCCCTCCCATCCGCACACCCACACACCCACCAGGGCTGAACCAGTGCGTGCAGTAGTAGATCCCTGCCGAGTCCACATCCCCCGATGAATTTCGGCGCCAGTTGTAAACGATGTTGTTCGAGATGTTGGTCAGCATGCAGTCGCCCGCATAGTGCACGTCCGCGCCGCACCGGATACCCGCAAAGCCAAAGTCGTGAATGAAATTGTTGATCACTGTCACTCCCACCGCTCCCAAGTGCATCACAATGGGTGTATCGACTCCTGATGGAAGCAGGGGCAGATGGAGAAAACCGGAGACAAAGATGCGTCCAAGTCTGTGCTTTTGAGGTGCCACATCAGAAGCATAGTGCACGTCCGCGCCGCACCGTATACCCGCAAAGCCAAAGTCGTGAATGAAGTTGTTGATCACGGTCACTCCCACCGCTCCCAAGTGCATCACACTAGGGGTGTCCACGCCTGAAGGAGGGGACGATGGAGGAAAACGGAAAAGAAGGTGCGTGCAAGTCTGAGCTTTTGAGGTGCCACATCAGAAGCATAGTGCACGTCCGCGCCGCACCGAATGCCCGCAAAGCCAAAGTCGTGGATGAAGTTGCTGATCACTGTCACTCCCACCGCTCCCAAGTGCATCACTATAGGGGTGTCCACGCCTGAAGGAGGGGAGAGAGGAGACGGGAGGTGTATGAGAGGCAAAGCCAAAGCCAAAGTCATGGATGAAGTTGTTGATCACTGTCACTCCCACCGCTCCCAAGTGCATCACGATGGGAGTATCAACGCCTGATAGCAAGAGAGGAGGAGGGGTGAGAGAGAGGATGAGTGCAAGCCCGAGCCAAGGGCTTTCCAGGTGCCTCGGAAGTATAGTGCACGTCCGCGCCGCACCGTAGCACACTGGCATCATGGCAGGGGGTGCATGCACCGCTCCCAAGTGCATCACAATAGGGGTGTCCACGCCTGTAGGAGGGGAGAGGGAAAGAGAGAGAAGGACGAGGGGCACGAGTGCACACTGTTCAGCCTGATTGCACGAGTGCACACTGCTCAGCCTGATTGCACGAGTGCGCACTGCTCAGCCTGATTGCACGAGTGCACACTGCTCAGCCTGATTGCACGAGTGCACACTGCTCAGCCTGATTGCACGAGTGCACACTGCTCAGCCTGATTGCACGAGTGCACACTGCTCAGCCTGATTGCACGAGTGCACACTGCTCAGCCTGATTGCACGAGTGCACACTGCTCAGCCTGATTGCACGAGTGCACACTGCTCAGCCTGATTGCACGAGTGCACACTGCTCAGCCTGATTGCACGAGTGCACACTGCTCAGCCTGATTGCACGAGTGCACACTGCTCAGCCTGATTGCACGAGTGCACACTGCTCAGCCTGATTGCACGAGTGCACACTGCTCAGCCTGATTGCACGAGTGCACACTGCTCAGCCTGATTGCACGAGTGCACACTGCTCAGCCTGATTGCACGAGTGCCCACTGCTCAGCCTGATTGCACGAGTGCCCACTGCTCAGCCTGATTGCACGAGTGCCCACTGCTCAGCCTGATTGCTCGCCCACGCCACTCACCATATGCCTCGTTGTTGGAAATGACAATGTTCGCCCGCACCAGCTCCCACCCGTACCCAGCTCTGGACGGTACTCAATCTCCCCAGTGTTGGAGACCACTCACCATATGCCTCGTTCTTGGAGGGAAAATGTTAGCCCGCACCAGCTCTCTCTCAAAAGTCGTACCCGCTTTTCCCGATGAAGCGCAACAAAATTACTCCCACACTGAGTGAGACACACCATGCCACTCACCATGATGAGAGGGGCCCATCAAAACCACTCACCATATGCCTCGTTGTTTGAGATGACAATGTTTGCCCGCACCAGCTCTGGCCCATACCCGCTCTCCCCAATGCGAATAACCCCTGGCGAATTGACAAAGCGGTAGGTGGCGGTGACACTCATTCCATCCACCCGTGCTTGCATGCTGCGAAACACGTCTATGCGCCCAAACACCTCGCCCTGGAGGGTGGAGGAAGAGGGGAGGGAAACAGGAAGGGTGAATGGGTGAAAGGGGTTGACAAAGCGGTAGATGGCGGTGACACTCATGCCATCCACCCGTGCTTGCATGCTGCGAAACACGTCTATGCGCCCAAACACCTCGCCCTGGAGGGTGGAGGAAGAGGGGAGGGAAACAGGAAGGGTGAATGGGTGAAAGGGGTTGACAAAGCGGTAGGTGGCGGTGACACTCATGCCATCCACCCGTGCTTGCATGCTGCGAAACACGTCTATGCGCCCAAACACCTCGCCCTGGAATGTGGGGAAGGGGGGGGGAGTGTATGACAACGGGGGGGATGGGGGACGGAGGACGAGGGAGAAGGGGGTGGGGGAGAGGGCGAAGGGAAGAGGCGTGAAAAGGTGGATTTGCCGTAGCTCCTCTAGATGTCGATGGCTGAGAGAAGGAGCAGACGCACGAGGGAAACGTAACACACAGGTTCTTCAGGCATCTCAAACGAGACTAACCTTTACCACCTGCACACCGTAATTCCGCCAGATGTGGATGGCAAGGCACAGCATGCCCTTGCCCACTTCTGTAAAGGAGCACAGGCGCGAGCAGAACTTGACAGGCAGCAAGGCGTCTTACAAGAGTCTTACCTTTGCCACTTGAATGCCGTAGCTGCGCCAGATGTGGTTAGCCGGGCACAGCATGCCCTTGCCCACTTCTGTAAAGGAGCAGAGGCGCGAGATGCATCCTTCCAAGTCGCCTCATATGAAGACTCACCTTCGCGACTTGCACACCGTAGCTGCGCCAGATGTGAATGGCGGGGCAGAGCATGCCCTTGCCCACTTCCGTGGAGGAGCAGAGGTGTGACAAGGACTTGACATGCATCATCTTAGAAAAGGCTTACCTTCGCGACTTGCACGCCGTAGCTGCGCCAGATGTGTATAGCCGGGCACAACATGCCCTTGCCGACCTCAGTGAAGGAGCAGAGGCGTGAGCTGGACTTGACTGGCAGGTAGAAATTGACGTCCATGACAATCACGTTGTGCGTGTTCCAGATGCGTAAAACGGGCTGCAGGGCGTTCGTCAGCTTGATGTAACTGTAACAGACAGGGTAACGGGGTGGTGGGGTTGGGGGGCGGGATTAGGCATGGCAGCAGCACAGGGACGGGCAGGTAGAAGCGCCAAGAAGGTAGAAATTAACGTCCATGACGATCACGTTGTGCGTGTTCCAGATGCGCAGCACTGGTTGCAGGGCGTTTGTCAGCTTGATGTAACTGTAACAGGGTAACGGGGTGATGGGGTTGGGGGGCGGGATTAGGCATGGCAGCAGAACAGAGAGTGGCAAGTGGAAGTTGACGTCCATGACGATCACGTTGTGCGTGTTCCAGATGCGCAGCACTGGCTGCAGGGCGTTTGTCAGCTTGATGTAACTGTAACAGGGTAACAGGGTAATGGGGTTGGGAGGTGTGATATGATACGTGATATGCATGGCATCAGCACAGAGAGACTGGGAGGTGGACATTGACGTCCATGACGATCACGTTGTGCGTGTTCCAGATGCGCAGTGGATGGTATGACGGTGCGGGAGTAACGGCATGGGTAACGGGGTGGGTAATGGGGTAACGGGGTAACAGGGTAACGAGGTAGGGAGGCACTGGCGAGTGGAATGAATCAGGAAGAGAGTCATGATGAGAGTCCGCCCTACGTTGAAATCACTTCTGAGAAATTTCAAAGGAGGACAGTCATTATGAGAACCCACCCTACCTTCTCTGTGCAGGCTTCTTGCTTCGCAGGATCGTGCACGAGTAGTTTCCGTCGAACAACAGACCCGTACCCGTGATAAACCCGGGAGGAAGCAGCACCAGCATCACCGTCTGCGTCGGCCCAAAGTTTAATCGCTTCGCGACGTCCGCGTACGACTTAATCCGTATCACCTTCGCCGTTTCGATCGGGCTGCACGGCCCCGTCACCTGCTGCTGCCGCCTACGCTGCTCCTGCCGAAGCACGCGCTGCCTCTCGAATGCTAAAGCCGCGTTAAGAGATACCTCGCTAGGGTGTATGTACTCGGGTGTAACAGTCGGAGCCCACGCTCGCTGGGTTCCTATTCTAGTGCTGATTCCGCTCGGGTTTCTACTTCGAGGAAGCTTCCAGGATCTTGGGGGGGATTTGTTACGAAATGATGCGGGCGAGGGTCGTGACGGGTTTGGGAGAGAAGAGGCGAAACGCGAGGAGGGTTGCGAGGGATTTGAGAGAGAGGAGGAGGAACGGAGGGAGGAAGTCGATGGACGGGAGGACGAGAAGGAGGAGCGAGGTGAGGAAGAGGAGGAGGATGAGTATTCGTCCCGCGAACTTAGAAAGAGAGTATCTGGCCTGGATTTGAACTCTGCTGATTGTGAGTATGCGAGACGTGACTGAAACGAGGTGGAGCCGAAATCGTCGTCAAAAGCGGAGGCTGGATTAGCGGCGAGTAACGCGTCGTCGTCATCTAAATCGTCGTCGTCATCGTCATCATAATCAGCTGGCGTATCTGTTGGACTGACGGAATCAGTCCAAATCGTAGGGTCAGTCAATCCGTCGGAGTGAACCCGGTTATAAGAATCAGTCAGGCTGTCAGAATCAGTCAGTGAGTCAGCACTACTGGACGGAGCGCGCGGGCTGAAGGTCGAGCTCCTTGTATCTACGAAAGAGCTGCTGTCGCTACTAGATGGTAACCAGGATGCTTCGCGCTGGTGTTGATGCCAATGAAAATGAGCGCGAACATCCTCCTCGACAACGTGGCTATTGAATGCTGCGAACGAAGAAAAAGTTACGAAGTAAAGAAGGTGGATAAGGAAACTGGATAGACACACACAGATAGGTATACCGGAGTACGGCTGATACTGAGAGTCCTTATGTATAAGTGGGACACGGAATTCACCCTTACTGCATTAGTCCAGCCACGGCGAAGGAAGTAGAAGCGTGCATAGTACTACAGCAGAGAAGCTGACGTCACATGTAAGAGCTGAGACTCGGCATGCTGGCATCGTAAGATAAGACGGGAAACTACCTATCTAACCGACCAAAAAGACAACTGACAACGTCAAATTATTACCTTTGGACGGCAGGAGCGGTAGGAGGAGTAGGAACGCGACGGCCAACCACGCGATGCCAAAGACGGAATTTCGTTTGCGTAATCGACTCATGCTGGTGCGAAACAAAAGCATCAAGGTGATTATTGACGAACACCCTTTTCTAGCTGAACTTTCCCATTCGTCGTTTAGACCTATTGGCGACAGAATATGCGTATAAACCACCACGCAAAGAAACTGCAGTTTATCAACAAAGACTAAACCAAGAGCTTCAGGCAGTTACAGCTTATGCTATCCCAATTACTGAAGCAGCACGATTCAGTGGCTCCTACGCAAAGCTCGCTTTGAGAAAAAACAAAACTATCCACGGAAAAAAAAGAGTGAGGCTGTCAGTCTCTACGTTTCATGAAACAGGTCGCGACGCGAGCAAGAGAGACAGGAGAGAGAATGCATGGAAGAGGGGAGAAAAGTGCAACTGAGCACGAAGGGTGCAGTGCAGGGGAAGATGCAGACGAAAGTGGTGGCTCGTGTAAAGGGTTCAAGAGAATGGCGGTGCACTAGTGGTTGGAGTTTGAAGTCGAAACAACTTTCGAGTCGAGAGTTGTGTTGTGGCTGTGGGATGAGCTCGGTGGAGGTGGTTGGTTGGTTGGGACAAAAAAAATCTTCTCAAGGGAGCATGTGATCCCAATGCGCATGGAGATTGACGCGTTGGGGCAGCCTTCAATCTCGTTCAGGCAGCAGATGCCGGCAGTCAATCTGCTGACGGCGCAGCCAGCTTTATTGGGAAACGTCAACATCGACGGCTAAGATTTAGTTCTAGAAAGTTTGCGCTTCTGTGAGCCCTTAGGGAGTTTTTTTGGGGAGAAAGTTCGAGAATGGTCAAAAATCGGTTCACGACGGTGAACGTGTTTCGTCTACGCAGAGGAGCGTGGTAGTATAGCTCACCTCACCTCACCAAATTGCGTCTCGGCCAAGGGTTTCGAGAAAATGGGAGCGAATGAGGAGCCGTTTGAGTGGGTTTTCCCGCCAAAACGTCCACACCAAATAAATCAACCATGGTCTAGACGATTAGTTAATCCGAATTTCGTGTCACTGTAAGGAAAAATCCTTTTCCTTACTTCGCGTCCCTGCTTACCGCGTACAAGACCATTCCCGCCATCGGCACCCAAACAGTGAAACGTTACCCGCTCGCGACACTCGCCTCGACTACGACTCCTGCCACCATTCACGACGCGACCCAACCTCACGGTTCGGTTGGTAACCCGCGCTCCGGACCTCCGCCTCGACATTTCCCAACCTCGGCGCTAGGCCCGTAGCGCACCCCATTATCCCGCGTTACCGTTACCACTCTAGTTCGCTATATATTCTTCGCGCATGCCTTCGCTCATTGATTGTTTTGCTTCGATAGTGCAATTCTCGCTCGCTCGCTCAATTGCACTCGTAACACTTGGTATTCAGAGCCTACGATCTCCTCTCGGACCGCACCCACACCTTCGCTTCCCCACTATCTCAATTTTTGGGGGGGGTAGATGTCTCTCAGCGAACAAGCACCGCCGCTCGAAGTGCTCTCTCGTAAGCACGCACGGCCACGACAGAGGCTCTCGCTGGGTTTGCCCGACACCCCCGCCATGGCCGAAATTAATATTGCGACACTGACGCAGGAGCAGCTCGACCGTCTCGTGCGCCAACTCGAACATTCGGCGCTTGAAATCGCGACACTCACGGCGGAACGTGACTCCGCCCGTCAGCAATCAACGGTGAATGCGCCAGCACCATCACAAGCACCCGCAAATGCACCTGTGCAATCGGATGAGCCGATTGTCATCTCGTCCGGCACACCGTCACATCACGACAGCGTGGGACAGCGCTCAGGCGCAGCCAGTGATGGCGCGGCCCAGTCAATGCCTGGCATGGGGAGGAACAGGGCTGTACCAAGCACGAGCGGGCCTCGCGAAGCCCGTCGTCACGTCGAATTTGCGGCAACAATCGGCAACAACGACATTATCGCGCCGATGCCGCTCAAACCGCAGCGCCCGCCCTGCTTCGACCCGAGCCAACGAGGAGGTCCGACGGTTCAATCGTGGGTCTTCACGATGAACGTTTTTTTCGACGCGAACTACGTCGAGTCGGACGCAGCGAAGATTCGATATGCTGTCTCGCTGCTAAGGGGCCCCGCCATGGACTGGTGGGGAGTCATTGTGACGTCACCACGCGCCTACGAGCCTCCGTCGCAAGAGGAAGAGCCCACGGGTCCAGCCGTCACCTGGACTTCGTTTTGCGAAACCGCCCAGTACAGCACGTGGGATGCGTGGTGCGCAGGGCTTCGAGCGCGCTTCGAGCCGATTGCGGCTTCTATTTCGGCGCGTCATAAACTGCGTACTTGGCGACAACTTGGGTCGGTCCAAGACTATACCAGCGGTTTTCTCGCATTATGTGAGCAAGTCGGCTACATGCACGAAGCGGAGCGGGTGGACCGTTACGTCGGAGGGCTGAAGCCGGACATCTCGCACGAAATCATGCTACGTGGGCTCTCGAATTTCAACGAGATCCTCGCGCTCGCCGAGAAAATCGACATTTTGCGCCGTCCGAGACCGGGGTCCTACTACGGACATCGCCCTCGGGGACCAACCGAGTACGCCACCGTACACGCCGTTGCGGCGAATGCAGCTGCTGCGCCATTTAGGGGGCGCTGCTTTGCTTGCAATAGGCCGGGCCATCGCAAGAGCGAATGCCCAGAGGAGCAGAGACGCCGCGGAGCAGAGCAGGGAAGGGAGTCTCAGAGCAGGGAAACGCTAGCAGTCAGCAGAAAATGGGCCGACT